GATAAAAAGAGATATACCTTTTTATCTAACTCTTTAGCAGCATGCTTTATTTATTAAATAAATAGTATTAATATAAGATAACTATATGCATGCAGTTAGTAGATTATATAATTAGACAGAAGGAATTAAGCTTACTATAGGGGATAATAGTATAACCTAGCTATATATAGTATATAGCATTAAAAGCAGCTGCCAGTATTAATATAATAAAAATAGTTAGGCCTTTAGCCTGCTAATAGGGCCTAGATATAATTCTTATAAGCAGGATCTTATTAAGCTAAGGGCATAGGATTAGTAGAAAGACCTGCAGCTATGCAGGGTCTTAAAGTTATTATTATCTTCTTCTTTATTTAAAAATAACAGATTAGTATAATAAGATTAAATAGAAGAGATAAGATAAGATAAATAATATTAGCAGGCTGCTTACCCCTAGACTTAGCAGAGGGCTTAAAGGCAGCAGTCTTTTTAAAAGGCATAGCAGCAGTAATAATAATAATAATAATAATAATAATAATTAAAGAAGAAAAGAGTAAAAGTAAAGGATTAAAAGCTTATTTATTTATTCTAAAGCTTCCTTTAAACGGCTTTACTTTATAAGTGTAAAAGCTAATTATTCCTTTATTATTTACTGCATTATGCTTTATAAATAAAGCTTTTATTTACTTTTCCTTAATAATATAACTTTATATATTCTGCTACTATTTCTAATATAAAGAAGCTTATAAATAGTAGCCTAGGCATAGGCTTTAATAATAAGGTTATTAAAGGAATAAAAACACTAAGGATTTTATTATTTAGTTAAAGGGAATGCGTTTATAATGCTTCCTTTAACTAGGGGGTGTGTAACATTTAAGAGCGCTTAAAGGCAACTAGCGCCTTTAGATTATATGCTTAGGAATATGAATATAGAGCCTTAGAATGTGGGTAAATGTATTTAGCTAGCTATAACAGTATTTTTCCTTTTTCTTCCTCTTTTTAATATAAGGCTATTTAAACGATCCTATTTTTGGCCCTAAATCGTCACACAGATCGTTAAACCATTCGACTGATAGCTGATGGCGGTGATGGAGCTGCGGGGTATCACGTGATGCCACAGCCCCCCCCAGTGACGACGATTCGGCCCTCCCGCTGGTTTCAGGTCCGCGAGTGCCCTGTAAGCCGCCTGAGGGGCCTCTGGAGCGTCTCTGAAGCCTCTGGAGCCTCTGGAGCCTCTGAACCAAGCCAAAGACCCCACCATCTGGCTCAACTGTCATCAACCTGGCTCACCTCGCCCGAACCGACAGACTGACGACGCCTCCACCCTTGAGCCAGCCTCCAGCTTCCTCACCTCTCAATAGCTTCGCCCAACTGCGGCCCTCCTCGCCGGATCCGAATTGAAGCCATCGCCAAAATGGTCCCTCCCATCGGTACGTCGAAGCAGCCGCTGACGCCCCCCCCCCTGAAGCTCGGAGGATCGGTGTGGTGCAGCTGCTGAAGCTCTCCCTGCCGCTGCCGAGCTCCCACCTCTCGCTCCCCTTTAACTCCTGGGCCACCACATACTCCCGACGGCCTTTTGCTAACGTTTCACGGCATCACCCAGTTCTCGACGGCGGCACCGGTTTCCTCAAGGTCGGATACGCCGCCCAAAACTTCCCCGAGCACCAGTACCCGTCGATTGTCGGCCGGCCCATCCTGCGGTCTGAGGAGCGGACGGACAACGATGTCATCATCAAGGACATCATGTGCGGCGACGACGCGGCCGCCGCCCGCACGATGCTGCAGATCAGCTACCCCATGGAGAACGGCATCGTCAAGAACTGGGAGGACATGCAGCACCTCTGGGACTACACCTTCTTCGAGAAGCTCAAGATCAACCCGCAGGGCCAGAAGATCCTGCTGACGGAGCCGCCCATGAACCCCCTGAAGAACCGCGAGAAGATGTGCGAGGTCATGTTTGAACGGTACGGCTTCGGCGGAGTCTACGTCGCCATTCAGGCCGTACTGGCGCTGTATGCACAGGGTAAGTATTCCCCGGGCCCCTTGTCTTTCCTCCCATTGTCGCTGCGGTGGATTGATAGCTTGGTCATTCGCAACTGCATGGCTAACGCAATTGTACAGGTCTGAGCTCGGGCGTCGTCGTCGACTCCGGTGACGGTGTCACCCACATTGTCCCCGTCTACGAATCCGTCGTGCTGAACCATCTCACCAAGCGATTGGACGTCGCCGGCCGAGACGTCACGCGCAACCTGATCAAGCTGCTGCTGCGCCGAGGCTACGCGCTCAACCGAACCGCCGATTTCGAGACGGTCCGCCAGATCAAGGAGAAGCTCTGCTACGTCTCATATGACCTCGAGCTCGACAAGCGCCTGAGCGAGGACACAACCGTGCTGGTCGAGGACTACACGCTGCCCGACGGCCGGGTCATCCGGGTGGGCAGCGAGCGATTCGAGGCGCCCGAGTGTTTGTTCCAGCCCCACCTGGTGGACAACGAGTCCCCCGGTCTGGGCGAGTTTTTGTTCAACACTATCCAGTCGGCCGACGTGGACATTCGCGCGTCGCTGTTCAAGGCCATTGTGCTGTCCGGAGGCAGCAGCATGTACCCGGGCCTGCCGTCGCGACTGGAGAAGGAGCTGAAGCAGCTGTGGCTGACGCGGGCGCTGCAGGGCAACCCCGAGCGCCTGAGCAAGTTCAAGGTGCGGATCGAGGATCCTCCCCGGAGAAGGCACATGGTGTTCCTGGGAGGCGCCGTGCTGGCCAACATCATGGCGGAGAACGAGAGCATGTGGGTGACCAAGGCGGAGTGGGAGGAGCAGGGAGTGCGGGCTCTGGAGAAGCTCGGGCCGCGATGAGTCTATTGACGGTGTTTGGACATACTAGTAGAGGGAATGATGGCAGATGATGTTTGTTTATACTGTTAGATGAAGCATTCAAGATGTGATATTGCGTGGTTTCTCAGCCTGAGCTCTACCATTTGTGGCAGGACAACAATCCTCCAACCACCAAATCAATGCAAAAGCGATAGTTCTCATAGTGTTCAAATACGCCTGGGCGCATTTTTACGGATATTGCTTCCCAGGTCGTCTACATGCAAGCCATGTCTGGATACCTACTTAGGTACCTAGGTAGTAGGTGCGACATGTGATGAGGCAGAGATTCAGGTTCAGAGTTGATGGCACCACGGCTTAGTCAGTGGTCGAAACTGTAAATGGCACCTGCCTTCATTGCATTGTGCCAGACATGTACCAGATTGACTTTGAACATCGACTTTCATCCTTCATCTCTCCGTCTGCATCTACTTTGTCTCGTCCATCGATCGTCACATCACGAGTCCGATTACCAAGCTCCAGTAATTGCAATGCTTCTCTGATATCTATCGCCGGCGTTCTTCTTTTCCCATCATCCCGGTGAAGCCACAGCCGACTTGCTCCGCACCGGCTAAAGCCAACCTAGAAAAGCTTCAGGTGCATCAGCTCAGAGCCCGTTTGAACCGTCTTCTCGCCTCTTCCCACGACTTTTCTCCCCAACAGCAGTCCGTTTACGTTGCATCTACATCCTCGTTGTGTGCTGCCAGCGTATACCGTCCAGCCACGTGCCGATACGGAGAAGCGGATGCAAGTCTGTCCATATTACTGTACGTACCTGGTGCAGCATCCGAGATCGTCCAGGCTCGCCACAGCAAAGCTCCGTCACTAACGGAGGCCTGAGTCGCATCGTGTGGGCTCGTGCATCACTCGCCCCCCCGAATCCGTGCCATCGTTCGCTCACAAGCCAAGCTGTGCGTTTGTTTGGAGGAGCCAGCAGAGACTGGTTTCATGTCCTGGCCTGGATCGTTGGGACCATCGTCCAGGCTGACCGGCCGTGGCGTCTCGCTCGCAGGAGAACCCGCTTCCACTCATGCCAACGGCCATCGACAGCCGACGTGTCTTCTTTATCCTGAGCGAGAGCCGATCGTGTTGGACATCAATATCAAACACGAGGTGACACAAGGCAGATGAACCTGCCGAACCCGTCCTCGGGATCCGGACCCGGGACCGCAAAAGTGGCCGGCGTCATGAATGCAAGGGGTCTTCACCAATCGACCAAGCGGAGCGTCCTGGCGGCGTTTGAAGGTGCGTTGCGTGCGGCTGATCCGCCCTCCTTTGCCGTTTCCCCCTCTCCCACACTGCCTCGCTCCCTTTGGGCTGCTGTTGGATTAGCCTCCATCTCCTCGTGTGCACATCCCCCAGCTTGTCTAGAGGCCAAAGATCCAGCACGACCAACGCCCGTTTACTGATCGAACCCTCTTCCCTGCCCACTCCAGCGAGATCCACCTCTAAAAACCCACCATGTGCCCTATTTTCGGTGCTCTGCCTTGCCTCTGATTTGCTCCCGTTGCCCATCTTGTGCGGCATTCGGCATACACTGCTAGTAGTGCTCTCGGCGGCATCGTCTACGCTCCGTGCATGCCTCTTACACCGTCATCACACTCGCTCGTCTCCGTCAAGCGACGATATCGAGTCTCTCTCGTCCACCAGAGTTGCCACGCCTGGTTGGCCGACCCCCCTTTTTTATCCCATTTCGCTCAGCCACTCAATACGGCCATTCCACTCGAATCCTCTTTTCTGTCATATCTGTCTCCTCAACAATTCTCCCTCCTCTCAGCACCACCTGGCCCGTCCTTCTCTTCTCCAAATCGCCCCATCCTGTCCATTCCCATCCGCTCCTCTTCAGCTAGTCTTACCCGTGTCAAGGACCCTGGGGTTTATATTGCACGATACCCGATCTGGCTCATCTGGCAAGGCTGTTTCTCGACGTCTTTTTAAAGCAGCGTCTAAGCTCGCATTAACCTCATCTCATCCGCTTACCCGCACATACCTACATACCTGATCTGTGCAGCATACACATCACATACATACGCACCCAACAGCACGTCACGCGTGTCCAGGTCGTATCCCACCAGCATCCTCTCCTTCTACCTTTTGTTCAGCCATCACTCATTCGCCTTTGATCTCGCTTCACACACAAGAGCTTAGCCGCGCAGAATGCCTCTGAGGCTGAAGCCGGGCTATCCTCACTCATCCTCGTCGCATCACTTCTTTGGGTCTTCATCGTCTGCTCACCGCTCCTATACAGATGGCCGCGACCAGTCGGCTGGCTACCAGCCCAAGGCACGGGTGACGGAGCGTTATCGCATCATCGGTTTCATTAGCAGTGGCACCTATGGCCGTGTCTACAAAGCCGTAGGCAGGATCGTCAACGGGGAAGGCATCGCTGTTGTCAAGACTTCCAGCGGCCTCACGCCAACATCCGGCACCGGCTCCGGCTCCAGCTCGAGCGCTCCCATTGAGGTTGCCATCAAAAAGTTCAAGCCCGATAAGGAGGGTGAACAAGTCAGTTACACCGGCATCTCTCAGAGCGCCATTCGTGAGATGAGCCTGTGTAGCGAGCTCCGGCACTCAAACGTCATCCGGCTGGTGGAGATCATGCTCGAGGATAAGTGCATCTTCATGGTTTTTGAGTATGCCGAGCACGACCTGCTGCAGATCATCCACCACCACACGCAGCAGCCACGCCACCCGATACCGCCGGCCACGATCAAGAGCATCATGTTCCAGCTCCTCAACGGCTGCCAGTACCTTCACACCAACTGGGTTCTGCATCGAGATCTCAAGCCCGCCAACATCATGGTCACGTCGGGCGGAGAGGTCAAGATCGGAGACTTGGGCCTTGCCCGTCGTTTCGACAAGCCGCTGCACTCGCTCTTCAGCGGCGATAAGGTCGTCGTCACCATTTGGTACCGCGCCCCCGAGCTCATCCTCGGCTCGTACCACTACACTCCTGCCATAGACATGTGGGCCGTCGGCTGCATCTTTGCGGAGCTGCTGTCCTTGCGTCCCATCTTCAAGGGTGAGGAGGCAAAGATGGACAGCAAGAAGACGGTGCCGTTCCAGCGGAACCAGATGCACAAGATTGCCGAGATCATGGGCATGCCGACGAAAGAGCGCTGGCCCCTGCTTCCGGCCATGCCCGAGTACATGCAGCTCAACACGCTCTCGGCGATGCAGCACAGCAGCCACAGCAACCACCACCACCACGGCCACCACCAGCAGCCGCCCAGCCGCGGCTACTCCACGACGTCGAGCCTCGAGAAGTGGTACTACAGCACCATCAACAACAACTCGGGCGCCGGATCGGCCGCGTCGGGCCCCAACGGCCAGCCGGCGCTACAGTCCCTCGGCGCCGAGGGCTACAAGCTGCTCGCTGGCCTGCTCGAGTACGACCCGGAGAAGCGCCTGACTGCCGCCCAGGCACTGCAGTCCGTCTTCTTCAGCTCTGGCGACCGCGTGAGCGCAAACTGTTTCGAGGGCGTCAAGGTCGAGTATCCCCACCGCCGCGTCAGCCAGGACGACAACGACATTCGCACCAGCAGTCTGCCCGGCACGAAGCGTAGTGGGCTCCCGGACGACACGCTGCTGCGGCCGGCAAAGCGTCTCAAAGACTAGGAGTTGCCGCCAGGAGGCTTTGGCCATAAGATAGTGTGGATGGGCCTTTGATCATTGGGGTTGGGACGAAGGTGCATAAAGTATGATGATTGGACACGGTTCGGATGGGGTGTTTGGTTCTTGATATGTCACGGCGTTTTATGATGATGGCTTCATTGGTGAGGGGCGCAATATTGGCTTGTTCTATGGTTGTTATACCTTGGCATGGCATGAATTGGCATGATGGTTATACACTTGTTGGGCTCATCTATTTCTTTTTCTACTATGCTAGTCAGATATGTCACATAGACTCGAGAGAATCCAAGGTCATGGACATCAATGATTGCAACACACAAAGATATCGCTTCGACCACTCACTCGCCAGAACCAGCAGTGGAGAGACAAGTCACAGGCCGTCCTACACCAAAAATACCTATACGTTGACAAAGAAAATTCTATTCAACCAGCACAAGGTGGTAAGCAGTAGTATGTATGTAAGTACTAACCCCAGCCATCCGCCAACTCTCTCGAATCTCCAGCTCTACTTCAGAACCTCATCATGCTCCAACGCCCCTCCTCTCAGCACCACCTCTAGCCAACCACCTTCCCTCATATCCATCCATCCATCCATCCATCCATCGAACCAACCTCCTCGAGCATCGCCACTCTCCTCTTCGCTCCATCTGGCACCGTCTGATCTGTTCCTCCATTTATGTTTTCTCTTTCCTTCTCTCTCACAATCTCTCTTACATACAAGCAAAGGAGAATGGGGTGTTAAAAATCGCGAGGAAAAAGGATCACGGGGTATTTGAAACGTAAACTACTAAACAAGCAACAGAAAACCAGGGCAGATAAAAAAAAAAACCAGCAACGACAATGGACACTGGAAAACGGATTCTTGCAAACAAAGGAAAGACAACAGCCAGATGATGCTAAGATATGCGCTTCCGAGAAATGAAATCGAAAGCTGACAACAATTAAGAGAAAAAATTAGGCCTCTTGTGAAGAAAGTAGACCATCGTTAGAAACCAGCACAATCCCCTCCCACAACACACCTTGGTATACAGCACACACTTTCCACCGCCTCTGCTCCTCTTCTGGATATCAATTCCCCTCAAGTCCCCCCTTATCCCCTGATTTTTTCCTTTTTGCCCATCTTCGGTTCCTCTCCAATCTCTTTCGCCTCCTTCTCACACGTCCACCGCTAGCGAGAGTATATTATGACGGCCAGAGCTCGTCCGGTCGAGCCACAGCGTTATGCCCAGGACAAAGCCGTATGATTGGTGTGCAAGTCCCACCACGGATGTGAATGGGGCGGGGGCCCAGGAAGGGAAGTTGCTGTATGCATCATTGAAAAGAGTCTCCATTAAACGTCGTAGACTTTTGCGAAACCACAAAAATGAGAGTACAAGGCGCGCATGCATTCGTTTCCTTATTTCTTGACGGGCGCGGCGGGGGCCTTGACGTTGTTGGACAGCCAGGCCAGACCCTCGAGGAGACCCTCGCCGGTGGTGGCACAGCTGGGCACGACGTACCAGACCTTGTCCTTGAGCTTGGAGAGCTGGAGGGCTTCCGTGACTTCCTGGGGTGACATGGCTATGATGGGTAGACATTAGCGGCGGCAACTTGCTCAAGAAGATTCCCTGACGCACCTTCTTTGAGATCCTGCTTGTTGGCAAAGACCAACAGCAGACTGTCCTTCATTTCTCGGTCGTTGATGATGCGGTGCAGTTCTTGTCGGGCCTCGTCCATGCGAGCGCGGTCGGAGGAGTCAATGACGAAGATGAGGCCTTGGGTGCCTGCACGAATATCACATTAGCATCCAGCTAGCACTCACACAGCTGAATGGAAAAAGTCGTACCGCTGAAGTAGTGCCTCCACAGGGGACGGATCTTGTCCTGGCCACCGACATCCCAGACGTTGAACTTGACGTTCTTGTAGGTGACGGTCTCGACATTGAAGCCGACGGTGGGAATGGTGGTGACGTCCTGGCCCAGCTTGAGCTTGTACAGAATTGTTGTTTTACCGGCGGCGTCGAGACCCAGCATCAGCAGTCGCATCTCCTTTGATCCGAAGATCTTGCTCATAACTTTGGAAAGTTGGCCACCCATGGTTGCGATTTCTGGTGTTTATATCTCGACGACTCGATTACGGGTGTTCGGTGACGTTGAGTTCGCAGCGGCGCGCGTAAGCGGAGGAAAGGAGGTCGTCGGGAGAAGATGCGCAGGTCGCGGAAGAAGAGGTGGATAAAATAGTAGGGCGGAGGGAGGAGGGCTCTGCAGCGACGCAAAGTAGATTCGGGATTGTGCTGATGCAGGGAGCGAGATCTAGCAGCGAGACATTGGAGTGTTAGCAGACAATGGAAGAGACAGATAGATAACCAAGAAGTGTCAGACAAGACAGGCTCAAGGCAGCGCGTTTGCATTGCAGCCAAGCCTCATCTCATTTCCCCCACCTCGCTCTGCCTGCCTCCTGCTCAAGTGGCCAGAGACAGAAGATGAGAGGACGAGAAGAAGAGAGGAAACAGAGGAGAGGGGGGAGCAAAGCGCGAAGCGCGCAGAGAGCTGCGTCGTGCTGGTCTCAGATTCACCTACAAGACGCGACAACTCGAGCGTCAAAAGCCGAGCAGAAGCAACCACCGGTTGGCTGGATTTGAGACGCGATCGGGGTAACGAAGGTGGGAGACGGAGGGTATAATTCCGAACAAACAGGGAAAACGAAGGGGGGGGAATAAGGGCGGAAGACAGAGAGAGAGAGAGAGAGAGGAAGAAGAAGACAAAAAGACAAAGACGACGAGAGAGCGGGACGAATGGAAGGAAACAACGTCAGAATGGCAGCGAGAGGCCAAGGCGAAGGAGACGTTGAAGAATGAATAGATGGAGAAGAAGAGTCGAAGAAACAGCGTCAGTGCTTGCGGCTGGGCTGGCGATATTGGGGCAAAGGAGGGACTGCAGACTGGAGACTGGAGACTGGAGAGAGAGAGAGATTGATTGAATGCAAATGCAGGCATCGAGTGCAGATGCGAGTGGGTGCTGCAGAAGTCGGGCAGCGCTCGAGGTACCGGTACCCGCCTGCAGGTGCCCTGCGGGTGCTGAAGGATCGAACACAGGGCATGCGAGGCATCCAAGGGGGGCGGGCTTTTGAGCGCCTGGGCAGAGGGGGACAGGGCTCGGGGTGCTGGGCAGGTACCGGTACGACAGGGATCCGGTGAGGTGGCCTCTATTCGTGCCGCTAAAATTGGTTCTACAGGCTCTCTGTGATTAAGGCATCGTCAACTGCCAAATGAACGGAGCTGAAAGCACAGGCGACGGCCGTGAGAGCGCCTGAATCTGCGGACGAGACGGGAACACGGGCATTGTAGATGCGTATCTTAGTATCTGGTTGAGGCAGCAGGAGACCTAAGAATAGACTGACACGAGCGCAATCCAGGGCTCCCTTTCTGCGGTGCTCTCTCACACTCCGTCATGGTCTGTACATACTTGTACCTGAACTACATCATGGGTGTCCAGGCACCGTCACAGTCAGGCATGACCCTCTCAAGACTCTATCATTGTTATAGCAGCAACTAGATGATACTAGTAGCAGCAGCTTGATCTTATTACTACTACTAGCCTTCAATCTCCTCCCTCTTTTCATATTCCCATCACCTCTCTCTCTCTCTCTCTTTCCCTTCCCCCCCTCCCGCCACTAGGAGTCCGGCTTTCAACGACGGCCTGCAATTTGCATTGGATCCAATGGCTTCACAACTGGCCACTGGCCCGTCACTGTGGAGCAAAGCCTCAATTTTCAGGGGTAACCCGCCAGATGCCTCCATTCCTACTTTGTACAAGGTACATGTAGGTAATCTCCGCTCTGCTCGCTTCGGCCATGTACCTAGGTAGGTAAGGTAGGTAAAGTACCTAGGTAGGTACCTTGACGGGCACAGCAACAGGCGACTGATACAAAGCAAACCTGGCTCATATTGGCATGAGAGAGCAATGACGGGCGTTGAATTACCGCGGCCGCTTCAGGCTTTTCAATTTCCAGGGTCGACGATCGTTGCATTTAGCCTCTTTCCTGTCCGAGGGGACCATGTCTTTTACCTTTTGCCTCCTAGGTTGTGTCTGTGTTCTTTGTCTGACAAAGCAACTTGACGCTGTCAACACTCAACTTACATGTACCTAACCTCTCAAAGAGCCACCATAAGACGGGATAGACAAGCTTCAACTTCGACTTCAACTTCGACTCCAACTCTCGATACGCTCAATGTTCTCTTCTAGGTATCCTTGATTCAAAACTAATCACATAGAAATTCACATAAACAGACACCCACCTAAAACACCCCCCAACGCAACACAAACTCCAGACCCCAACTCCCCTCCACCACTCGCCATCCCCAGCCCACCCTACTCCAAACCCATCACACCATCTCAGCCTTCTCCCACCAGCCTCGTCCCGACACAACTCACAGCCGCGAACCAACCAAGTGTTCCTCATATAGACATCTCAAACAGAAGCAACACAAGCACACATGTAGCATCGTGAATACTGGTAGTACATAGAACCCTCCTCTCTTCAGCAGCCCTGTAAATGCAGCTTACTTCAAAACTGACCCCCCAAGTCTCAACGTTACAGCTTCGAAGCCATCCACCTTCCCAATCAGTCCTTGCTCCCAAAATTTCACAACACCAAAAGACAAAACGATTTGAACTTAATCCAAACCCAATGGGTCCAACAGCCTCAAGCCTCCCCTCCCACCCCCGTCGCAGATCGCCCCCGATCCTTACAAGATAACCCGCCACACGTCGGAGTCCATTGAAACATCTTGGCTACCATCCTCCCCCCGCCAGTGTGCCTCTACCGTAAAGCCGTAGCCAAGGAACTTGAAGACAAATCCTGAAAGACAAACAAGGCGAAACGCTCACCAGTCCGGACATGGAAGGTTCCAATGTCACCTCGTTGATACCGGAAGCCTAATACAAGTCTTGGCCGTTTTGTACAATGTCAGCCTGACTCCAATTCTCCTGCTTCCCCTTCTTATAAAGCCTCAGGCCCGGGCCATATCCCATCCCATCTGAAAGTGTAAAACACCAAATCCCTCGCCCATCTCAACCCCACCTCACACTGTAAACTGTCATCAGCTTCATCATGAAGCTCTCATCAACCCTCTCAGCGGCCCTCGCCATCTCCCCGGCCCTCGCCGCCCCGACTGCGCGGGCGACTAATACCTCCTCCGCTCGCCTCATCTACTCCAACTCGGGCCACATCTTCCTCGGTTCCTTCGACGGCACCTCCGTCTCAACCACCCTCGACGCCCCCGTCCCCGGCACCATCCCCTCCTGGCTCAACTTCGTCGCCCCCAACACCCTCTACGCCGTCGACGAAGGCTCCAGCAGCACCTTTCTCTACAACGTCGACGCCGACGCCAACGCCGTCAAGGAAGTCACCCGCGTCCAGGGCTCCGCCGGCGTCGTCCACCTCGAGGTCAACAAGGCCGGCACCCGCATGCTCGGCGCCGGCTTCGGCTCCGGCAACATCGACGTCTGGGACATTGAGGGCGGCGGCCTGACGCTCCTCAAGACCATCCAGTCCCCCGGCCCCGTCGGCCCCGACACCACGCGCCAGGCCAGCCCCCACCCGCACATGGCCGTCAACGATCCCACCGGCCGCTTCTTCGTCGTCAACGACCTCGGCACCGACTCCATCCTCGTCATCGACTCCCAGGACGACGCCTTTGAGATTGTCAACCGCGTCGCCGTCGTGCCGGGCTCCGGCCCTCGCCACGGCGTCTTCTACCCCGCCGGTGCCGCCCAGGCCACCCACTACTTTGTGCTCTGCGAGATGGGCAACATCGTCGTCGCCTACTCCCTTCAGTACACCGACAACGGCAAGGGCATTGAGTTCGAGACCACCCAGGTTCTCAACAGCTTTGGCCCCAACAGCCAGACGCCCGCGGGTGCCGCTGCCGGCGAGCTTGTGCTCTCTCCGGACAGCAAGGACCTGTACCTGTCGAACCGCCTCTCCGGTCAGGCGACGGACAACATTGCCCATATCAAGATCATTGACCAGGGCGCCGACGTCCTAAAGCTCCTTTTCATCGACACCGTCTCCTCGGGCGGCGGCCGGCCAAGAATGTTCAGCATCAGCAATGACGGCAACTCACTGTTTGTCACGAACCAGGACGGTCCTCTCGGTGTGGCGGTCATCTCTCGGAACCCCCAAGACGGTTCCCTGAACGCCGACTTCACTGGGTCCATCGACGCGAGCGCTTTTGGCGAGGCCGGAAATGGTCCCCAATTTATTCAGCAAATCCAGTGATGCGTCGACAGAAGTGTGAAACCCCTTGACCTTGTTTCTTGACTCGCGCATTGCATGATCTTGGAATTGGGACACACGTATCGCGCAGTATGAAATGTAAAATGTCCGGAACACGAGCATTGCTGCTCAATGAGTATATGGGATTGATGGAACCTGTACAATAAGCTAGAATGAGATAGAGAATGAAGGGAATAGGAATTAGAAGCAATAAATTTCGCTTCAGATGAAGACCAAAACTCCGTTTCCGTCCGGTGTGAACCAACCGTCAAGACCTTTTGTTTGCCCCTCCGTTCCCAGAAACCACAACTCCGAAGAAGCGTTGCCGCTCGACTTCTGAAAAGAATTTACACTCGTTGCCAGAACGCCTTACCAATGCATGAGCCGTGACACGTCACGGACACAGATAACCAAACAGCAGAATATCATAAGAGTAAACAGGAGGCAAAGATCCCAAAGAGAGCAAGAGGTGGAGAGGAAAAGCGGATGAAGAAAAATGCCCCGCATCGAAAGGCCATGGGAGTCTCAGTTTGTGATGGAGAGGCTCATTGCCTGTACTCGATGACATATCTCCGGTCCACCTGCTGCAGCGTCGTCGAGTCGTTTTCGCCCTCAAACTTGAGATCAACCTTGCCGGGCGTCGTCGTGCCGTGCACTTCGGCCTTGTAAAAGGTGGTCGTCTGCGGGTAGAGGGCAAGCACCGTCTGGCCGGGCTCGTAGTCCTTGAGCGTGCTGGCCTGGCTTTCAGGCGTGATGGGAATCATGCTGCTCGCGCTAGAGCGGTATTCCTTCTGCTTGCTCTGGTCGTCGGGCTCAATGTCGATAACCTTGTACCGCCGACTCTTGCCCTCGCCGAGCACTGCGGCCACCTCACCGAGGATCCAGTCCGACGTCTGCTCGCCATTGACGGCCTTGGGCTTGAAGGCCACCTCGTCGCCCTTGGAGAAGAGCACCCTGGACCTATTGATGGCGGCAGAGGCCGCCGCGCTGCCGCTCGTAGATCCCGGGGGCTCGACACTGTCCGCCTTGGGCGGAATGCTGTCCCTGTCCCGGTTGCTGCTTCGATCGCCGTGTTTTCGAGATGAACCGGCCACGGGGCTGGGCACGGGGGAGTCGCCTGCGCCGTCAAAGTCGTAGAGGGAGGCGGCCGCTGCGCTGTCTCTAGTGGTTGACCTCTTAGATGGCCCGGCGGGAGGTGCTTCGGCCTGTTCCTTGGCCACCACGACGGCTCGGAGAACCTTGAGGCGTTCCGTGAGGTTCTTGGCTAAGTTGATGTTGTCCTCGGACTTCTTGACCCCGGAGCGGCAGAGCTCCTCCATTTCCCTCATAGTGCTCGTGGGCACGCTGTCCGAGTCCATTGTGCCGGCCTGCTTGTCCATGGCCACGAGCTTGGCCAGATTGTCATTGTCCGCGTTGATACCGCTGATGAGGTCGTTGAAGGACGCTTTGGCCTCATCCCATATCTGGACCTCTTCGCCGTGCACACCCCCATTGTTGCGGTTGGACCCGCGGCCGCTGCGGTTTCGTTGCGACATGTCGCGGCGGCCTGGCTGGCTGTAGTAGGGACCGAGGTCTTCGGCGAGGTTGTTGACTTCGCGCTGGGCTTTCCGGTTAGCCATGGTGGTTCGATCCCCTCGGTGGGAGCCGCGCGGGTTTTGCAGACCGTCCCCCGACCGTGCGAGTCAAACAGACCCGAGAAGCAGCGCCACGGTCAGGGAAGGATAGAAGAGCAATTCACAATGGATGTATGCTGGGCCAAAGAAAGAAAGAAGATGATGACGATGTGCAAGGACGAAGGGAAATATAAAACAAGGCAAAAAGACGGTCTGGCGGGCTGGGGGAAGAATAGCAAAGATGCAAATGCGGGCAGAAAAGAAGACGCCAACTGGCTACCAAGCACTGCATTGGGAAGACTAACGGCAAAGAGGCAATTCAAGGAAGATGCAGACGCAGGTTGATGCAGCGGCTGGACTGGGGTGTGCTGTGGACTGGCGACTTACTGGCTGCTTGGCTGTCCAAACCCTGCCCGAGTGGGTGCAGCTGCTGGCTGACTCGCCTGTTGCTCGCTAACGTGCGTTTCTGGCGCTCTGGGAAGCAGCGCTTTGACGACGGCGACGCGTTTTCTGGGCGGGATATCGCGGGTGAGAAGCGGCGAGGCGAGGCGACAAGCAAGGCGCTGAGAGCGGCAGAGAGACGGCAGTCGAGAGGTGAGAGAGGAGAGAGAAGGAGGAGGAAGAGAAAGAAGAAGAAGAAGAAGAAGCGTAACCGCCGCTGTCTCGCGCAGAGATGAAGAAGGGAAGGGAAGAGGAAACAAACAAAAGCAGGGCCGAGCCGGGGTGATAAGTAAGGCAAGTAGCAACCTGGAGGGCAAGGTATAAGGTCTAATGACGAGGCAATGGTCAAGTATGTCTGGTATTAGTATTACTCGGTCCAGCAGGTCTCAACCCATTTTATGCGCTAGAACGCCAGTGGGCGGCCAAAGGGCACAGGCACAGGCACTGGACAGGCACGCGACTCAAGCGGTACAGCGAGCGCCAGTGTCGTTCTGCAGGGAGCTGCTGCGGTGCTGGCGAGGGCGGCTGGGTACAGTATCGAGCGTGTATCACGGAAGCCGTAAGGTCAGGTAAGGTGAGGCATGCGAGCGTTGCGCAAGTTGGCGATCTCGGCGAGATTCACGGTGGTTGTCGAGACGAGGTTGAGCAAGAGGCTAAGGCTGGGCAGGCGCGAACCTTGCTGCTGCCATGGCTGGCACTTGGCTTGCTTCGCTTCGTCACCTTCCAGTTGGCATCCAACCTACCTGGTACCTCTAACCTTGAAGCCCGTTTCGGACCGTCTATGTCCCGCGCTATCTGCTGTAGGTCTGTACTCCTGTAGGCGGTACTTGGCCTGTACAAGCCTGTACAGACGCCCCAGCGAGCTGTTCGAGAGGGAGCCAACATGAACAGTGCCGGCGGTGCTCACAGCGAGCTGTAGCGAGCGCGTCGAGTAGGTATCTCCAAGTACTGCACTCTGCTTACTTTACTAGGTATGCTGTACCTTGTAGGTAACCGGAAGTTCTCGTCTTCCAGCTCTGAAGATGTTCTTCAACTGCTACCTATACCTGGACAGCTCTGAGATGAAGGGATCCGATCGATACACCATCACCATCACCAGGATCATCACGAACGGACTCAAGAGTGAGACATGCCATACAGAAAGCCCGGACTCAATAACTCATTTCATCCTTTCGACCCACGCCGACTACCCTTGAATATGGCTCAACAAGCCTGGGTCTGGGAGGTTGACCAAGACCCTCTCCAACTCGGACTCTCGCCATATCAAGCGCCACGATGCCAAAGGACGCCATGGCTGAACGTACTCTACCATTAGAACCCTTCCCTCAAGGCGTCGTCTCCTGTTGATGAGAGCACAGTAGCTAATATACCTTATGTATGAGCCTTCCCGTGATGAGTCCCTTCAATCCATTTCCATGCTCGTCACTCCTTCTCACGAACCGGCCTTGCTTGCATTACGGCCATCATCACTTCTGCTACCACTTCCTCTACCATGGCGTCCAACGAAACAATGAAAACCCGCCTGCCGAGGCACGAAATCCTGCACCAACTGCGAGGCCATCAAGAGAAGAGACATCGAGACCTGGTTTGCCACCGCTCCGTGGATTGCCGCTGGATCTTCCAACCATCCGTCTCTGACATGGCTTCGCTAGCTGCCGAGATGACGCTCGAAGATGCAGACGACTGCTGTAACAAAGCCACCGGCATCTACGTCCACTCAGCTAAACGCACAGGCTACCTTTGCCTGCTTCTCCAAACGCTGCATAACTACCTGTATGGGAGGTGGTTTCGTCCTTACAAGAGCGAAATCGAGTACGTCCAGTTCATCGCAAAGACGTTTCTCCCAGAGCTGCTCCTCGAGGATTTGCGACCCGGACCCTTGGCCAATCTTGCCGTCTCGGTCCATGCAGCCATCTGTAATCGGGCACAAGAGATCCGAGATGCAGTCAAGGACCTCTCACCTCACCACAGTCGCAGCGACTGGGATCCGCCGCCTGCCAAGTGCCCCAAGAGGTTGGGGCGGGACGCATACTCGCGAATGGAACTTGATCGGATTATTCGCCACCAAGAGTTCTTTGTGCTTCGGCCGTTGTTCCGAGCAATCATCATCATCATCAGGCTTGAAGAATACAGTGACAAAGACTTGGACATTGCTCAACTGCCCGTCCTCCTGGTCAGGACGGGAACAGAGGACGGCCTCAGCGCTCCCATTTCGTTTGAGTCCATCGCCCACCATATCCACAGTGCCATCCATGATACCGCAAAGGGCGAGATAGCAGTCCGAGTGGCGCTTGAAGTCGCCGTGGACTTCATCATGATGTTGGAGAAGCGCGAGACTGATGCTTTTGGCCACCAACCGGACCCGATTGCGTCTACCCGGGATCTTGAAGACGGCGGCCTTGCCGGTCGTTACGAAATTCTCCAAACAGCTGAGACACTTGGCTGGGGCGATGAGCCATTGGCAGGACCGAGTTCTGGATGGGTAGACACCAAGATACATACCGGATGGTGCGGCGGAGGTGTCGATTCGGACAACTGGAAGCGACGAGCGCAGAGGCTTGAACGCGAAAATGTTATCAGGGCCGAGGAGATGTACCCTGAGCCTTACCAGTGGCCAGCCATCCTTCAAGGGTCCAGGAAGCATTGGCAAATCTGGCGAGATTGAGGCATCTGCTGGTATACCTTGTAGTTAAGGGAACTCTTGTGCCTTCTTTGTCAGGAACCTGCCTTGCAAGGCTAAGCATCTACCTTGCTTGTTCGCCTTGCCTTACTTAGATTCTGGGAGCTTGTAGTTACATAGCTCATATGCTATTTGCTTTTGCGAGGAGGGCACTTGCAAGACTGGCTCTATGAAGGGCGTTGGATACTGTCGCTACTACGGTCGTACGGGATGGTCCTTGCAAAGAAGTGCAATCTATTTCAGAGGATTGTTGTTGCCTTTTGAGTCTTAGGTTGTTGATAGGACACCTTCTTTACAATAAGGTAGTGAAAACCAGCCTCTTGTCGCTGAGACTTCCAGTTATCTGGCCTACCTAGGTAGGTACCCAGAGAATATCTACCTAGGCAGTATGGTGCTTTAACCGTGGCCCTTCTGAACCTGATCTTTCTTGTCGCTCTGATTTCTGCTGCTCATAGGCTGGCCTTACACTTGGATCTTTATGGTCAAATGTTCATGAAACAACGCTCTGGGTCCTTGAGCTATGTATCATGATATCAGCCTTGAACAGTCTGGGTTATGGCTGTAATGCAAGCATACCATGGCTTCAAGGGGCAGGAGTAAAGAAAAGAAAGACAGATTCTCAGAGATGATACAGACTCCCTTCAAAAACGCTGCTGTACATGATCCCCAGTGTCGACATCCTGATCTATTCTAGGTAAGGTAGATTCAACTCAGTATATCGTTATTCGAGATAAAATGGATAGCATTGAGTATCTGAAGAAAGTAGGTACCAATATTAAACTTCTCTTTATAGCTAGATCACAGTACTGAAAAGAAAAGAAGTAGCGATTATTATCTTGAATAAAAGATATAGCAGTCTATATCTCTACTAGAGGAAAGTAGAAGAAGTAGAGCTACCTAGAATTACAAGTCTCCTCTTTCTACCCCCTCCTCTCCCCCCTCTCCTCTGCTTATTTCATAACCATCTCCTGTTTCGCCATTTAAACGTACATTCAAAGCTCTCTCGGCGCCGTCTGCCCACACATCAACAAGCATCACGCCTGCAGCAGCATCTCTAGGACTGCTCGCGCCTGAAAAGCAGATCAACAAGAGCAGTTCAGACTGGCATTCTATCCGGCCCTATTCTCATTCCGACGGTTACTCTGCCACCGACCGTGCCCAGAAGGAATACCAGAACACCTGAACCTGCTGGAAGGCACCTTTTAGTCCACCAACTTTGGAACGACGCAGCCTCTTCTCTCAAAGCTCAGATCATAGACGCAGCCAGCGACATGCAGTGCAATGTCATGGATGTTTTGTGGGTTACGTTCGTCCCTACAGAGTCACTGGCAGGCTACATGCATGTCATGGTCCCATATCGCCCATTCGACCACCGTCAGCCCAGTACTTGCTCGTGTCAATCTCCGTCAGTCGCGTGTGATCAGACATTCCAACTGGATCTGGGCCAGCCGGGCACTCTTTGCCTTGTCCTGTTTGACAGGTTCAATTTGCTCTGTATGCCACTTCTGTCCAGTCTGTTTAGTGAGCCAGACTGCTGAGACACTCTGAACCGAGGAGCAAGCGCCTCCACAGCCAAGAAGTTGAAGAAGACGGCAGACACCCACACAGTGACCACGAAGCTTTGTCACGCAGTATTGATCCCATCAACCACTAGCAAATCCCTAGACACCCCGAAAGGACTTCAACAGTGACCTAGCAGCAAAGCCGTGAGTCTCGGACGGCCTCTTGTTCAACTCAACCGACCTTCCAAGCTACAAAAACGACAAGGTTGGATGTCTGCCGTTTGCTGCCTCGCCACCAGCTGACTTTAGGCAAAACAGGTCATTGAATCCAGATCGGAGTCGACACTCGCATCCGTGCTCCGGGAGTCACGATCGAGACATGCCGCCCAAGCATGCAACCTGCCCCAGGGTCCGATTATATCCAATTTAGCCGCTGGACAAGCTGCATCCATGCCGCTCATCACCCCCGCAAATCACTTTCGGGTCCCGTCTTCTCCCAGATTGCTTTCATCGGCACTAGACCAATGGAGAGCGGCTCTTGCTGAATGCCGTCGTAGGCTGTTGTCGACGGACCTCGGGGTGCATGAGGCTGGGAACAGGGGGTGGGGGACATGGCATGGTGTGTGTGTGTGTTATGGTTAATTGGAAGCATACGGGTTGACTCTACTTGGTTATAACGGCCACATTCGACATCAGGTAATGGATGTGACATGGCCGCTCCACGGCGGGCTTTGGGCGTGAATTACGACATTGCGGCAAAGATGGAATGGACTATTCGCCATTCTAGCACGCGATATTGTGATGCTGCTGCTGATGGCTAATCCCAAAGACTCGTCATACTGCCTCTTGTAGTTTACTGCATCGTCTTGACTCCACTGAGAGGACTGTGCCGATGAGACGCTGCTGAGAAACGTCGAATCGGTTGTACACTCGGAGCATTTTGGGGTAACTTGTTGATTTTCCATTTCCTTCTATACGTCCATGAGTTTCCGTTCCGATATATGAGATTGCCAAGAGGAAATTAGCCGTTATTCAGACAATGTATGTGCCGGGCTTCTTCTCACATGTATCGGAGCAGAAGGGGTCCATCTATGTGAGCTGACTCGAGACGGCTGAGACAGCAGCATCACCACGTCACGATGGTGTTGCAAGGCGCAATATCATTGATGAAAGGAGAACAACTTCTAGACTGGGTAAATTGGTCAATGGCCAGCCGCTCGGCCGTGCGGAGACGAGGCAAGCTTGATGAGGCCAAATTATCCGTCAACTGTCTTATAAAGGAGCCCATGCCAAACCCCCCCTAAAGACTCAAGAAGCCAAACCTGAACAACCCCAGCACCTGAACAGTCATACAACCCCTCCAAGCCCAAAAGACACAACAACTCCTACTAGCTGAAGCAAGAAGACATCAACATGGTCTCCTTCACCTCCCTCCTCGCCGGCGTCGCCGCCATCTCGGGCGTCTTGGCCGCTCCCGCCGCCGAGGTCGAATCCGTGGCTGTGGAGAAGCGCCAGACGATTCAGCCCGGCACGGGCTACAACAACGGCTACTTCTACTCGTACTGGAACGATGGCCACGGCGGCGTGACGTACACCAATGGTCCCGGCGGGCAGTTCTCCGTCAACTGGTCCAACTCGGGCAACTTTGTCGGCGGCAAGGGATGGCAGCCCGGCACCAAGAACAAGTAAGACTACCTACTCTTACCCCCTTTGACCAACACAGCACAACACAATACAACACATGTGACTACCAATCATGGAATCGGATCTAACAGCTGTGTTTTCAAAAAAAAGGGTCATCAACTTCTCGGGCAGCTACAACCCCAACGGCAACAGCTACCTCTCCGTGTACGGCTGGTCCCGCAACCCCCTGATCGAGTACTACATCGTCGAGAACTTTGGCACCTACAACCCGTCCACGGGCGCCACCAAGCTGGGCGAGGTCACCTCCGACGGCAGCGTCTACGACATTTACCGCACGCAGCGCGTCAACCAGCCGTCCATCATCGGCACCGCCACCTTTTACCAGTACTGGTCCGTCCGCCGCAACCACCGCTCGAGCGGCTCCGTCAACACGGCGAACCACTTCAACGCGTGGGCTCAGCAAGGCCTGACGCTCGGGACGATGGATTACCAGATTGTTGCCGTGGAGGGTTACTTTAGCTCTGGCTCTGCTTCCATCACCGTCAGCTAAAGGGGGCTCTTCTTTTGTGATGTGTGAAAAAAAAAAAAAGGATGGTGGATAAAAGGGGGTTGAAGGGCTTGTGTTCTTTGGCTCTGTAGAGGCTCTAGGGGGTTGGATTGGGCTGACTATGGTCTCCCCTTTGTATGCTACACACTGATCAGACGATCGTAGTCAGTTGAGAGATGAGCTTCATTGGTCGATATGAGTGCTTTGAGACTGGACACTTGCGTGACTGCATGTTCCGTTTCTTGTGATAATTGCCGTGAAGATGTGTCTGCTGGTATGACGACAAAGTAGCATCAGCAGCAAAGTATGGCGAGGACTACTAGGCCCAAGATATTGTCGGCTTCGTCAAAGTGAGAAATTTTAGGGTCTCCATTGATTACATTCATCCGTTTCAGAAGCACGATATAGAGGAGTAGCACCATCAGGTCGGAAAGGTCGTCAACAGCTTGAACAAGTCATACTAAGGTATGTTAGTGTGGTCGTGGTTGTCGGTATCAGTAGGTATCATTGGAGTATGTGTTATATACAGATTAATGGGACCAATGCATCACGCATCAGGACATGCCCTGGCAATCCTCCCTCTTACAAATCGCGATGAGGCTTGGGTTTGGGGGTAATAGTAGCGGTCGTAAAGGTGGTGGTGCCAGTAGCGCACACGCAGCCCTGGCCGGAAATGCTGGTAATGGGAGGAGATTTGCAGGTGGGCTCGGTGGTAAAGGAGGCGTAGGTGCTGGTGGGCTCAACCGTGGGCTCAACCAGCTCAGCCTTGACCAGGACGGGGATGATCTGGCCTGTGGACAGGCTGAAGGAGCGGTGGTTGAGCACGGTGAGAATGGCGCCAATCTCGCCCGAGTGGCTGGTGATGCTAATCCAGGTGTTGTCGTCGTGCGAAAAGACGTCGTCAATCGCCTCCTTGGAACGGGCGACCTGGTGAGCAGGCGTCTCGCCCTCGTCCTCTTTGCCGCGCCACAGCAGGTCCTCCTCGGTGAAGCCAGCCTCGAACTCAAAGTTGGGAGCGTAGGCGTGAATCTGAGACTTGGTGGAGCGGCGGTCGCAGGTGTGGATGCTGATGCTCTCGCGAAACAGCTCCTTGATGACGGGTTTGAAGGGGTGTGAGCGAGGTAGCTTCTGGTTGGCAAAGGTGAATTGGGCCGTCTGGAGGCAGCGCTTGAGAGGCGAGCTGTAGTACGACTCAAAAAAGGGGAGGCCTTCCTGCTCGAAGCGCGACTTGAAGTAGGCGTTGGCCTTGGTAGTCTGCTGAATGCCGTTGGGGGTCAGTTCAGGGTCAGCCCAGGTGGAAGTGCCGTTGCCATCTTGCTCGGCCCAGTAGCACTATGGAAGCGTAAGTCAGCAGCTGTTTGAGCAACGAAGAGGAGATTTGTCGAGGCTCACATTCCAGGCGGGAGTGCCGTAAAAGCTTTCGGCAGTGTTGTGCCATCCCTCGCCGTGGCGGCCCATGAAGAGCACCTTGTAGGTGCTCTTGTCCTCCTTGCGGCACTCGCTGTTGAGCGACTCGACGTAGTGGGCGAAGCGCTGCCACTGGGTCTTCCTGTGGTGAGGATCGAACCTGGCATCTGTGGGGTAGGTCCTGTTGATGAGACCAAAGTTGAAGGCGGCCTGTGTCAAGCAAAGCGTGAGTCGGAGTCTCTAACCAGAGCGGCACAGATGCTGGCAACACCTACATAGTCGAAGCTGCCGGGGTCAGTGCTCGGGTCGTCCTGGAGGAAGAAGCCCGGAACCGACGAGTACTTGATGTCGTCGCAGTCGGAGACGTGCTTCCAGGCCACGGCGCCGCGAGCGAGCGCCAGGGCGACGGACAGCAGAGAGGCCTTCATCTTGGCGATAATGAGGATGTAGATGAAGACGAAGAGGAGGCAGAGGCTCAGACTCGTTGGCTGCGACGGAAGACAGGCGTCCTAGAGAGCAACGTCATGTCGATCCCGGGGCGACGCAGCGACTTATATGTCTGAACCTGTCCAGCTGCTCTCTCCTGCATGCGACGTTGAGACACTCGCAACAGGCTGGTGAACACCAGGATGTAACCAGTCGACAGGGCTGGGAGGCTGCACCCGCTGCGCCAGATGGAGCCTGTCAGTGCTGCTCTGGGGCCTCTGTCAGCACTTGAGCCGAGGTGCCGTCTTTAGCGCGCCATGTCGGTGTCGAGAGAAGAACGGCCGTGGACGCAACAGCAGGCTCAAGGCCCATGTCCGCTCCAATCGATGGACAACGTGGCGGGCCAGTCCGGGGCCGCGAGGCTTCAGGGCATCGGAATGCGCACGTGGAGGCGCACCGTGGTAGACGATTCAGGGGACTTTCGGCGTGCGGGTGGTTCCTGGATCTGGCAGACGACGGTGAGAGTGATGATGCTGTGGGAGATGGACTGCCGGTTGGGTCATGGTGCCATGCTGGCGTGGCAAAAGGACCATGTCGAGCCGTTGAAAGACGTCGATGGAGATGTCGGTCGATGTTGTGGGAGTGGGGCTCTTCCACTTTGACTGTCACTTGTTTCGTAGAGATGCTGAGCCAGTGCAATCGCAAAGAGCGGAACTGATGACGATGATGTTGTTGTTCTTCATGAGACGAGAGGGTTGGGTAAAGGCTCATGAAGGGCTCCCAAACGTCAGCAAGCGATCCATCGCTTAGAGCTTACGGTTAAGGTACCTGTAATAACCACCGGCACCTCCAGCTCTTTCACCAGACATGTTAGCGTCCGTCGCTTAGCGGACCCTGACGTGCACCTCAAGGGGGGCTACCTACCCAGAGTCACTGAACTGCGCTAAAGCCGCTGAAGAGCTGCTACGCCCACTGTAACGGCTCCGATAAGATAGCCCTGGAGCAGCCCAGCGATGAATGTCACCTTCATTTCCCCGCAGTCGCCCCCAACAACCCCTGAACAAACATGCATTGAGCTCACAGCCTTGCCGTAGACACGACAGCTCAGCTCTCCAGCGACGGCAGACGAAGCCTCGGATTGAGCTACGGTTGATTGAGCATCTACGGACCCTGTGCTGGCCCTGCGTCCAATTATACTCCAGAGCGCCATTGCCCACTTCCGCTTCAGTCCCAAGATGAGCGCCTCCAACCCGGAGCTTCTCGAGCAGCCTCAGGGCGAGCCTGCGCCGGAGCTTCTCGACGGTCGCATCTGGGTCGACGGCTGCTGGGACTTTTTCCACCATGGTGAGACCCCAATCGCGCATGATGAGCTCCCCCCATTGATCCATGGCAGAGCATATGCTAACGAGTCTGGGCGCGACTGTCAGGCCACGCCGGCGCAATGGTTCAGGCCAGACAGCTGGGCGACGAGCTGTACGTCGGTGTCCACTCGGACGAGGCGATTCTTGCCAACAAAGGCCCTACGGTCATGAACCTCGAGGAGCGGTATGTCGTGTCGTTCTATGTTGAGTCTTGGAGATGTGAGAGGAGCAAGGGCGCATGAGGACTGACTGCTTGATTGCAAACAATAGCCTCGCCGCGACCGATGCCTGTCGATGGGTTACCAAGTCGGTCGGATACGCCCCTTACGTGACACAGCTCCCCTACATCTCTCACTACGGATGCCGATACGTGGTTCACGGCGACGACATTACCTCGGACAGCGACGGCAACGACTGCTACCGCTATGTCAAGGAGGCCGGCCGCTTCAAGGTCGTCAAGCGATCGCCCGGCATCTCCACCACGGACCTCGTCGGCCGCATGCTGCTGTGCACTAAGACTCATTTCATCAAGTCGCTGAAGAAGACGCTGGCCGGCGAGGAGGGCGTGGGCACCCCGGAGGAGCGCAAGGCCCAGGCGGAGGCGATGCTCGAGCGGATCAAGCTGTATGCGACGGACGAAACAGCCAAGAACCCCGGTGTGGACGTCTGGTTCTGGCATTCCGCTCCCGACGCGGGCGATGGCGAGCGTGGATCATATGAAAAATTTCTGGAGGGAGCTGGTCGCAAACCTGGGCAGCGCGTGGTCTACGTCGACGGCGGGTTCGATCTCTTCTCCAGCGGTCACATTGCGTTTCTGCGCAAGGTGCTGGAGGAGGAGGACAAGCTTGCGCGAGAGGCGGGCTGGTTCTCTGCCGAGGCCACCGAGAAGCGGAAGAGCGCAAACGGCGGCAAGGACTACGGGCCGGCATACGTGGTGGCTGGCGTTCACGAGGACCGGGTGATTAACGAGTGGAAGGGGGTCAACTATCCCATCATGAACATTTACGAGCGAGGGCTCTGCGTGCTGCAGTGCAAGGTATGTCTCTGGCGCCTCTCATCTCTACCGCAGCCGACAACTGATTACCCGTGTATAATAGTACATCAACGCCGTTGTTTTCGGAGCGCCCTTTACCCCGACCAAGAGCTACCTCACAGACTCGCCGTGGGGCGTCCCCGACGCGGTGTATCACGGCCCAACGGCCTTTATGCCCCTGACATACGACCCGTACACGGCGCCCAAGGAGATGGGCATCTACCGGCAGATTGGCGAGCACACGTTTTCGCACGTCAACGCGGGGGAGATTGTGCAGCGCATCATGAAGAGCCGCGACATGTACGAGGCGCGGCAGCGGGCCAAGGGGGTCAAGGCCGAGGTGGAGGCGGCGGCGAGGGCGCGGGAGCAGCTGGAGGAGGAGCAGCGCAAGAAGGAGGCCGAGAGGGGGGTCATGTCGAGCTGAGCATGTTGTGGTTTTCGGCGACGACGACGACGACGGACACGCGGGTGATTGGGTGTGAATTGGATCATGGAGTTTGAGATACCTACAGTCTTCAACAGGCGACGAAGAGGAGAGGCAGGATAGATACCTATAGACGGAGAATAGCGATTGCTTGCCATTGACGACTCACTCGTCTCTGTGCGTTAATAGTAACATGCCTTGTGATGGCAGTAGTAGGTAGAAGGGCTGAAACGCAGTGGGCGCTGCATTGCCATCTTCTGACCGCCTGCTTACTCTGTACGCAAACCATCGTGCTCATGTGAGCAAACGACTTGCCGCCGTCGTACACCGGAACGAAGGGAACAACATCGATGATCTCATGCAACGCCAACCTAAACCACCTACCTACCTACCTGATACATAAAGGCGCCTGTCCTACCTTACCTACCAACCCAATCGCACAGTACAAGCTCATCGTAGGTAATCGGAGAAAGAAAATATGACAGTAGGGCACGGCTATTGACGGTGTAAAAAGTGCCCCGGCTTAGACTAATAGTAATAGGTACCTTTTTTTCTTTTCTGTCGTCTTCCTCGAGATGTGGGGTACGGGTGGGATGCGATGTTATGCGCGGGCCCGGATCGGAGCTGATAAGGGAGTGACTGACTGACACGAAGAAGGATGGAAACTTTGGTCAAGAGGCATTGGAGGGTAGGTATCCTGGGGATGCTGGAATGTTCTGTGTAAATTGATGAGATCTAATGGTTGCTATCTGTCTGCCTCAATCTTCCTTTTTGACACTTGTATCTCAGTCTATTCGGTATTAGATCACGCAAGGTGGGTTGCAAACACTGTCTGAATCTGGAAAGGCCAAGTCGACATCTTCCCTCCTTTGCATCTCAATCTCCATGTCAAGACGCATCCGTTCATCACCACGGCGCGCCCTTTCACCCCCCCACACCATGTCATGTCGTGTCGTGTCAAAGATCGGAAACAATGTCGCATCCGGCATCGCACCGCTCATCAATCGCATCAATTACCACCTATCTTATCATATTAGATTAGTAGTAGTAGTACTACTACTACTACTGTAGTACTAGCAACTCGTACGATCTTGTCTGTCAAATGCCAGATGACAAAGGGCAAGTCCCTTCTTAGTAACCCCCCCCCCCCCCTTGCTTGTGTTCCATGTGCCGTGAAAGCGGGGCGGAGTATTTCCGCTCGCCGGGAACGTGGGGTCAACAACCCAAGGCCAGCTTCGGTCGGTGTCGGTGGCGGCACTGCCCGGTCCTGCCTTTTGCTGTCTGGATGAGGAATTGGGAGAAGAGCAGCTGGATCAATTGGAGCGAATCCGACTGAGCATCAATTCATCTCGATAAGAATCATCAACATCGACCAGGACAGTGGATTTGCACCGTCAATTGGAACCCCAAGAAGGACATGAGTAACATCAGAAGAGGCTTGTCGCCGGGCTCGGCACATGGGCGGTGCGGGCAGACACGGGATAGTAAGGCAAGGTATTCCCATCACCGCGCTTCCCCCAGTCACTTCAACCGAAACAATACAGTACATACCTACCTTAGGTAGTAGTAGTAGTAATATCGTACCTCGAGAACAAAGACGCCGGACCGCCAGGAGAAACAGGTCACCTGCACCCCCCCTTTCCTCGCGCTGGAGCCAACCAAATCCCATGCTCGCCCTTTTTCCAGGCATATCATAGCGTACGGCCTCTGTTCGCTAGTGTCTGTGCCTTTGTCGGTGACGTCTTGATTTCTCCGTTGGCTTTTAGAGCTGATGGCCGTCTCCCTCCTTCTCCCTCTCCCTCTCTGTGAAGCATTATAAACATAGTCTTGGACCTCTAAAGTAATAACATCACAGTACCATGATTTTAGTAGAAGCACCGACCACAAAGTCATCCACCCCCCAGAGCCTCTACAAGCCGAACCAACGGCCATCCCCAGCTTCTATCCCCTTCACAACTTGGAGTTTCTAGCGTTCCCACGGAGTCGTACCTACAACCGACCCGCGAGTGACCCCACTCTACGCCGCGTGCCGATGCTGCTCCTTGAGTAGCCGCTGTCCAGCCTCAAGGTACTCACACCCTCACACAACTTCCAGACGCTAAACCACTTTATTGTGGAGCCACCGACGAACGGACGGGATAAGAACCTTTTTCTTTCCTTTCCCTTTTTGGTGTCATAAAAAGGCGACTTTTTGCCTCTCTTTTGTCTCGAGTCAGTTTTTGAAAGATTTTAGAGAACCACTATTTTGTTCTCTTTGCCTTCCATCAGACTCCCGAATTTTCACGTATCAGTCTTATCGAAAAAGGCAAGGGAAAGCAGACTTGGGAACAATTTACAGACTCTTGACAAAATCGTAGGATCATCACCGTCAAGACTGAAAATCTCCGCCGTACCAGATTTTTGGAATCCCCCAATTTAAGCCAAAACGTGGAACCGGCTGCTGGCTAGTAGCATCTTCCTCAAGCCTCCCTCTTGTTACTTGGCGTCCAAAATAGTTCCCAGGTTCCATACGATATACACGCACACACAAGCCGCGGCTGATCAATTTTTTTTCTTCTCTCTTTCTCCTGGCACGCTTTGAGTCATTCTCCATCGAGACCCGCCATCGGACCTTATCTTGCCCGCCAGCTCCTCTATATTATCGGACCCTCCCTCCTCCTTCTACCTATTTACCCTCCCCTTCACTCCCTCAACAACAACATCCCGTCTCAACTCTTCTCCTCATCTTCATTCTTCCTCCTCCACCTATCCCACCAAATCGACACAATGGCTCCCTCCGCTATCCCTACTCAGGACGTCGACCTCACCGCGGCCAACATCCAGGTCAAGGAGGCCACCCAGCCCACCAAGCCCAGCAATGGCACCACGCCCGCCCCCCTCGATGCCTCCAAGCTCATCTACAACCTCACCAAGGACCCCCGTCCCGTCCCCGGCGAGGAGGTTGCCAATGCCAGCGACCAGACCATCTGCACCGACCACATGCTGACGGCCACCTGGTCCGCCTCCGAGGGCTGGGGCGCCCCCGAGATCAAGCCTTACGGCCCCCTGAGCCTCATGCCCACGGCCTCGGTCCTGCACTACGCCACCGAGTGCTTCGAGGGCCTCAAGGCCTACCGCGGCTACGACGGCAAGCTGCGCGTCTTCCGCCCGGACTGCAACTGCGCCCGCATGCACATGTCCGCCGGCCGCATCTCCCTGCCCCTCTTTGAGCCCGCCGAGCTGCAGAAGCTCATCATCGCCCTGCTGGCCGTCGACGGACCCCGGTGGCTGCCCAAGAACGAGCCCGGCCGCTACCTGTACATCCGCCCGACCCTGATCGGAACCCAGTCCCAGCTCGGCGTCCAGGCGCCCCGCGAGGCCCTGCTGTACATCATCGTCACCTACATGCCGCGCCTTGACAGCCCTCCCGGCGGCATGCGCCTGCACACCTCTCCCGAGGACATGGTCCGCGCCTGGGTCGGCGGCTTTGGCTACGCCAAGGTCGGTGCTAACTACGGCCCCTCGCTGGCCGCCACGGCCGAGGCCCGGGCCCGCGGCTACCACCAGATCCTGTGGCTGTACGGCAAGGACGGCGAGTGCACCGAGGCCGGTGCCAGCAACTTCTTCATCGTCTGGAAGCGCAGGGACGGCAAGACGGAGCTCATCACTGCTCCCCTGGACGACAAGCTCATCCTGGACGGTGTTACGCGCCGAAGCATCCTGGAGCTGGCTCGTTCGCGCCTGAGCGACGAGTTGGAGGTGACGGAGCGCAAGTACACCATTGACGAGGTCATTGAGGCCGATGCCGAGGGCCGTTTGGTCGAGGCTTTCGCCGCTGGAACTGCCGTAAGTGAAACCACTGCGTGGAATCAGTACAACGTGAAACGTCAAGCTAACAATAATTCTCCAGTACTTTGTCTGCCCCGTCTCGGCTATCCACCACCGCGGCAAGGACATAAACATTCCCATGGGCCCCGAGAACACGCCCAACGTCATCACCTCCAAGATCAAGACCTGGATTGGCGACATCATGTACGGCAACGTCGACCACGAGTGGGGCGTTGTCATTCCTGAGCGGGAGTAAACCCGAAAAGGCGGAGCTGCGACGAAGAACGGGAAATGGCACGACGTTGACGATGATGACTTGTTTAGATTTTTATTGCATGGGAAAAGTCGAAGGGTTGTATGATTTACACAAGGGATGAATGGGCGTTCAATGGCGAATGGGAGCATGTCGCGACATGGCCGTGATTTTGAAGACGGGATGCTGCGGGCTGAGGAACATAGATACATAAGCGTATGTACTTGGTAGCTCATGACAGAATAAATGGAAATAGACAAGGATTCCTTCACTTGCCGACACTTCCCATGTGCATTCAATCCACCAGCATGGCCTGTAGAATCCTCATCGACTGAGCGTGGGCCTCTTCCCTGTAATTCTACCACGCGAGTTAGTAACCTGATATTCTTGTGAAGCTCCAAGTCTCATACCTCTTCTATCTCGTCGATGGCTTGATTGCTTTCGGCGACAATGCGTTCGATTTCTTGCTTAAAGGAAGCCATCTCGGCGTAGTACTCATCCTCATTGGTAGCCTCTCCATTCGCAACAGGACCTTCCTCCATCCTCAAAAGCTCCTGGCGCAGATCCTCCTGAAGCTGAATAAGGTCTAACCATTCGCGATGGAGCAGACCCAACTCACTCTCTACCTTTGTAAGCTCCTCCTTAGCGTTTGCAAGGTGCGCCTCGATGGTAGCCTGAGGGAAGCTCTTTGAGTGGCAAAGAGTTTTTGAAAGCGGATACGAGAGGTTGAAATACAGCTCGTCAATATCGGCGGCCATCGAGGACGCAAAAGTGGCAAAGTGCTCGACTTCAAGTGTCATTTCTCGCTTGGCTTCGGCCAACTTTTCGACTGCCAAGGCATACAGTTCGACGCCTTCCTGAGCAAATGCCTCTGAGATGACCATGTTGAGTTAATCATCTTGGAGAAGACACAACTCGAGCCTGATACGAACCTTTGAGTTGTTCTAGCGAGTCGGCTTCCGCTACCTTTTCTTCCTGAGCCTTGCTTTTGATTGCATCATTGCTAAAAGTGGCAAAGCATGCGCGGTACAGATCGTTTGACCGGAGCTGCTCGTCTCGAGATGACGAGGATGACAGAGGGCCCTTGGATGCAGAAAATATCCCGGGACTACTCAGACGCCCCAAGAGAGTTGATGAGGACAGGTCATCGCTCGAGGACGAGTGACCGGCTGGGTGATTTTCTTGGGGAAAGAGACGGTCCATGAGAGATGACTGGTTGGAATGCGCCATGATAATGCAGTTGCGAGTAATAGTGTAGAATGGGAACAGAGTGGTGGTAAGTGATGGATTGATGGAGAGGACAAAATCGGTAGAGGATGAAGAGAATGAGGGGGTCAAGAAAAACAAGTGATGGTTGAGATGTGAAAGACGGAAGGAGCGAGTCCCTCGCGGGGAGACCACTTGGGCAGGCAGGATTGCGTTGACCACCTGCTGCTTCGAGCGGCACTCGGTACCAGGCGGCAGTGTCGCGATGGCTTCAACTTGGAAGTATCTCGAAATTCTTTGTAAAAAGCTTCACTCTGCGTCTTTGCTCTCCCCAGCAGTGAGTCCCAGCTTCTCCTCAATCGCGGCCACGATTGTCTGCCAAGTTGCCATCGCGCCCTGACCGACGTCACCGCAGGCTAACCCCTTGGAAATCGCCTGCAGCTCCTCGACCCATCCGCCTGGGCCGCCCATGATTTCGTTGAGAAGCTGCAGATTGCGCTGCGTGACGGGATTGCGGAACATGGCCGTGTTCATGGCTGTGGCGACGAGAATCTTCTTCTTCTTGCCGTCTACGCCGCCGTCGGTGTCCCAGGCGAGGATGATGGAGGACAGGAGAGAATCGGTCATGCCGTGGACCATCTTGGCAAGAGTATTTGCACTGAGCGGTGCGATGACTGAAGCTGCTGTTAGATTACATACAGGTATGTCATGGGGTGAGTCAACAAGAAGAAGCAGGTACCTAAGAGGTCAGCCCCTATGCTTGCAAGTTAGCAATTGTGTCACCTAAAGTGAGGACGGGACAAGTCGACTTGCATTTTCTGAGCTCAATATGCAGGATGGGAGCGCCCCGAGTCCACGGCTGGACCCATTCGGACTCATCCGTGTATATCGCATCGACGTTTGGATAGCTGCGAATGTCCTCGAGACTTGGCTGCTCAGCCGCTTGGCCTTGTAGGAACTGGGCGGCTGAGCTGGTGAGCACGAGCCGGATGGACAGGTTGGGATGCCGTGAGAGGCCCTGGATGATGTTGGGGATCTTGATGGTCGCTACGGATCCGGATGCAGCCAGCAAGAGATGCAGCTTTCCATCGCTGCGGGCTTGCGAGACGTCTTGCGCCGGGTTATCGGAGGAGAGGTGGCTAAGATGCTTCATGATGATGTCTAGGTAGGTACCATAAGAGGGCGAGAAGAAACACACAGAGCTAATGGGAAGATAGCTAAAGGCAAGAAGATGGCTTTCCAGGCGGAATCAACGACACCGGATATCCAACAAGGGAGCTTATGACAGTACAGATAAGCCTACTTCGTGCCGTGCCTCGCTTTGTCCTGTGGCGAGAACCCGAGCCTCTGGTGAGATTTGTCACTCACACTGGTTGGTGAACCGAATTGTGTGATTGGTCAGCGGCTTCAATTGCATCACCCCTCCACCAAATTTGGCCGTCAAAGTCATTGTCGGCTCAACTTTTTCCTTCCTCGGCTGCCTTTATCTCTTGCAACAATCGCAAGGTCACACAACTCACAGCCATGTTTGCACGATCAGTCGCTTCTGTACGTCTCCCTGAAGCTGGGCCTCATGTCAGGTTTCTCGAACGAGAAGAAACGCCTTGCTAACTCTGGATGCGCCATGACAGAGCTTCCTGCGGCAAGCTGCTCGCCCAGCTGCTGCTCGCCCGCTTCTCTCAGCCTTCCGCGCGCCCGTCGCTCCCCTGACGCCCTTCCAGATCCGACTGCTGTCCGAGTCGACCCGATCCGCCATCGACAAGGCCATTGCGTCGGCGCCCGTCGTCCTCTTCATGAAGGGCACGCCGGAGACGCCCCAGTGCGGCTTCTCGCGCGCCGTCATCCAGATCCTCGGCATGCAGGGCGTCAGCCCGGACAAGTTCGCCGCCTTCAATGTGCTGGAGGACCCCGAGCTGCGGGAGGGCATCAAGGAGTACTCGGACTGGCCGACGATACCTCAGCTGTACGTCGACAAGCAGTTTGTGGGCGGGTGCGACATCCTGGTCTCGATGCACCAGAACGGCGACTTGCAGAAGCTGTTTGAGGAGAGCAAGGTCCTGGTCGAGGCGGAGGAGGGAGAGAAGAAGGAGTAGAGTCCACGTTTGCCGAGGAGACGGTCGATAGGCGAGGATAATGTATGATATACTCTGTATGAGAATAAACATGACGCATGGCAAAAGGACATTGTATGTTTAAACTCGGGCTAGGGAATATAAATAAGCGATATGTTCTGTCTATCAATCGGCTCATCTACAATGGGTATGCTGCTCCGTCTGCTCTCATGTCACTGCCCGCCGACCAGATGGGCGTCTTTTCCACCGGGTCAAGCGTGTACCGGATAATCTGCCCTCGGCCAAAGAGGCCTCGCTTCGGCCCTCCTCCGACAACGACCACCTTGTGGCCCAGCTGCCTCAGGCCCTCAATCACCTCGGGATCCATCGACTCCTCCACGCTGACCGTCCAGTCCACGGGCTTGCCCGGCTCGGGAAAGCCCGCGCCGACGCATATCCGGGGCGCGTCGAGGGCCTGCTGGGGGTTGAGCTTGCCGACGATCTGGCCGAGGAGGACTTGCACGTGGCCCTGGGGCTGCATGAAGCCGCCCATGACGCCAAACGACGAGTGCAGCGAGCCGTCCTTGAGGTTGGTGGCCATGGCGGGGATGATTGTGTGGTAGGGCCGCTTGCGAGGCTCGAGGCGGTTGGGGTGGCTCGCGTCGAGGGAGAAGTTGGCGCCCCTGTTCTGCAGGGTGAAGCCGCAGCCGCGGGGGATGATGCAGGTGCCGAAGCCGCCGTAGTTGGAGTTGATGAAGGAGGCGGCGTTGCCGTGGGCGTCGGAGACGGTGAAGTAGACGGTGTCGCTGCTCTGGAGGGCGGGCGACGGGTAGTTTGGCTCGCCGTGCTCGACCAGGTCGAGGGCGCGGGACGGGTTGAAGAGGGAGGCGCGCTGAAAGAGGTACTTTTCGGACAGGAGGCCCTCGACGGGGACGGGCGTCACGTTGGGGTCGGCGACGTACCAGCTGGCGTCGGCAAAGGACAGGCGGAGGGCCTCGATGATGGCGTGCAGGTACGGCGTCGTGTTGAAGTCGTCGGGCTTGAACGTCGGGATCTCGCCCTGCTTCTCGAGCTCCTGGATGATGCCCAGCGCCATGAGCGCGATGATGCCCTGGCCGTTGGGCGGGTGCTCCCACAGCTCGATGCCCTCGTCGGGCTTCTCCTTGCTGCTGAGCCCCTGGCCGCGGAACTTGAGCGAGATGGGCTCGACGGGCTCGCTGCCCTGCTCGAGGTGGTGCTGCAGGTCCTCGAGCGTCAGGTGGCCGCCGAGGTCCCGGACGACCTTGACGAGCTCCTCGGCGATGCGCCCCGTGTAGAAGCCGGGTTTGCCTTGCTCGGCGAGGGTGCGAAAGGTCCTGGCCAGGGTCGGGTTCTTCATGATTTCGCCGGGACGGGGGGCTCTGACGCCGTCGGGCTGACTGGGGTCGACTTTGAGCATCTCTGCGTAGTTGGGGGAGGCCTTTCGGATGAGATGCTCTGCGCTGGACCACTTTGTTTTGTTCATTCGTCAGTTCAAATATATGACATGAGGCATGATGCTATATCAGGAGAAGACGTACGTAGTAGCCGGTCACTTCAGACACCGGAAACCCCTTTTCTCCCAGCTGGATCGCCGGCTTCAGGATCTCGCTCAAGTTCAGCTTGCCGCTGCCGAACCTCTCCACCGTGTCTACCCATCCAGCAGGCGCACCTGGGACCGTCACGGCGTGGACGCTGGCCATGGGGATCTGCCCGACAGTGCCCTGGGGGATGTCGAGGTCGGACCGGATCTGGTCGAGGGTGCACTTGGCGCCCGAGCGGCCGGAGCCGTTCATGGCAAAGACCTGCTGCTTGGCGGCGTCCCAGTAGAGGATGAACATATCGCCGCCGATGCCTGTTGAGCAGGGCTCCGTCATGTTGAGGCCGGCGGCTGCGAATCACATGTGAGTCAGGATACTTGTGAGTTGAGGTTCATTGCAGGAGGTTAGCTGTCACGCACCAACCGCAACCGCAGCATCCTGAGAGCAAGCATGTCAGTCAAGATTCACATGAATTGGGTTTGGAATTGGGTTCTCATATCAGCTTACAGCGGCGTTTCCTCCCGCGCGCAGCACCTCGAGGCCACATTTCGCTGCTAGAGGCTGTGAGCAGGCGACGATGCCCTCGGTGCTGTGGACGACGCTTCGGCGCGAGGGGAATTTGAACATGTCGTAGGTGGGATCCTGAAAGAGTGACGAGCTGGGTAGAGGCATTTTGGTGTAGTTTTGGTATTCCAGGCTGTGCCTTTCTAATTCTCATGTATAGACTGAAGGGGCGACGAATAACAAAGAGATGGCCTTGATGAGTATATATATATATAGGTGTCCGATGAACGTATGAGGTTGAGCCAGCTATCAACAACGGAAGAAAAGACAGAGAAAACACACAGACTAAAGACCAGAGAGTCAATGAACATGTCATGCATCTGTCTCGTCAACTCGGCTCGGCATACGGGGCAATTCTATGCGATCTCTGCCCTCCCATCAACTGACTAATAATGCTCGTAACTCAGCAACCTCAGCAAAGCAAATCGCCCGTAAAATAACATCATAGAGGGGTTATGGCTGCTCAAGCCGAGCGCGGGGAAGATCTAGTATGGGACAAAGGACCCTGATAGTGGTTCGCTCCCCCGCTTGGAAGGTCTGAAAAGGGCAGGCCAAATAGAGGGCGAGTTATTTCCGAGATCGGGGCAAGAGGCCGAGGAGATGGTGCTGAACAAGATGTATATAACGGTAGCGAAGGGAATTCATTTTATAGAACTGATTCTTTTCCATACACACACAGGTATACATGTTTTGATAACGATATCTTGACGGTGTGGCAATTTATAACATATGTATAAGCTGAGACATTTTGGTGGGTTGAGCTCCCATCATGACATACACACGGCTTTTACTCAGGCATTGAAACCACGTTAACGCACGACATGAAATAAACCCTTATAACGCATATACGTATGAAAACTAAACAACACAAGAAAGGAGACAAGCAAGAGAAAAATACAATAACCCATTCCATAATCAAACAATCACAGCCTCGACCGTCGACTGGCCCGCTCCAGATCCCGCAACACATCGTCCACAGTGCCAACCGCGTCCATGGCCATGCCGTATCCCGCCTGATAACCAGTGCCCCCAGCACCGTAGTTGTGCACAAGGACCTTTTTGTTGCCGTCAATGACAATCTCTTCGCGTTCGATCCGCGCGCCGCCTTCGCGCGAGGGGCGGAGGCCTGCAAAGGAGGCGATGATGTCAAAGGGCTCGAGCTCGGGGCAGAGCTTGAGGCAGCGGTTGATGATGGACTCTGTCTCATACGAGTATGTTGCTCCATCACTGTTTGCCTGAGTCAGCTACCTGAAGTCGAAATCTCCAGTATGAGAGAAAAGCTGGACCTACCTCACGCCTTTTTGCATGTATCCCCCAAGAATCACATGCCCATCCGTCCCCGGCCGCGGAATAACATACGTCTCGTAGTCCTTGCCATGCCTCATCACGTTGCGCTTGACACGCGGAGCCTTGACAAGGACGACTTGACCGCGTGTCGGATAGCACTTTTCGTCCTCAACGCCAGGCAGCGTCTTGGCCGCGATGCCGGTGCAGTTGACGACGACCCTCGTGGTGGGACTGGAGTACGCGGCCTGAATGGTGGGGAATCTGTGTCGGACAAAGTGCACGCCGTACTGGTCCTTGAGCCGGCGGAAGAGGTACTCAATGTGCTTGGGCGCGTTGAGGGTGAGGGTGGTGAAGGAGATGCCGAACTTGACGCCGGCGGGGAGCTCGTGGCTTGGTATCTCCTTGAACTGCGGCTTTGTGAGTGGTTGCGATGGCGGGTGCGAAGAAAGATGACAGGCACTCACATCTTCGAGATACTCTGATATCGCCTTGATCTTGTCATGGGGCACGTGCTCGTCCCAGTACTCTATCGAGGCTGTTCGGCGGATGTACGCCTCGTCACCATGCTCCGAGGCCAGCCTGGTGAGATGCGTGTAGCCGAGGCGGTCCCATTTGAGTGCATTTGCATCGTTACCCGAGATGCCGGAGAAGTTGCATCCAGCCCTTTGACAAGTCAGTCAATGGGTTCATACAGCGGAGGTCAATATCGGATAAACGGGGCATTTCACTGACCAAGGCGACGTGTAGGTCGCAGATGTATCTCCGGGCAGATGCTCCGCGATGACGGTGATGAAGGGTCCCAGCCCCCTCTCGGCCAGCACGAGAGCAACGTCCAAGCCGATGATGCCTGCGCTAAAAGACGATGAAAACCACAGTGAGTGAGCGGTTCCCTTTGATGATGTGATGATGAGAGCCTCGAGGAAGGGGACGAGGCATCCATGACATGAAACACTCACCCGACGATGACAATTGCGTCGCTGGCTGCCTTGCCGACGCGCTCGTTGTCGCTGTCGCCCCGGTGCATGCCGTCGATCTTGATCCTGATCTTGCCTGGCGATGCTTCTCAAGAAGAACAAGAAGAAGCTGAAGCTCAGACGGGCGGGGGAGAGAATCGGGCGATCGAAAAGCTATCGCTACCACTACTGCTCCAGGTTTTGAAGCTTCGCTCCGCCCAGTATCGAAATCGACGGGGCCGGCACGTTGGATTGGAAGTGCGGATAATAAGGGAGCCTCAGCCTCGGCCCAGCGAAATGGAGGCAGTGTGACTTGCAGCAAGGGGACTTGATTTCTCTGGGGTGCAGGGTTCTCCCTTCCATGTGGCGGAGTTGTGTATGCATTAATTATCCCGTCTCGAGCTGAAGTTGCTTCTGCATTATTATTTTCGTGCCCGTCCTTTTTTTTTTCTTTGTTTATTCGATGGCTGGGGAAATTGGGGGCGCTGCAGCCCATGTAAGCCGATGCCGGTCCAGGTGGCTTGAGGAGGAGTTTGGGCGTGGCGGCGCATTTTGATGGCTTTGATATGGTGAGAACAGCATAGACTATTGTAGGACGGATGGCGCCGGCTTGTGTGCTAAAGTCGTTAAGTGAGGCTGTTATCACATATATAGTCCGGCAATTGGGTATTTGAGGCATATAATTGTGACGGCGCGGATCGAGGTTGATGGATGCGTGGCCATGGCCTGAGGGGCGAGGGATGCTGATCCAACGCCACGAGCACATTCGCTCACCCTGTAGGTGAATCACTGACTTGGCCGACCACAGAGATGATTTAGACTACCTATAGAGATATCAAGAGCGGTAAGTTTGGTATCTTGTATGTAGATTCTGGCTTCGAGGATTTTGAACCTATCTCCCGCACTTCTGCAATCTTCAGGCAGCGTGCACCCTTTGAGGCGTATCCTCGTTTCTTACACGCATCAAAAAGCGTATTCCCTCGACTTACATGCGTCCCATATTGGATCCTCTGGCTGTTACGCAGCCAATCGACCAATCTGGACTGCTCAACAGGCTCAATCAGTGAATGGTCTGCAAGCTACCCAACCTTTACAAACAGGCAACCACTATCCCCTCAGATATACAAGAGAAGGACCAAATTAAGACATATTGCATCACAAGGTTTCAACGATGTTCCATGAACGGGGAAGAGAAGCACGGCGCCTTGCTCTGGCTAGCACGTCGGTGTTGTTGGCAGCTGAACCAGGTCTCCTTGCATATTCGTGTGCACCCATTCATACCTAATGCTACCCTGATAAATGTGATCACTCAATCGCCATGCTTTCGATATCTGGCCATTTAAAAGCCAGGCTACAGCGGGATGCACGAGAACGACCGGAGACGTCTTGGGACCACATCATGTTGTTAGGCAGTGGGCTGGCCATTAAGGATAGCTACCTGCTTAATGGGCCTCTTGACATGAGCAAGAACACAGAGCGCATCTGTGTCCTTGTATACAAGCAGATGCCCCGGAGAGTCTACAAGCAGCAAGGTAAGGTATGATGTGATCCTTCCTGCGGCTCCGACCGCCGAGACAATCACCAGTCGAGAATCGGGAAGTGGGTGTCATTGGGGTTACACATGCAACATATGTACTCACATGTATCTCATGCCCTCCATGCCGAATATGTATTTAATATGGCCGGCTCCTCTGCCTGATCTTCTGTCTCTTAACATCAACCATCTGTGTTGCAACGCCTGAAGATGGCGGAAACGTGGATTCAGTCGACTGCTCGCAACTTGGTCTTCCAGATCCTAAAGCGCATCGAACACGGGCGATTAACCATTTCGACCAAGTACGAAAATGGCAAAAACGAGAGTCTTTCCTTTGGCGGTGACGGGGCCGACTCAGAAGCCGAGATCGTTGTCATCGTCAAGAATCCGCAGGTCTTTGTCCGGCTATGCCAGGCATTCGACTTGGTGAGAGGACCACGCATACTCTATATGTACGGGGATCAACTGCTGACAATACTGAAAGGGCCTGTCAGAGTCGTACATGGTCCAAGACGTAGAGTGTGACAACCTCATTGGACTGTTCACAGTTAGTCCCCATTCTCTGTAAACATTGAGAGCGAAAGACTCAAACTGCTCGCTGCAGCTTTACGTGAAGAATCAGCGCGTTCTGGGGGCGTCTGGCGGCAACTTCTTATACTCAATGATACCACGAGCAGCTCACTATCTGAGCCCATCCAACGACACCACAAATGCTCTCAAGAATGCCTCGTTCCACTACGATACTTCCAACAACCACTTTGCCGGCTTTCTCTCCCCCGACATGAATTACAGCTCCGCCCTCTGGTCGGGCGAGCCAGGGGAATCACTTGAGGCTGCTCAACGCCGCAAGATCCAAAATATTCTCGACAAGGCAGAAATCGCATCCGGTCATCATGTTCTAGACATTGGATGCGGCTGGGGAGACTTGGCCATTAAGGCTGTGCAGCAGACTGGATGCCGAGTGACGGGACTGACGCTTTCGAAAGAGCAAAAGTCGCTTGCTGAAGAGAGGATCATGGCGGCTGGCCTGCAAGACAAGATCACCATTTTGCTTTGCGATTATCGCAAGGCTCCTGTTCCGGAGGGCGGATATGACCGGGTCATCTCCATCGAGATGCTGGAACATGTGGGCGACAAGTACATGAACAAGTACTTTCAGCACATCTCGAACTATCTGAAGCCCAAAGGCGGAAGGATGGTAGTCCAAGGCATCACAAAGATTAACTCTGTAAGGCTCGAGAACTTATTGCTCGATATAGTACTACTGACAATTTCTTACCCGCAGTACACTTCGACTGGAGAAACCGTCGACAACTTCATAGACCGCTACATCTTCCCTGGAGGGTATCTTCCAAACATCAACCAGCTCTTGGCATCGATACACAATGGCTCGCGTGGCGGCTTGGAGGTAGAAAGCGTTCAGAGCATCGGCCCTCATTACATCCGCACGCTGCAGTGCTGGAGAGAGAACTTTGATACCAACTGGGAGACCATCAGAGCGGACTTTGTGTCCAAGAACCCGAGCGCCACGGATTTCACGATTGAAGCCTATCGACGACAATGGATGGTATGTAACAAGTATTGCCCTGTGAATATTGGGATATGGCTGCTGACGTCTCGGGCACTGCAGTATTACTTCCAGTACTGCGAGGCGGGTTTCAGAGCTCGGATCTTGGGAGACTATGTCATTTCTGCTATCCGGACGCCTTGGCCTGAGATTCCGGCCAATGTGCCGCACTAGATGCGGTAGAGAGGGGGCTTTCCCGTATGCCTTGGAAATGAAATGTTTGGCTTTTTTTTTGTGGCTAAGGTAGATGTCGACTTATACTATGAATGAGTCTGTTCAGTGAGGTTTCGACTCATACACGAGCCCTCTGCGACATCTATGTTGACGTCCCCTGTGAGTTGCCGTAGGGAATTGTATGTCGACGTAGCTATCACCGCCGACTGGGCCATCCATTACTCAGATTGTCAGATTGAGCTTGAATGTCTCCGTGGCTTCCGAGCTGATGACTATGATCCGATGAGGCTGCATAACATGAACGAAATAGTTCTGTTCCGCATCAGATAGCCGCCATTAGAAGCAATTCGATTCACAACAACTTGATGATTGTTTGGAGTCTTCAACCGCATCTCGGCTTTAAACGGCGGCTCGCGCCTCGGATCGCCGTTATCAGATCCGGCTTCGGCTCTGATCCACTTCCCCACGCCCTCCGGCTATCAGTTGCGTGACATTTCATGTCTAGCTGAAGCAGACGCAACAATCACTCCTCCAGTTGTTACTTTGCTTTGCAAAAGTCGAGACACCAACCGGAGGACAGTCAGCGCAATGGGTGAATTACACGGCTCTCGAGGCTTCAGCGTGCTGGTCAACGGCAAAGTCTACCAGTCTCCAGACTCCAACACGGCGGCAGACGTCGGCCCCTCCTTTGCAGAGTGCATGATCATCAGGGACGGCATCATCCAATATGTTGGCCCTGAGGCTGATACCGAGGTCGAAGCTGCCAAAGCTGCCGGCGCTACGATTAGGGACCTGGGCAATCACACTGTTCTCCCGGGATTCATCGACGGCCACCTGCACATCCTGCTGCTGGGACAGTCGCTCACCAAGGTTGGCCTGGAGGCATGCAAGAACCTGGAGGACATCCGGGCAGAGATCAAACGATATGCGGTGGCTCACCCGGATGTGCCCCGTATCTTCTGCCGCGGCTGGATGCACAGCATGACCCCCGAGGGCGTCGATTCGACCCTCTTGGACGACCTGGACGAAAGACCAATCTTTGTCGATACCAAAGACTTGCACTCGACGTGGTGCAACTCGGCAGGTCTAGAAGAGGTCCGCCGTGTGATGCACATTGCGGAAGATGCCCCGGATCCCGCGGGAGGAACTTTCCAGCGCGGCAAAGACGGCAAACTCAACGGCGTCTTCAACGAGAGCGCCGTATTCGAGTACATCTGGCCCTTCACGGCAAAGGTGGCGTCTATCAAGGAGCGCAAAGAAGCCATTAAGGCTGCTATCAAGGCGTTCAACGCAGCTGGCTATACAGGAATGGTTGACATGGCCATGGACGAGACCATATGGGAGCCTCTAATTGCTCTACGGAACGAAGAAGGGCTGGGCGGAATGCGAATTGCCGCGTACTGGCTCATGAAGCCGAGTGACTCCCTCGACGATGTGATTCCGCAGCTTGACCGTGCCATCGAGCTCGCTGGGCAATACAACTCGCGCACTACACCGGACTGCCGCGTCGTCGGCATCAAGGTAATCTGCGATGGCATCATCGATGCGTGTACCGCCTCGCTGACGGAGCCGTACTCGACGGGGACGAATCCCGACCCGATCTGGTCCGAGGAGTTTCTCAATCCCATCGTGTCCAAGGCTCATGCAGCAGGACTCCAGGTTGCGCTGCATGCCATCGGCAACCGGACAATCCGCATGGCGATTGATGTCCTGGAGAAGAACACGGACCGCTCGCGTCGTCCGAGGATTGAGCATCTCGAGGTCTCGGACGCCCAAGATGCGGCGCGTCTGGGGAAGCTGGGCATCACTGCGTCGATTCAGCCGGTTCACTCGGATCCCGCCATCCTGCGAGCCTGGCCGAGACTCATTGGCGAGCACCGCTGCAAGAGAGCCTTTGCATACCGCGAGTTTGCGGACGGAGGCGCGCCTCTGGCTCTCGGCTCAGACGCACCAACAGCTCCCCATCTGCCCATCCCCAACATGTACGTGGCCACGACGAGAAGGTCGTACCGCGAGCCTAACCTGCAGACTGTGGTCAATCCCGAGTTTGCGCTCACGGTATGCCAGAGCGTCGTGGCGGCGACGCATGGATCGGCGTACTCTGTCTTTGCGGATGAGTGGACGGGGAGCCTGAGAAAGGGGCTCAAGGCGGATTTTGTGATCTGCGATGTCGAGCTTGAGGCGGAGAGGCTGATCAGGGGCGTCGTGAGGGAGACTTGGTTTGAGGGGACGCAGGTTTACAGGGCGGAGGAGTCATGATATATTACGTTGAGAGCGTTAGCGAATGAAGCTGATTTGGAGCGACCACTCGGCTGCTCGGCCTGAGAACAACGTAGATGTTGACAAGAGACTTTATGATTAATCATTTTCCAAAAGCATCTCATTTGACAATGACGGAAGCTACACGTGTTTGATGGATGTACGAACTGTCAGTTCCAAATACCCGGAGTCCATAGGATCATTCTATTCCCAGTGGTCGCGATGCTTCGAGTACGCACCAGAGAATTACGAAGCCAGCACTGCTCTGCGCTGAAACAATCGGCAGCCACAGCAAAAGCTGCTTATGCTCCCAAGCATCTCGGCTCGGGCTTCTCCAAAGTCAATGTACCAGCATTGCTGATACCCTCCAGTGACTTGCAAGTTGTCATCGAGATCGACAACCGTTGATCGCATAGCCAGACCCAGAGTTTCTACGACAATCGTCCAAGCCCATCCCCTACTCCTGCAGAAGTTTCCTTGTTATAACTGTCACACCTAAAAATACAGACAGCTCCCCGAGCGGACCCTGAAAACCCTCAAGACCACAGGGCGGACGCTGACTCGAGCAATCCCGTCGGCCGCATATTGACGAATTATTCCCGATCGCCACCGGTACAGGCCCTGGCAGCAGGCTGAGAAGTGATACATAGCTTCCATCGCTTCTACAGAAACGGAAGCCTGCCTTGCCTGCCAAGGCCTCAGAAAGGACATTGCGAGCAACAAAGGAGCGTTTCCTCTTCCGCTTTTGTCGGCGAACCCCATCAACCCCGAACGAGAGCCTGGAACGCCACCTGTAACTCGACAAGTCTTGGCCTACTTTGGCATGCAAGTTTTGCCGATTCGACGGCTCATTCCTGAGTTGTTAGTATCTGATACCTAGAGCATTGCAGAGCAGAGCGGGTGGCAGTTGAAAGGACATGTCCGAGGGGGGCGCAAGAAATGTCCGAGCAGCTCCGCAAAGGTGTCATGAGGCGTGTGTTATTGGGCGGGAAAGAAACCAGCTTTATGTTCACACCCCTGGCTTCTCATGTTCGAGGCAACGGAAGAACGACACGGAAGAAAAGAAGGCTTGACGGCCCGAGGTTCTGGTGGGAAAAAGGGGATTCCCGTCTGCCCATCACCCGTTTGTGGTGGCGACATCTTACGACTGCAGCCTCGGACTTGGACTTGGGGCCGCCCTCTCAATTCAGTCACGCTACAGTACATACATACAAGCTCGTGTTTTAGCCTGTCTTGCTCATTGGTCGTAGTTGGTCTGTTTCCAGCTTCTCCAGCTGAAAGCGGGAGGCATTCCTATTGGCAAGGATCAAGAAGAACCTTTTTTTCTGCGCGAAGGATCCGGGCTTTGCAACCGAGGCCTACCACAGCTTGCCCAGCCCGTGTGTTTCTGGGTCTCTTCTTCCCAGCTATTCGGATTCTCAATAAGGAACCGCCATTCCCCCCCTGCTGCAGTGAGAACTCAAATCCCGGCAATGCAATTTATTTCCCCTCCCTCCTCCTCTACCCCCCCTGATGACAAACAAAGATCGAACGGGAGGATTCCCAACCTTGGCCAACGGCTCGTCTCCGGTCTAGCCGGGATGATGGCAGAAAAGCAGTTTAACTGATCGCCATTCGGGGCCCCTTGAAGCGCACACATAACAGACAAGAATACTGTAGGCTTCCTCTTCTTTCTTTAGTTGCCCGCGCCGGTCGAGCGGCTTGCATGGATCAATGGTTCGGTAGTTTTCGACGGCGTTCAGGACCAAGACTGAACCCCTGCACGAAGCTGGAAAACCACGGGATTTCTCTTGGTTCGTAAAAAAGTTTTTGGGAGAGGGTCCCAGCAGTTTGACCGCTTTGGTGTACGGCATCCGCCTCATCTCGCGCGGGTGGATTCGTCTGTGGATTTCGGCAGAGGCTTTCGGGTTGGCCTTGTTTTGGAGTTGGCCGGTTCAGCTAGACTTCCGCGGAGCGACGGTGGCATAGAGGTAGTGATAGTAGCTCGTTGTAGGCAAGTTTCACACCCTCTTGGTGGAAGAAATGCCTTGCGAGGCTGTAGTCTGTCTAGAGATTACGGAAGCCTGCTTGGAGAGAGATCGTCGACCGTTAGGTCAAGCTACGATAGAGAAGCCACTATCAAGCTGAAGGCGTAACGTTGACTCTGATTTAGCAGCATATTAAAGGGAAGCGAGGTGGAGCTTCCCTCTCATTATGGATACTACTACTTGAGACTCATATCAGATCTTGAAGATATGCATTGCTTTGGTATAGAGTAGTACTACGTAGGACTATATGGTATCTTATAACGACTTTGATGTTGCGAGCTCAAAACTTCATTCTTCCTTTGGACTATCACAAAGCAGAGTACTTGTTGATCAGCTGCAGAAGCTTCGCATCCACGTCCTTGGGGGTCGTGGCATTGAGGTAGTGACCACCATCAGTAAAAGACAGATCCGTCTCGACAGAGGACTTGAAGGCCTTGATGTGGTCCTTTGGCACCTCCACGCCGTAGACGGGATCCTGGTTGCCCTGTAGACATGGTCAATATCATTCACAGCCGAAACAAGGCTGGTGAAAGAGCTGAAAACTAACCTGGATCCAGTAGACAGGGCACTTGATGTCCTGCACCCGCCTCAGCAGGCCGTCTCGCTCCAGGAGGTTGAGGAAAGCTCCACGCAGCTTCTTCCGCCCGTTATCGCCGGAGTAGACCTTGTTGAGCGTGGCCTTCCAGAAGTCGGCCGCCTCAGGGGTGATGACCCCAGAAAAGCCAATGTTGACGACGCTCTCCCGCAGCCCCTCGTCGATGAGGAAGTCGGGCGTCGGCTCAGTGCTGAACAGGCTGTCGACGACGGGGCCCAGCGTCGTGGCGGGATCCCAGCATCCCTTCTCCCGAGATGCGGCCGACTCGTAGTCGAGCGAGCTGCCGAGGATCATGAGACCCTGAATCTGTACTCGAGCAAATGTCCACGTTAGCCCTCGTATTCCGAGGAGAAGCCTACTGTCATGTTTGGAGTGCGCTGAATAGCACCATTACCACTTGTAGTAATAGTACAAGCAGGTGTCTTGTTAGGCGAAGGAGCAGTGAGACACGCCAAACGGAGCTGAAGCCGTGCCAGTAGTCGTGGAGACAACTGGGGGAGGGGAATGGATGCGACAGGGATGGGATCAACTTCAACGAAAGCAAAGTTCATACGACATATATAAAGCGAGATATAGAAGCGAAACAGCTGCTCAAACATACCTTTTCGGGCGCCACGAGAGCCATTCGGGCCACGATCCATCCTCCCTGGCTGGTGCCCAGGGCAAAGGCCTTCTTGATGCCTAGAGCGTCCAGCACCTGGATGGCCATGATGGCCGTGTCCCAGTAGGTAAAGTGCTCGGCTGTGGTTTCGGTGGCTCCATGGCCAAGGGGCTCGATGGCGAGCAGGTTGGCCGCATCTGTGAGGTCCTTGTTGCCGAACTGCGTGTCGTACAAGGCAGAGGTCATGCACATGGAGTTGATGAGCACGACGGTAGGCTTGGTGGGATCGACGGCACCGTTGGAGAGGCGGTAGCCGGCAGTGATTCCGCCAAGGTGCGGCACTCTGATGGTGGTTCCGGCAGTCATGGTGAGAAGAGTGGAGGTTGTGTCTGCTGGAAAAGCGTCTAGTAGGGTCTCTTAGTGAGAGGAGTAGGTATGTAGTATGTAGCAGTCGAGGCGGGCTCTCAAGGGCACGATGCTGGGGGCGGTAGTTCTCGGTTGCGTCTGGTTCCCTTCGTCCTTCTTTCTTCGTCTCGGTCTCAAGAGTCGAGAGAACGGGCAAAGGCGTGGGGGACTAAGTATTTACTTGTAGTACAGGCTACACAGGCCATCGAGCATGGCATGGCCGGGTTCCGGAGCAAAAAAGGGAGCCGTCTCAACGCCTCCAAGCGCTTCTTTGAGTTGAGCCTCGGCCTCTCCCCCCCCCTCCAGAAACCGTTGAGACCAGCCTCGGCGGGGGTTGAAACCACATTATTTGCGTGGGCATGAATTTGCCCCGACCCGCATCTGCCCTGGCGGTGAAGACACGGCGAAGAGTCTCGGGAAAGGAACTAGTAATATCCAATATCTTGCCTCTCGGGGCTCAAGCCATGGGGGGGAACGAAGGCAAGGCCGGTCTGCCACGGGGAGGAGATTGTGGACTGCTGGGTGGTAGCACTAGCTGTTGGCCAGCCAGTCGGATCGGTGACATGACACATGCATGTTCCTTGCTGACGGTTGCTGCTTTGGGCAACCCCATGGACATCAGGGCACAGGCGGCTGTTTCAGGGTTATCGTTCCTGTTCCTGATCGAGATGCCGGTGACGTGCCCGTATCGAGTTGGGCATGCGACCGCAACCGCATAACCCCCCCCGGGGCCGCCCTGAAGCGAGTCAATCTCATGTCCCATCTGGATGGATCGAGCAATGCAACTTCTCTCGGCCTTGCCTTGCTCTGCTTTATCCTGTTGCTGGGTAATAGTTCGTCCGGCAGTCATCCCGGCAATGTGCGGAAATGGAGGGCATTCAGCAGGGGAACTGGCGGAGTTTTGAAATGCACCTGTAACTCGAAGACGCCTAGCTCAGCCCTCACCAGCACGACAAGGCAGCTCTGCCAAAGACTGAGCTACTACTACTCTACAGTGACTTGTGTGAGCTTCTTCAGCTTTGGTTCTGGCTAGTCAAGCCACCTACGAGACCTCAGTTGCTCGAGGAAACGGTCCGCCCCTTATCCTCCACTTGGTTCCTGTGCGCTAAACGAGGTTGAGAGTAGCAGCAGATGCCAGTCGAGATGGGGACGGCACAAGAAGATTCCCAATTGGCCTGGCGCAGGGCTTCTCCCGGCCGGAGCGAGAAGAACTTGGAAAGCCGTCCAGAAACTCGCAGGAGCCTTGTCCATAAGCCGCGGACCAATGACTCGCGCCCCCGGCACTCACACGGCTGAAGGCCATTGCCGTCGAAACGGCACAGTACAGACAAATTAATTCATACATACGAGTTGCTTAACAGAATCCTCCTCACGTTGCATCGATGGCAACTTCGGATCTGCGCCGCACAGGGATAACCCAGTATAGACACATACAGGCACCTGTATATAATACGGTGCGCGCCCAATCCAACCTCGTCAGTCTCTGTTTGACGCTAAAGAGGGAAAACAAGGGCAGAAAGAGGGCTGGACTCTTGTTGTCTTCTTCTTCGAGCCCTTTTGCCCAGTCTCCTTCCCACTTCAGAATGGAATCGAACCAGGACTCTGGTCGACAAAGTGGAAGCCAACCTGAACCACCGTACATGTGCATGTTTACGAGGTACGGGGGGGACGAGGGTTACCCTTGCTCGCCTTTCTTCAGCAGTTCGCTAACCCACGTGAGCCGCTGATCCTGTCAGATTATTATTTGGCATTGACTTTTGAAGATTATTCCGTCGCCCCCAATTGACTGTAAACTTGCTTGTCTAACGAATGTGCTCCCTACCTGGGTACCTAACTCGTAGGGAAGGTCTGGAATGACTGCTTGCAGCGTTCCACAAGTACGGATAAACGTGATAAACATGCCCCTGAACAGGTATGTCGTGATAGACGGCGAACGGCGGCCTCGAACTGCGATGAGGGGGCGGCCGCCGTTGCTTTGCATGCGTTGATGAGGCACCAAACGGCTGATCGTCGTCATTCTCCGGTTACGAATCGTCGTTTAGCGAGTCGTGCTGCCGCACACCTTTCGATTGCCCTCACGGGCAAAGGGGAGCCTCTCCCACAATTCATATCCTGAACCCACCGTCATGGTGTCCACAATCATACATCGCCACCCCTGGCATGAGCCCGGTATTAGCGTCGAGCACCTTGTTGACAAGAGGAACTACTAACTGAAAAGTCAAGGGGGGGGCTTGATAGGCGAAGCAAACCGGACTCCAGAGGGCAGGCAAGAAGAGTAAAAAAAAGAGAGTACCTAGAGAATGCAACCTTGGAAGTAGGTACTTGGAAGGAGTATTCTATTACACGTATGAAAGAGGACCTCGCGCCGCCCTCTCTGCTCCGGGTCCCATTTCCTCTTTTTTTTCCTCCGAATCGAGAGCCTGCATCACTTGATCCATCCATTCGACATCAAACCTCGGAATGCTCCATGGCTCCAGTTGAAGAACTCGTCGTGAGGGGGGCAGCAGACAGCCCGTCTGTGCTGCCGGGCCTGCCGGGCTACAACCCCGATAACCTCCAGCCATGGACCGTGCAAGTAGCGACGGCGATGACGATCTTGGCGGTTGGCTGCGTGATTCTGCGAATCATCAGTCGCCGGCTCAGAAAGCAGAAGCTTGAATGGGACGACAGAATGATTATCTTCTCAGTGGTTGGTTGCCCTCTCCAGTGTGCCAATATCTCGTTTTTCTCCTTCTTCTTCAGGCAATAGACAGTAGAGCAAGCAGAAGATTATACTGCTTGTCCTCTTCCTATTGCTCCATACGCGATCGTTCAAGACAAATCGAGACGTTGGAAGCTAAACATGTATCGTATTCGCTTGATAGGGCTGGTACTGCGTCGTCATCGGCTTCATCTTCGCCATGTACGACAACGGCATGGGCCTCCACGCGGACAAGGTCCCGCCCACGAAAATCGTCATGATGGCAAAGTGGCTCGTCGTGGCCGAAATCCTCTACGCCTGGAACCTTGGCTGGACCAAGATCAGTCTCCTGCTCATGTACTACCGCATCTTCCACGTGCCCTACTTCAAGAAGATGGCCTGGGCGGTGGGCGGCTTCGTCATGATCTGGGTCGTCACCATCACGTTCCTCTTCATCTTCATCTGCGTCCCCGTCGAGAAGCTGTGGTATCCTGACATCCCGGGCCACTGCATCAACCAGGTCGGCACCTGGATCGCCAATGCTTCGTCGACCATCTTTACGGATCTGGCCATCTTGGTCCTCCCCGTTCCACAGATTTGGAACCTTCAGCTGAGGACTGCCGAGAAGATGGGTTTGACTTTTGCCTTTGGCTTGGGTTTCTTGTAAGTGTCCTCAAGTCCCACGCCCTCCCTGAAGGTCCGTGTTTGAGTACTGATGAGTCTTCAGCGTCGTCTTCGCCTCTGCATACCGTACCTCGGTGCTCTTCACCTACAGCAACTCGGATCCCACCTATACCCTCGCTCCGACAGTCGGATGGACAATCATTGAGATCTCTGCCGGCATCATCTCCGCCTGTCTTCCCACCCTCCTGCCGGTCATCCGCCTCTTCTTCAAGAAGATCGGCATCAAGCGAAACTTCTTCTCCCCGACCCGCGGCGGAACCAGCGGCAAGTCGTCCAACATGAACAGCAAGATGTCCGGCCCCAGCCAGAACAGGAGCGTCAACGCCCTCGACGACTCGTCGCGCAGAGCCAACGGCAACGCCTTCTACCGCCTGGAGGACGAGACCGAGTCCGACGACGGCTTCGTCGTTGATTCGCAGCAGGTCGTTATGAACTCAAAGTTCAGGCCAGACTCCAAGTATGAAGACACTTTGACAACTGTGCGGCTCGATGAGAGCGAACCTAGGGCTGACCTCAAAAGGGATGACATTCCACTCAACGGGATCCGGGTTCAGACCGAGTTTGAGCAATCGACTTCTCCTAGGTAAATCACGGTTTTGAAAAGCACGCGGGCGTATCGATTTTGCCGGTTTCTTTTTCCTTTATTCGCTCGTTTAATGGCAGGAATCCATGGTCCCTGTGTGTCGCATTTGAAGAATCGGATCTAGAAAATATGGCATCGGAAAGGGGAGAGCCTGGTAATGGGATTGTTGCGGGTTCAAAGATATCAGCTTCTGCGAAGTACACATCATCGTTGGCAAGCGATTGAGTTTGGGTTTGACATAATGTTTGGAGATACCACTGAAGTTTAGTTGGGACAATTGATATACGTTTGGATTGTTCACCGTCCATGTTGTCGGTTGAGGGAAACGGATTGGCCTTGTATCTTCTGCCACGGCCTCTTGTCTAAGTCTAATTTGACAACGCCTTGACTTACCTCTGAGCAACTATTCCTTCACAGCTCGGCCAGACTTTTACGCCCACGTTTCGATTGCTATTCGGAGCTCTTATAAAGATGCGAGCCACTACGTGAAGAAGGCATCGACTGTGACTGTTCTAGGTTAGGCGAAGCTGGATCTAACTTGGCCAGCTTGATGGAGAGCGGCAAGTTGAAGAACAGCATTAATCTTTACAGCAGAAGATTCGGAAGCGCATCAAGGAGACATGAGAGGAACGTATCTGTGTGGAACTTAGCCAGCGAACACAGGTAGATTCAGTAGCTTGGGTACATGTAGAAAACGTCGAGACCATCATTCGCGCGTCTTCGCCCACTTCTTTGAAAGAGAGAGGACTAGGGAGACTTATAGCCATCCAGATAGCAGGGAACAGGTTGTATCTGCTCGCTCTCTGTATAGAAAACCCAATCGACAATACACTACTCACATCTTTCAGGGAATTTGCTGGACTATCTTCTTCAATCACCTCTTCTGAGAAGTATTCGGCCATACTAGAGGAAATAGACCATTGCCTTTTCAGTTCTATCACTAGAGGATAATCACCCCACGAACAAGTTCATCTTGTCAACGGTGTTGGCTTTGCCATACACTTCCGGTGCTGCTTGAACGGCCAATCTCCATACAGAAAGCAAATAACCACGTCAAGTTCCTTAGGACTATGTACTAATCTAGACCTCTTCAACCTCCGACACGAACTCTTCTTCTGCACTGGCAGTCACTTCCTCGGCATAGGCCCGATATCTAGCAAGCAAGTCGGTCCACATCAAAGCTGCACCGTTATTGGCAGTTCTCTGTTCTGTAAATGCAAAGTGTGCCACCAGTCCAGCACCATCCACAACAACACGTCTACCTAGCTCCTTTGGCCTGACTCTGGTCAGAAACTCCTCATCGTCACCAATGGGAAAAGGAAAGGCGTCTAGTATGTCGCGTCCGCGAATGGCTATGAAGTTGATTGAGCATCGCTCGTACATAAAGTCCCAGATGCCGAATCTGTACTGCGAAGTATTACTTGTCTCTAGGTGGTGGAGCAGGGAGTAATGTGCTTGTGCGGCTGCAGCCCAGTTTGTCGTGTTTGGGCCTCTGACCGTGAGACCCAAAGTAGAACAAGGGAAGAGTGATGGGTCGAACGCCTTTCCTTGGCTCGTGGAAACATGAAGCCAACGATGACCTTGATACGGGGCTGGTGTTGAGCCGTCTATGCGGAAGCCAGGCGGGCCGTCGATAGGCCCCTGATATTCAGGAAGCTCCGAGAGTCGCCAGGTGCTCTTCTTTGAGCTTCCGCTTCCTGTTGTTGTCGTTGTCGAGTCTTGCGGAGGGCATTTTACTTCCTAATCCGTTCGTCAGCATGGAAGCATGTGAACATGGTCTAGAGTCACTCACCGGCCAGTATGGCTCGTAAACACCCATGTGATAGTGTACACCGGAGATGGCGCCTCCATTTACGACGTTGGCAGAGACTGCAAAGTACTGCTGGTCCTCTAAAAGACGCTTGACGAGAGCAGGAATTGTGCAATCATCAAAGAAAATCTATATGTTTCTGTTAGTCTGTCCTATATCCCGGATCTGGAGGGGAAGGAAATTTGGCACGCATACCACATCATCATCTATCTTGATGTATATGCTCTCTGGCTCGGACACAACAGACCAACTCCCGGTCCAGTGACTCCAGTTGTATTTGCCTTGCCTGTCGGATTGGAACTGGCTGGAGTATTGATCACCTAACGGTGTTATTTCGAACTCTGTCGTTATAGTTTGCTGTGAATAAGCTGGGGTGCTTGCAACGAGCTCCTGGACATAGCCGATGTCGTCTCTGTTGTCGGTTTTGACAGCGAAAATTACCTCGTCGAGCAATCCTCCATTTTCTTTCAAGTTTCTCTATACATAGGTTAGACGCCCAATCTGGGAGCGACTGTTCATTGGATCACGGCAGGTCTCACCTTCAAGTAGTGGTTGAGAATTGACACAAATTCTCGCCGGCCATAAAATACCAGGGCAACAACTCTGATGTGCTCGGACGTGATGACATCGTCCAGAGCGTCTTCCGTAGGAGTTGAGCGAATGAGCATCTTGGTGTAGGTGGGTTGTATGAATGGTCTACCTAAAGAAGTCAACATTCATGTTCCGCAATACCTTAAATCTCAAGGGACTGGTTGAAATGACTGTTCGCCTTCCATACACTGGCTAGTTTGTGCCAGTACTCACAATGATGCTATGGCAGTTTGCAATAGGTACTACTCCATAGAGTCACGGCCAACGCAGTTGATGACACTCCCTCTGATAGCAGGCGAGTAAATGGCTGGCAGATAGTGCTATTTACCACTGAATGCATGGAGACCGCAGTGAACTTCACGAAACGACAAATAGGACGACCGTGGGTGGAGGGAGGCTTAAGTAGCTTGATGGGCCAATAGCACATATTTGCGTCGTAATCGGGATCTCAAAGAATCCTGACATATTTGTGTTATTGAAGTCATTCCTAGGCAGCCCTGATGATGGTTGCAACACCATGTCACGGCCAGCGTTCGGTGAAGCTTCACATGTTATCAAGTGAGGCTTAAGCGGGTGTTTATGCCCGGTTTCGATATTCTTCCTGGCATGCGGCGGAGGACATGGTCCGGTAGCAAGTTGCATCGCCAATAAAATCTTTATGATGCAGCAATCATGTAAGTAACAATTGGTTGAAGATCGTCAGGCGTTTTTTCAACTTGTATTTTGATGGTAGGATCGGTAAGGCTTTCTGAATCCTACGCGTGCCAAGCCTACAGGCAGCAACCAGTTGATCCTCTTGACATATGGACAGCCTCGTTTTGACACGTCTCTATCACATGCCAATCTAAGTAATAACTCGGGAGGTCATTCATGGAGACATAAAGGGCCAAAATAAGCCCTTCATCTAAGATGGGATGAGTTTGCAGCCTAGTTGCGTGGGAAACTGTCTACAACCCTTAGGATTGATATCCTGCCGCTTTCACCTTCTGTACTTTTCCACTTGAGCGACGCACCATCATCCTGATACTGGATCAACCATGTCCAATTCTTCACTGTACGAGCAATTGCCGCTTCCATCAGAGGAGCAGACTATCAGAGTCCTTTCCATAGAGCCGGGAACCAAGGGCACTATGGTCAAAGCCTCGATGTTCAAGTTGGATCTCAATGACCCCCAGCGACCCCCATACAACACACTCTCTTACACATGGGGCGAACCAACTATTGTCGACCAGATCATGGTCAACAGCAAGCCTATTGGAGTGGGAGCAAACTTATTCCAAGCGCTACAGCACATTCGTTCCTCCGAGTCACCGATTGATATCTGGATAGACGCCATCTGCATCAACCAGACAGACAACAAAGAAAAGGCCCACCAGGTATCACAAATGGACCTGGTCTATCGACTATGTGAGCAAGTCTATATCTGGCTAGGCTGCTCAGAGGCTTCCAGTACGGTTGACAATAACCCCTTCGCACTTGTGGAACATTTCGCCGCCAACAAGCATTTCCACGACCTGCCAGGCTACTATAAAGATGTCACCACCGGCCTCTGGAGTTGCGACACCGAACATGTGGAGTTTACCTCCATGTGGAAAGCATTTGACCTTGTTGCCAGTAGCCCATGGTGGCATAGAGCTTGGACAGTACAAGAAGCTGTCCTGCCAGCCAAGGCTGTGGTGATATATGGCACTTGGAAGACTTTGTGGGAAACCTTTGACCTCTGTGAAAGCTACCGATTGGAACATCTGTCCAACTATAGCGCAGAGTGCTGTGGCAAGTCATACGAAGCGGTAGGTGTAAGTCGAGGGTTTCCCATGGATCAAGTCATGGGATACGTCGCTTCGCTGAAGCGATCGCGCGGCGGTGCGCAAGGCTACAAAAGCTTTTCTGATATCAGCTTTGCGTTCATGAACCGCCAATGCTTCAACCCTAGGGACAAGATATACTCTCTCCTGGGATTTGCGGGCTCGGCTGCAGCCTCCCTCTATCCGGACTACACGAAAGAAGTCTCAGAAGTATACACTGAGGCGTTTCGCAAAATGATGGAGGAGAACGATATGAGTCCTCGGTGCTTACTTGGCGAAGGCTTCAATAGTCACAAGTTCAACTTGCCCTCCTGGGTGCGCGATTTCTCGGTCAGTTTTGATTCAAAGTTTCAGCTTGGTCGTGCTCAAGGAGCGTATAACCTCTTCAAAGCCTGTGGAGATAAACAAGGGAAGCTCGAATGGACAGACGGCAAGTCACTACTAGCAAAAGGAATGCTGGTTGACCAAGTCAAAGCTGTTGCCACATGGGTCTCGTCTTCAAATCCGGATAACTTGAAAGAAATCCTTGATGATTGGCGTCGGACTTGTGAAGACAACGGAGTCAAGGTCAGCACTGAGCAGAGAGACGAAGTGTTTGCCCGGGTCTTGTGTGGCGAGGTCACAGAGCAAGCTTATGGTCAAAAGCTACTCGAGGAGGATGACATTGATCTTCCCAACGATGCACAGTGGAGTGTTTACCTAGGAGAAGGAAACGCCCGTGCTCTTCCCCGAAAATATAGGATAGCTATTGGGTCGACTATAGATAGGAAGGTTCTCTATGTAACCTCCTCAGGGCGTGTTGGTCTGTCGTGCCCCGGCATCACCGTTGGAGATGAAGTTTGGGTCGTCTATGGTTCGAATGTACCCTTCATACTGAGGCGTCAGTCTGGAGCAGGCATTGAGCACCGTTTAGTGGGGGAGACGTATCTTCATGGGGTCATGCATGGACGTTGCGTGGGAGACGACGATTCAGGTGTAGACTTGTGTCTTGTGTAGATGATGTGCTGGGTAAGGTATATATATCTGGGGCTGTATCCATTGGACTTTTCAGATGAAGAGGGCGGGTGTTTGAAGCAATCCAGAAGAGCCATCATTCAAGCGGTGTTTTGCGGCGGACGAGGCTCATTCATGTTCGCAGCCATGCATCAAGTGCCTATGGAATTGGATCGAACAACTTGGTGCTGTAAGGATCGATGACCGTCGAGCCATTTCCGTGACTCTCAGGCCACCCGTACATACAACAAGAAGGAAGACTAAAGCGGTTGACACCTCTCTTCTCAGCCGAGATCCCATTTAGGAATGTCAGTATCGATTCCCCCGCACCGGAGAATTGGTCGATATTGTCCTTTGCACGTACGGAGTATGTATATGCATATATTTCCACCTACAGCAGGAATTTGTAAGAGTTACTAATTGGTGAGAGAGAAGCCACTGCCCAGAGAGGGAGCGCCCGCAGACGGAGTGAGGTATTTTGGCTATAACCAGAGTTCCACACATCAGGCTACTATGATTTGCATGTGTCTTATTTGAACGTCTACATAGAGCTCGATACGAAAAGACTGTAGAGCGCGGTGGAAAGCCATGGTAGCTGTAACCAAGTACCTACTGATAGTTGCGATTTTCACTTGATCTTGACTCGCTCAAGGGAAGCTGTCCGAACAATTCGTGAACTGCTTCATGCTCAGCCGCACGTCTACGAAACTATTCACTACAACACGTCATGAGAAACAAGGCAGCACAACGAGGCAAAACGAAGCAATTTTTCCGATAGATTACTATCGTGTGCGTACGTATTTGAATAGCTCGAATCAAATAGTCAATTTACTTGCGTTGCAATTGCTGCGTAATTTAAGCGAGTCTCGGTGCTTATTCTTGCAGCCTGCATTCATAGTCATCCTATGCTTCCATCACCAGCCTTATAGAGTTAAGCTTTGGCTGGCCTTCTATAATTGAACATCCTGGTTGGAGCTGTCAAGGTGGGCTTGTGGGCGTGTATAAGAAGACTTGTATACCGCTTCATCAGATTATCAGATGGTCTCACGTCTATACTCTCCATAACCCTCAAAGACAGCACACACTCTGTACGAAATGAAGGTTCAACGCTCCCCCCACTAGAAGTTTCACTGTATATCACTACTTCGCCGAGTTCCACTAATAGATCTAACAACAGGTCTTTGCTCTCGCCGTTTCCCTTGCTGGCCTGGCTGCAGCCGCCCCCCAAGCAATCGCCAGCGTCTATTACGAGCAGTGGTGGGATCCGGGCTGCAACGGCCGAGCCCTGCTGGGAGGCACCCTGTCCCAGGGCTACTGCGTCCGCGTCGAGGATTTCCCCGGACAAAGCGTCAAGCTCACCGTGACAAGCCCATGCCCTGAGGGCACTTCGCCTCAGGTGACGGTTTCCAGCTCGGATGACTGCGACAATGGCCCTGTGGGATGGACATTTGATGCGACGGGCGAGTGTATTGATGTGTCTATCCAGCCATCTGCTATTCACCTGAACTGTGTCTAAGGGAGTGCTGAGATTGAACGGGACATGAGGAGTTTTGAGGCGTCGAAGGGCATTGAAGAGTGGACGTGTGGGTTATAGCGTCACTTGATAGGCGGAATAACTATTATGTGTGGCTTATACCATGCCAATCTTCGATTTATCGCCTCGATAACTGTTCATTACAATCGAGTCCTTGTCAATTCAAACGATTCCTTGAAACTATTGCTACCAACACTCTCACAAGGATGTTGGTGACACTTTGTAGCCAGTGTCGTAGGTAGCTGTGGCAGAGTCAGTGGCATCGTGTGGAGATCTAAGGAAAGACTTGGCTTCGATGAGACGTGACGCATTGCATATAGATGGTGGTTTTCGCCTCTGGATGTGGCAAACTGTAAAGCAGGCGAATGGCAAGCATTTATTCGTGGAGGCAGTGGCAGGTTAGCAACATCATTTAGGGCTGCTTATATGTGGGCAACGTGTTGAGGGTTCTTGTTGAGCAGTTCGGAGTGAAATCTGTTCGCATCATGCATGTAAGAACCCTATCTCTCGCATTCACTCACATGCCTTGTATGTCCAGCGTCTATTGCCCCTTGTCTCGATAGCCACAATCGACGGCTAGCAAGTCTCTCCGATTGTTCCAGAAGAGGGCAATAGCAAACATGTGGGACAAGGACGTGAGCTAGCGTGTAAGTGACGATTCGGGCAATTATCTGAGAGTGAGGGAGATTGCAAGCCATCTACGAAATACAAGGTAAAGTATATCTCAAGTCGAAGAGATCATAGATGCACAATCAAAATTTGCCATTTCTGAAACAAAGGCTCTGGAGGCGCATTATCATATCTTCACGGCTCCCCTGGTCCAAGTGGCACAAGTCGCGGAGAGTTTCCCTGTATCGCAGATCGCCAATCGCCGGCAGCTACTGTAAGAGGACACGCTCAGCGAGGTGTCAGGAGTCCTTTGCTAGCTCGGGTGGTTGTGCACGGCTTTGGGTTAGCAAATGCGGAGAAAGAAAGCAAGGCCGAAGTGCCAGAATAGAAGCAGAGGCCACAGTACGCATTCCTTCTTCTTCCCCAACTAACACGGATGGGGAGTAGGTAGACGCGTGCCATCGAGATGATGACGGTACTTGGACGACGGCTCGAGGATCGCCATACTGCCAAAGTACCGAGAGCTCACCACCAAGGGATACGCCCCTCAGCAACGTGCGAGCCCCCGGATAGTTGCATCCGAAGAGAAGCGGCAAGGCATTGATTACTCCAAGTCTCCTGATTTCCCAGCAGCCAGCTCGCCCCCCTTGCCCCGATTCGAACAGCTTCCACCCTCCACCAAGCTAAACGACCCCGCCTGTTGCTCGAGGAGCCGCGGGTCTTTGAAATTGCGAGGCTTCGGTTCGTCAGCACCGACAGCGATGACACAACCGCCGCCAATGGCGTTGCACCCGCAGATCCAGATGAGGCCTGCGAGCGGCGTGATCGCGACATTGGCTGGCAGGCCGGTGACATGCTGGAGAAACGCGGGGTTCGTGCCTCCAGCCAAGTCCAGACCCCTCCTCCTCCTCGTCTGGTTGCTCTCCTCCTCTTGGTCGGGTGGTTTGTACTGTGCATTTATATTGTTTGTTGTCTCCTCTTTTCCGTCCTTTGGTCCTTCTCTTCTTCCTCCTCCTCCTCTGTGTCCTTCTTTCCCTCGAGCTCATCTGTTAGCGGATTCTCGACAAGAGTCGGCCAACATTGGGCTTGCACTTACACCAACCAACACCACCTACTAGATACCCCCCCAACTGCAACCCTCTATTTCGTCTTCAGAATCAATCAAAACACATCCAAGAAACCAACGAGAACAGCAAAAATGGCCGAGAAGAAGTGCCCCGTCAACCATATCAACGCCGCAGGCCACGGCACCAGGAACAAGGACTGGTGGCCCGAGTCCCTCAAGCTCAACATCCTCCGCCAGCACACAGACGTCACCAATCCTCTCGGCCCCGACTTTGACTACCCGGCTGCCTTCAAGACCCTCGACTACGATGCCGTCAAGAAGGACCTTACGGCCCTGATGACCGATTCTCAGGACTGGTGGCCCGCCGACTTTGGCCACTACGGAGGCCTCTTTATCCGGCTGGCATGGCACAGCGCTGGCACGTATCGTGTCACTGACGGCCGTGGCGGCGGTGGCCAGGTAAGAATAAACAAATTCGAAGAATTGTGAACAGAACATCACTAATTCATCCCCCCCCGAAAACAGGGCCAACAACGATTCGCACCTCTCAACAGCTGGCCCGACAACGTGAGCTTGGACAAGGCTCGCCGTCTGCTGTGGCCCATCAAGCAAAAGTACGGCAACAAGCTCTCGTGGGCCGACCTCCTCATCCTCTCCGGCAACGTGGCTCTCGAGTCCATGGGCTTCAAGACGCTCGGATTTGCCGGCGGCCGTCCAGACACTTGGGAGGCTGACGAGGCTGCCTACTGGGGCGGCGAGACTACGTGGCTGGGCAACGATGTTCGATATGCCCACGGCTTCGAGGGCACAAAGCCTGGCTCTCACGGTGTCGTTGACTCCGACGAGAAGAGGCACACTGATATTCACTCTCGCGAGCTCGAGACTCCCTTGGCTGCTGTATGTATTTTCCCCATTAGTAACCACTTCTCGGCCGCACCGAACATTATATACTGACTCTTATTCTCATGACAGGCGCACATGGGTCTGATCTATGTCAACCCTGAGGGTCCCGATGCCAGTGGTGACCCTGTTGCCGCTGCTCGCGACATCCGCGTCACCTTTGGCCGCATGGCCATGAATGACGAAGAGACTGTCGCTCTGATCGCTGGTGGCCACACCTTTGGCAAGACTCACGGTGCCGGTCCCTCGAGCCACGTTGGTCCCGAGCCTGCTGCCGCTCCTCTCGAGAACCAGGGCCTTGGCTGGGCCAACAGCTTCGGCTCTGGAAAGGGCCCCGACACCATCACCAGTGGCCTGGAGGTGACCTGGACCAAGACGCCTACCAAGTGGAGCAACCAGTATCTGGAGTATCTCTTCAAGTACGACTGGGAGCTCACGACCAGCCCTGCCGGAGCCAAGCAGTATGTGGCCAAGAACGCCGAGCCCATCATCCCTCACGCCTATGATCCCAACAAGAAGCTGTTGCCTACCATGCTGACGACGGATCTGGCGCTGCGCTTTGACCCTGCCTACGAGAAGATTTCTCGTCGCTTCCTGGAGCATCCCGATCAGTTCGCCGATGCGTTTGCAAAGGCCTGGTTCAAGCTGACGCACCGTGACATGGGCCCCCTGAGCCGATATGTTGGCCCTGAAGTCCCCAAGGAGGAGTTTGCCTGGCAGGACCCCATCCCTCCCGTCAACTTTGCGCTGATCAACGAGAGCGACATTGCTGCGCTCAAGAAGGAGATTCTCAACTCTGGCGTGGCTCCGTCCAAGCTCATCTCGACCGCTTGGGCATCGGCCTCGACGTTCCGTGGCAGCGACAAGCGAGGCGGAGCCAACGGTGCCCGCATCCGTCTGGCGCCCCAGAAGGATTGGAAGGTCAACAACCCTCCTCAGCTGGCCGAGGTCCTTCAGGCACTGGAGAAGATTCAGAAGAGCTTCAACAGCTCCCAGAGCGGCGGCAAGAAGGTGTCGCTGGCTGACCTCATTGTTCTGGCTGGAGCTGCCGCCGTTGAAAAGGCCGCCAAGGATGCCGGACACGACATCACCGTCCCCTTTATCCCTGGCCGCAACGATGCCACCCAGGAGCAGACGGATGTCGAGTCTATTGGCCACCTCGAGCCCGTCGCCGATGGTTTCCGCAACTACGGCAAGTCGACGCCCAGAGTCAAGCTGGAGCACTCGTTGGTCGACAGGGCCCAGCTCCTCACTCTTACCGTGCCTGAGCTGACTGTCCTCGTTGGCGGTCTGCGTGTGCTCGGCACGAACTGGGACGGATCATCTCACGGTGTCTTCACCAACCGTCCCGGAGCGCTGACCAACGACTTCTTCGTCAACCTCTTGGATATGGGCACCGCCTGGAAGGCCAACCCGTCTGATATCGATCTCTTTGAGGGTACCGACCGCAAGACTGGTGCAAAGAAGTGGACGGGCACTCGCGTCGATCTCATCTTTGGCGCTCACCCCGAGCTCCGCGCCGTTGCCGAAGTCTACGGCAGCTCCGACGGTGGCCAGAAGTTTGTCAAGGACTTTGTGGCTGCTTGGACCAAGGTGTCGAACCTGGATCGCTTCGACCTGCCCAGAGATTCTCCCTCCAGGCCTCGCTTGTAAGTGAGCAGGTTCATCTACGCCACTCAAATGTTTTGGCAGCAATTGAGCAGATGTAAGTGGGGGTTCTTCATGCACTTGAAAAGCAAAGCATCGAGTATGTAGATGAATAAATAGTAAAATTGTAACTGCGTCCCATTTGATGTGATTCTTGATGTGAGTTGTAGCAGCCGAGTGATATTACCAATCCGTTGATCAACAATTGTTTTCTCCATAGCAGAGATGTCCAGATCATTCATAGCTCTCACGAACGCGCCCTTTTGCACTTGATGCTCGGGGACCTGCCCGTGAGCTGCTTCATGAGGTTTATCGTCATATCATACGAGGAGATACTCCGTACCTACTAAACGGTGGCATACCTTACGAAGCACTTGCAAATTTCCACCCAAAATCCACCAACAAAGCATATCGCTACAACTAAGTGAAAATAAACATCTACCTACCCGCTCAAGGAGTCAAGACCCCTAATCTTCCAAGGTAAGGTAGGTTCAGAAGCGATAAAAGGAAGGCTTCCGCCCGTTCACATGCTTGAAGCCACCAGATTCAAATCTCAGACTAAAGAAAGACCCATCACTGCCAGAAGCGGATCCGACCATCTAGTACATAGTATAATTGGCCACGTTTATTCCCAGTAGCTTATAGACTATTAGATCACGGATGCAGAAGGTGGAGGTTTCCTAATCGGTGAGTATTAGCCGGGGACCCATGACACAATCTCGGGCTGTCTATGATGCCGATGGCTGAAGGGCGATGAAATGCTACGTCGAGGCCCCAAGTCGAAGTCTGTAGAAGAGTGGGAGAAATGGTTCGATTATACGGGAGTTTCCGAGGAGGAGGACGACTTTGTGGCATGATATCTTCCTCTTGGGGGTTTTCATGTTCTTCTTCTTCATCTTCTTCACTTTGTAGCCTTGCCGCATATTTTTTCTCGAACTCGGATCTGAAGCACACAAATTTCTGCTGTTCACCATGGCGACGACAACAATGAAAGCATGGCAAATTGCCGCTCCAGGAACCATTGAAAATTCGCTCAAACTCATCGACAATGCGACAAAGCCAGCACCGCCCCTGAAAAAGGGCCAGATCCTCGTCGAGGTCATCAGCGCGGGCCTCAATCCCGCAGACTACAAAACCGTCGAGATGGGCTTCCTCTCCAAGGCCATCCTGTCCTTCCCCAAGACGCCCGGCATGGATCTCAGCGGCCGCGTCGTCGCGGTAGCAGATGATGTTACGGACGTCAAGGCCGGAGACGTCGTGCTGGCCCGCGTGGATCCTACAAAGGGGGCTGGCTCGCTGTCTCAGTACGTCGTCGCCGAGCGCGCTGGGTATGCTGCTTTACCGGGGGACTTTGACATGGATGTAGCTGCTGGTGCGCCGACGACTGCCCTGACGGCGTATCAGACGATCAAGCCGTATGTCGAAACGGGCTCCAAGGTCTTTATCAACGGCGGGTCGGGAGGCGTTGGCACCTTTGGGATTCAGATCGCAAAGGCTCTTGGGTGCTACGTCGCCGTCTCCTGTTCTACGACGAAGAAGGAGCTCTGCGAGAAGCTGGGTGCCGATGAGATTTTCGATTACAAGGCCGGCGATTTGGTTGCGCAGCTCAAGGAAAGCGGCAAAGTCTTTGATCTCATCGTCGACAATGTCGGCTCTTCCCTGCCGGGACTCTACCAGCAGTCGAAGCATTATCTCAAGCCAAAGGGGGCCTACGTGTTGGTGGGTGGTTCAGCGTCACTGAAGAGTGCCAGGAATGTTGCCGTGGCGAAGCTTGTGCCGTCGTTTTTGGGTGGAGGGAGGAACAAGCTCGTCACGTACATGACGTCGAATAACCACGATGATTTGGCACAGATTGCGCAGTGGTTGGGAGAAGGGAAGGTAAAGACGATTATTGATGCGACGTTTGAGTTTGAGGAGGCTGCGCAGGCTTTTGTGCATCTGAAGAAGGGCTCGAGTAGTGGCAAGGTGATTGTCCATGTTTCGAAGAAGACGTAAGATGCAGTAAAGGAGCGTATGTTGCGCTGCATTCTGAGAAGACTTCTTCTCAAGAACTGGAGAAGATACCCTTTATGAACCTCAATGTAATATAAGCGGTCATGTCTTTTTTCTCTACTTTGTGTGGCTTCTCGAGGTAGCACTTGATTGATGAGGAGCCACACTTCCTATAATAAAATATCTAGCATTCGCTTCACCATCGCAGTTTAACGGGAGCAGATCATGCTCATCCAGTCGTTCACATCTACAGTTGTAATATGGAGGGTTGTTATGAATGTATATTGATGTTCATGGACGTTTCCCTCTAGTCCATCCTCATCCCCCCTTTTCCTAATCTCATCCTTACATCCCGTACACGGATATATCTCGCCTCCAAGCTGAACCTCCTCCCCATCAAGGCTCGCAAATGTACGAGTAGCACACCAAGATGTTGCTCAAGCTGCACGCGGCACTGAACTCGTTGCAGTCCTTGATGCTATTGTCGCCAGGGTAACACGTGCCCTGCACGCTGCCGTCTCCGCCGGCAATGTAAAACAGCCAGGTGCCGTCGTCCTGGAGGTAAAAGTTCATGTTGCCGACGCCGCACATGCCGTCGAGCTCAAAGTAGTTGGAGCCGGTTTTCGAGATGCCGTAGACGGGCGGCTCGCCGTTGATGACGTGGCCGGTGCGGTCGCCGTCCATCATGCACTTGCAGTTGTAGTAGTTGGACGGGCAGGCGACGGCGTAGCTCTCGAGGCTGCCGCCAAAGCCGGGGGCGATGGAGCAGGGGCCCGTCAGGACGTGGAAGTCGGCTGCGGCGAGGCTGGCGAGGCCAAGCGCGGCGAGGAGCTGGGTTGAGGACTTCATATTTGGGGTTTGATGGGACGAGAAACTTGGGTATCGGGTGATGCTGAGATTGTCTTGACTTGTCTGCCTCTTCCTCATGGGATTTCGAGAGCGAGGGCAGCTTCTATATATACTTGAGATCAACTGATGAGCATATCGACCTTACTCGGGGCAACGATCTTCAACAGAAATTGAGCCTCCCAGCCAACTCTATCCATCAAGGTCCACTCGATGCATGGAGATGTTCTTGGCTGCATCGTCGCCGTAGGTTGATTCATCTCACCTTCCACTTACAGAGGCCTATACCTCAGACAATTTGGTCAGAACGGATCGTCGGCACAGTTCAGCCTCTGTCGTTCAGCAAGATAGCCCAGTTTGCCCAGCAGTATTCGCCCCGTCGGAGCTTTCGATTCTAAGAAAGGGAATACGTCAGAGACACAGCAGCCCAGGGTATTGATGTCTCCTGTCATATAACGATAGGCCCCGTATTGTACTAAGATCTCACCACACCCCCCATGCCAAGATGTCGATCGTTGAAGGGTTGAGAACTGCATCCTGCAGGGAAGCTGGAGTAGGACTTGATATCCAGAATCAATATTCGATGAAATAGGAATGCCCTTGGGGAGCTTTGCATCATATGGCAGCCTCGACCTGCCAATCTAGGGCCTAGCACGATACGATTCATGATACGATATGGAACCCGTTGGGCAGCTGTCTGTAGATGGAGAAGACCTCTCAACCAAGTAGCTACAGAGTTATCGTGTAAGATCATGGCAAATTCATCAGTCTTGATTGGGCGTTTGCAAAAAGAAATGGCGCACAGTAGGAAGAGACCCGGCAATTAGGCTCTGATGATAATATTACACGACACAGAGAAAAAGGGGAATAAGTCAAGGAGTGACCGAATCGAGTCATGATAACTCACCTTCGAATGCACTACTGCAGAGATCTTCCCCAGGAACGTGCCGGCTGAGCCTCCATCGCCCAGAACAGCAAGACTACCGTACTAGGTATTATTCACGAGTTGTGGTTGTGATCGGCCGGACCAAAATCTGGGCTGACCGCACATTGTTCTTTGATCGCCAGCCCTTATGCTTATATTAGACATCCAACAAGCTGGCGCGGAGCGACCTTTCCGAAACTGCGTAAATCGAGTTAAAAGCTGTGGCTGTAGTATGGAGACAGAGGGAGGATGAAGAAGGATGATTTGTGGATTAATCAATTCTTCTAGTCTCCATACCGGGAACATGATGCATCAACGGGAACGTGTTGCGGCAATCGAAGCTATGGGGCTCCCCATGGGGTCACTGCTACCTAATTGCTGACTGACTCTCCTGCAACTCCTGCACGGCCCTGACTGGGGATGTTGGCCAAGTGGGCGTGCTATTGACATCGTTGAGTCGAAGATATACAGGAAGATTCACAACGTGCGAACGAACATTTTGGGACATTGTCATTTCCAATGAGTTCGTGAGAATAGCTGCGTCATAGTAGGTAGATTCGGGCTTTGTGTATCAAGCAGCCGCAATGACATGAACACAAAAGCCTCACTCGTCACACCTTGATGTAATCATGTAACCAGAGCGTTCAGCTGAATCCACCAGCCATTGGAATCAATCCTCCTCTGCCAAGCAGCTAAAAGCGATGAGACACGTCAATTCGCATGGGATACCCCAAGAGCCCATGCAAAACACCGTTGAAAAGGTACCCCTGATATCACAACATCGGACACACCAAAAAACACATGAATCGATTTCTCTAAATCATTTCTGGGTATAAGATTCTTCAGAAACCATTCATTATCCGGCAATGCTCATCCGCTCAAAGGTGCTTGGCGAAAAAGTCGGCAACCTGCTTGTAGCCGCGCTCAAACTCCTTGACATTCTCCTCGTTCTTCAGGTCCGACCTGGCACCCATCCAGCCGTGGTGCATGTTCGGATAGGTCGTCACCTCAACGCGGTCGCCCATGATCTCCTGATACAGGGCAACCTTGTCAGCAGGCTCGTCCTTGGAGGCCAGCAGGATGTGAGGCACCGTCTGGACCTTGGCATCGGCTTCATCCAGGAGACTGGCCACACAAAAAGTTCAGGTCAGTAACGCACAACAAGGCCTTTGGTTTTTTGTTTGAAAGGGGTTTAAAAAAATGACAGAAAAGAACTCACCCAGGATGAGCCGTTCCGCTGGCGCTGAACCTCCGTCCAACGCCCTCGTTGCCCTCACCGCACGCCAGCACCGCCAGCTTGCCTCCCCAGCACAAGCCAAAGAGCCCCCAGTGGCCCTCGACGGCCGGGAACCTGTCCGCCAGGGCCTTGCGGAAGACGAGCAGCTTCTCGACGTTGGCCTGCGGGTTGCCCGTGGTGCTGACAAAGTCCTGCACCTTCTGGGCCTTTTCCGGCGTGTCCATGGGGATGGCGTTGATGTCCAGGCCGGTCCCGTCAAACAAGTCCGGGATGAGGACGAGGAAGCCGGTGTGGGCGGCGAGGCGGTCCGCGCCCTGGACCGTCTGGGGCCAGATGCCGAAGATGTCGTAGATGTCGACGATGCCCTTGGTGGCGTCCTCGGGGCCAACGATGTCTGTGTTGCACAAGTTGGTCAGGAAATTTCTGTCTTCTCCTTTCATCTCGTTCCCTCTCACTACTTGAGAGAGTGAAGGTGGCTTCATCTTACAGGTGTTGATGCCGGCAATCTTTTCGTATTTGCCCTTGGGGGTGTAGTCGGCCGTGACAGGGGCCAACTTGCAGCAGGCTGGGCTAGACATGGTGTCTATGTGAAGTGTTGGTTGAGAGTGAAGAAAGAGAGAGGTGAGCAGTTGATGCTATCAAGCTCAGAGAGAGAGTTGCTGATGGACAACACGGTAGGCTTCATCGTCTTCCTGTCTCTCTCACTCTCTATATATAGGTATATACCTATCTATGCTCTTGCTCCTCGATTTTGCCTCGGGTGGGTCTTGAGCGGGCAATTTCCCACATTTTGGCCCTGGAAGCGGTTGTTTGCGCGGTAGCACAATCACATCTTGACCCAGACGGGGCTCCATATCGAGCCTCGAGTCGTGCCGGCGTCGGTGCCGAGCCGGCGAGCCGAGTTTTATGTGTGACGAGAGGTGAGTGAAGGAGGAAAATGTCCCGAGAGGGGCTCCAGATTCGAAAAAAGAAAAACGTCACGGATTTTTTTGAGGCGGGGGTTCCGATTGAAGTTTCCTTGCATCTTCATCTGCATCTGTCTGCCGAATCGGTTCGAGATGTTGACAAGTCTGGTGTTTTGCTTGGCATAATTGGTAACAGATGGACTGCAGACTATCTCCCGTCTCATTACTGCTGAAGAGCACAAACAGTAGTTGCACTTACACACTTTGAAGTGAATGTTTTCCTCTTCTTCTGTGGCGGAGTCCTCTGGATCCTTGATTCACCCCCGCTTTTAGCGCCATAATCCGAGATTCAATGTCTTTTCTGCAGGGCTTTCTCCAACAAAGCAGAGCATCTCGAAACCTCGAGATCCCGCCGCTCCATCTCAGATGGCCACGACGTGTTTTAAATCCGTGATAAGTCCGGCCGTCGCCCTTGTTGAACGGCTTCTTGTCGCAAAGACGGAACTTTGAGACGGAATTCAGCTCGATTAGGCTTAGAATATTCCGTTAAAGAATAGGAGCGTCGAGGGTTTTGAGAGCTCGAGTCTGGTGAGGCTCGGTTGCTCTTCTTATTGCTTGTCATTTACACTCCCTTTTGACGTTGCTCTTGAACACATCGACATGTTTTGTGATGTGTGAGAGAACATTGTACTTGCGGATCAATTCTCGCAGCTTACTGCCCAAGTGTTATATTGTGAATGAATCCTCTTGTAGCCATCATCATATCGTCACCTCTGTTACGTCATGTAAATCACTTGGAGAATATCAACGAACTCTTGTTAATGCCGTTCACAAAACATCATGGCAACTCACAATCAAACGCCGTGAAACTTGAGCCATTCAGAACTTGGCAACTCTAACTCGACGATTCTCCTTCAAAGATACTCCAAGTCCAACATGGCAAATCAAACCTGGAAAGCTGAGCCGCCGTACAAGAAACCCAACGAGTCCTTCACCAAGAAGCTCCAAGGCTCGTGCCACTGCGGCCGCGTAAAGTACTGGCTCAGTCAAGACAAGCCTCTCGCCTCCAAGTACTGCCACTGCGATGGCTGCAAAGTGCTCCACGGTAAGTCTCACCCCCTATCACTGCCACCTTTTAGGGTACCTACGCCCCCTCCCTTGGCATGATTGTGTCCTTCTCACATCAAGGGCGCAGGCGCACCTTTCCAATGGGCAGCAATCTTCAAAAAGCAGGACATGGCATTCGAGAGCGGCGCCGAAAACCTACGCTTTTACAACTCCAGTTCTCAAGCACAGGAGCGTGAATTGCCCTGCAAAGTGAGCTGCTCTTACTGCGGCAGTCTCATCATGGACGAGGGGCGCAACATGGTTCTACTGTTTCCAACGCTTCTCTCTTTCGAGAATGAAGCCCAGAGAAAAAGCTTTGATGTGCAGTATGTGCTTTCTCGGGACTCGTGTGATAGCTAGGTCGTGGCTAACTTGGCGTGCAGGTGTCACCTCTTCTATCCGCAGAGGGTCGTCGATTTGCCGGATGGAAAGCCCAAATGGTCAGGGCTGGATGATAAAAGCGAGCTTCTGGATGAACCTTGACCGAGTCTGGGAAGAGAAGGGTCGAGATTTCATGCCGATCTATGTTGTATAGTATAATTCGACCGTAATCACATGCCCTCAAACTGATCGAACATTCCCCTTCCCTAGTCCCCAGATCCCCAACCCAACTGCCAGCGTGAGAGACAGGCCATTCAGCCCTTTTTAACGTGTTGCTTCGAAGTTCTTTTATTCCCGTTTCTCATGCGTGAAATATATGTACACGTCGTCGCATCGCCCATCGCCCATCCCAGCCGGCCTTTAGTTGCTCCGCGCACCCTCTTTCGACTCCCGCAGCTCGTTCATCTTGGCGACTCGCTTCTTGAACTCGACGTACTGGCACTTTTCGTAGCTGTGTCGCTCGTCCTAGACCCGCCATCCAGCATCGCATTAGCAAAAAAACGCTCTCCGCTCACGCCCTCTGCAGGGTTATAACCTCTCCCCTCTTCTGGCCCCTCTAGCCTCAACGCCCATGTTCAAAAAACGTACCGTGCACTTCCACGGAGCGTACCACGTCTCCCTCCGGCACTTGTTGAGCGGAATCAGGAGGTGGGCGCAGCTGTCTCGGTATGCGAGCGGGAGCCGGGCATCGCGCATCTCCTCGCGGGTCGCCTCTGCAGTCACCGTCAGCATTCACAGATCGCGGATCGAGAGAGAAACACTTCAGTGAAGCATCAGCGCTTACGCCGCGGTTCAATAGCTGCGTCGGAAGCCATGGTTGCGAGTTCAATTGGCCTGGCGAGCGTGATGTCGTGGGATTGAAGGGCCGCAAAAGGTTCCTTTGCTGCTTTGTCGGGTCAAGGCCGGCCGCTTGGAGGGTGCTGGAGTGGCAGCCCGAAAAGTCAGGCAGCTGTTTTTTTTTTGGTGTAAACATAGAAGGTACATCTGTCCGGGTACCACCTCAGTCTCGGCCATTCAAGTACTCCCAAATCTCGAGTCAGACTCAATAAACTTGAAGTTGGTTGACTTATACCTAGTCTTACAACAGCAACAACCACCAAGAAATGCATGTGGAAACAGCAGATGTCGCCCAATAAAGTCTCCTGATCATGTCCAACATGTCATCGCATGTCATCATCAAGCGCAAGCTGCATCAATCTTTGCCTTCCACGTCAGACTGTTTATCCCTTTCTGCGTCCAATAGACACGCTTCTACCTTGGTATTACAGGCGTCGTCGTCTCACTCAAACAATCAACAGGCTGCCCACGACTGAAACACCACCACCACCAGCATCAACCAACAGCAAAAGATGTCAACAAGTTGAGCAGTCTCAAGAGCCTCACAGCTGCACTGCATCTCATCCAATCCCACCCGCGACCCGCGACAACCCCAAACGCGCATCTTCGCGTCTATTTACGCATCCAAAAGCCCTCCAGACTCTTCCCTCCACCACCGAATGATTGGCTCTCGTGCTCCCACTTCGCATGCCCGTGAATCTCATCACTGCCCAAAGCCTCGCTCTGTTCACGATGCAGAAACAGCCAACCAGCCACCAGTTCCGCTTCCTTTTCTCCTCCAGAACCTACACCGAAAGATGCAAAATGCGTCATCCATCTGCTCATCGACTTCATGCAAGATCAGGTGCTTTCGCGACGCGGCTCCGCGCACTGCGTCGTCGTCGTCGTCGTCGTCGTCTGTCAGACGAGCGTGTTTCGTGCATTGTGCATGCGCTCAGGCCGGCCATTGGGCTGAGATGGAAAAAAAAAAAAAAAAAAAAAGCCTGCACGTAGATTCTATATAAGTCGGGACGCTCGTAGTCCCAGTGATGATATTTGCTCTCGTCATGATTCTTGCTTTCTTCTATAATCCCATCTCTCTTTTTGTCCCAACATTGCACTCGACTTCGTGTTCCATCAGTCTGCTTCCTTTCGTTCAAAGCCGCCTTCAACAACGATATATACCTGCACATACGACTACCTACTACCATAATTCACTCTTTTAAATCATCGTCAACGCCTTGCTTCAGCATTCCGCATCATAGCAAAACTCCTTTCATTCAACAGCCATACTCGCCCTCGATTCGGACTTTTTGACTTCACACATAAACATTCTTAATTCTTCACAATGACCTCTCACCACGACATCATCGCCTGGCTCGTCCCAACAACCCTCCACTCCTTATCCGACAAAGCAACCCGACTCCCTGAAAACGCCTCCCGCATCATCACCTACACGCCCTCATACTCCCGCCTCTCCTCCCGCCTCTCCAACGTCACGCACAACATCCCCGGCAGAGCCATCCAGCTCAGTTTCTCACAGCCGCCCAAACGCCCCGGCAGCTTCATCATCGGCACCGACCCGCGAACCTGCGACATCGTCCTGCCCGGCGTCGAGGGCATATCGAAGCAGCACTGCGCCCTCACCTTTGACGCGCAGTCCAGGCTTGTCCTCAGCGACTTTTCAGAAAGGGGGACCCAGGTGTGGTACGACTGGGAGAGCAACGGCGACAGGACGGATTACTCGTGGCTTCTCAGCAGCGGGTGCTCCCACGAGTTCCCGAGCATGGTGCAGCGCATCACTGTTGATATCCAGAGAGTCAGGTTTCAGGTCGTCGTCAACGATCATTCCGCAGACTGGGACGCCTTTAGGGAAAATGTCGATAGGTTTTGCGAGCAACCTAGCTGGGAGGATGATTCTCCCTGGGCTGATGCAGCATCCGTGCTGTCATCGACTGTGGCCCCTTTTCAACCCGTTGTTGTGAGGGAGGCAACAAGCGAACCTTTTGGGGAGGTATATCTCTGGAATCTGGCACGACCATGGGAGCCAATGGTAAAGGCATCGGCATAGCATTGCAGAGTGCGGCCGGCAATCCGAACGGAAGGGCATGCCAGCTGGACAACGGGCAAGGAAGAAAGCAGTGAGGGAATCTGGGGGATGCACTCCAGCATCATGTTCTTCAGAAGCACGGGATAAATAGGTAGCTCAGCCGTGGACTTGTACACACCTCTCAGACTGCAAGGGCGAGAAACAATGCATCAGGTTTCGAATTAATTCTCAAAAACGCTCCAAATATTGTGACAAGCCCCCCTCCATCCAAAGAGGGTATTTTAACAAACTCCAAAAGCATATCCCACCCCAATGCATGGTTTGCCTCTGCCGTTACCCACCATCTTCCTATCCAGTGATTCTCTCGCTCTCTCTCCATCTCTCTCTCTCAACTCCACCTCTGCCGCGCTCTAAGCCTCAACAACTGGCGTCTCCGCGGGTTGTTGCTCCTCCTCCTCATCCATGAACCGTGTCATGGCAAATTCCGGCGCTCTCCTTCGCTGGATGCCGCGTCCCCCCCGGCCGCCCTTTCTAAGAGCTGCCGTGGCGGCCTCTTCGCGGACGAGCGCCTTTTCCGCCTCCTTGTCCAGCATGGTGCCCTCCAGACTGAGATAGCTCGTCTCGCCGCTGACACCGACATCAAAGTTGCGGATACGAAAGCGAATCTTGCCCTTAACCTTGTTCCCGTCTGCGTCAACCCAGAAGCCCGTGCTGTGAATCTGTCGCACCACGCCATGATCGTCAGAGGTGATGACGGATGCCGTCTCCTCCATGCCGTGCGCCTCGGGGTCCTCGTTAGAGACCCATTTCCAAGAAGACGGCAGACGTCGAGCCTCGATGGAAGCGTTGAACTGGCCGAAGCAGACGACGCCAATGTGGCCCTCAGTCTGGAGGTTAATGGTGCCCTCCATCCATGCACCGCGGCTGGGCACAAACAGCTCGACTTCAGCGGTGATCCAGCCAAAGCCAACGGCATACTCGTTGATTGACTTGACGACTGTCTGGTCGTCATCGGACGTTGCCGCGCCCTTGCGCCCAGGGTTCTCACCCAGCGCTACGTTCTTGTAGTTCAAGAGCACACCCCGCAGGGCCGGGACGTATTTGTTCTTGAGATGCTGCAGATGTTGGTACTCGGCGTTTGTTACGGGCTGCGACCAACCAATGGGGTATATGGGCTCGTAGAGGGAGACGGTCTGGCTGTAGAATGGGAACTGAGGTCGGGCAGGGATGTCGGAGGGTTGATAGACTTCGGGCGCTGTCTGCGTCGTTGACTTCTGGATGGGCTTCTCGGTTTCCAGGACCTCCGCGTCGGCAGCTGCAGGCTCCTCGTAGGTTTCGGCATCTTCGTCGGCGTGCTTCTTGGACTTTTTCTTCTTCTTCTTCTCCGGGCTGGCAGCCTCGACTTCGGGCTCTTCTTCCTTGTGCTTCTTCTTATGCTCCTTCTTCTTCTTCTTGTGCGCTACTTCGGAGCCGTCATTGTCGATGCTGGCTGGCGGTTGTGAAGCCTCGGCGTCCTCCTCTCTGTTCTCGTCCACAGATTCGCTCTTGGACTTTTTGTGCTTGCGGCTCCTGTCGGGAAGTGCGTCCTCGTCTCGCTCTCGCTTCTTTTCTGACTTGGATGACTTGTCCTTCTTCTCCTTCTTGTGCTTCTTTTCCGATTTTGAGAGCGCCGGCTCGGGCGACGCAATTGAGGAGGACATTGTGTCGCAATTCCCGACAGCCCGCCGATTGCTTCGCAGTGGCTTGGAATGAAGCTTGCTTCAATTGCTGGGAAATTTTTTTGCAGACGATAGCTCGCTGGCGGCTTATCTTATCGATTATCGCACACCTGGTGGGGCACATGCATTCACCCAATTCTGCCTCCAAGTGCCGAAGAGGTTTGGAGAAAGCCGTGATCAATAAAAAGTTGGATTTTTTGGTTTCATTCTTCATCTCTTCATTTTAAAACTCAAGGCTTGCTGGGTTCTACTGCTTCAACTGATATCACAGGGCCGCTATCCAAGATGCAAGACGCCCTCGTCTTTGTCCATCTGCTCCTGGTACTTTATCCAAATCGCCACGGCTAGAAACAGCCTATATATCTTGCCAATTTGGCAGCTACTTTACCATGTTAATTACTGAAACCAGTCGTTCAGCAGCTGATAACGCTTCATCGGCGCTCTGGTGACGCATTGTTATCGCATGAGATCATTACATTGATACCTAGCATGATAGGGAACCGTGTATGTTCTGTTGAGGGTCTATCCTCCTCTGTGAGCCAAATCTCATGCCATTCCCGCCAACCTGTGGAGACTACATCATGCTTGCTTCTTCACTCTGAGTCGTCTTTGATGCTAGAAAGACAGAGGGACTAATAAAGTTGACGATGGGTTACCAAGGCTTTCATCAGCCTCAAGCAAGACCGTTCTAGTTGAACAAGGTGGCACGAGAACGGACGGACCGAAATCGCTCGGATCACTCAATTTGCCCGGCCGCCAACAAACCCACTTCGACAACGACCACCCCATTCTACGTCCTTGTACGTAACAAAAGAACCTGTCTGGCCGAGAGAATTGACGCATCATGAAATGTCACTGAATGGATCGGTACCGGCTCCGAGACCCTCTTCAGGTCCCGTTTTCGAGTCATTAGGACAGGACAAAGAGCCCGTACACTAATTCGTAGTGTCCAACTTATACGACCTGGCAGCCCAGAAACCCTGTGCTGTCCTGGTGAGGAGCAGCTTCACCAGCGGAACAGAAAAAAAAAACCCTGTAAGAGACAGCATGATTGCGCTCACCAAAGCGTTGAGCTGCTTCATCGTCTCCATCCCTTCTCACCAGGGACAGACACAAGAGACTGAATCGACATCTCGGCGAAACCCGTCGATACTTCATGTCAAAGGACAATCGACCAAACTGCCAGTTATTAATTCGGCTCTCCGCAATCGCTGAGAAAAATTCTACTGGCTAGTCAGCACTTGCCATGCTTGTCCCTTGTCTGGATCGCCTTGGCATCATCGAAATAGTAGTAGTACTAGAACCGCCTCTCAGGTCCCGTCCAGGTGGAACTGCTTGATGCAGCACGTTGCGATCCATACGATACACGTACAGGCCACAGCAAACGAGGCATGGCCTGCTGCTTTTACGACCGGGCAAAGACCCGGACATGTTCCAGCTAGGAGAAGAAGAAATCAATGGCCATGTGGCACCGATCCACCATGGCTTCCACGCAGTGTTTTTATCAATCAGTCCCATATCAATCAGATAAGATGGCTGCCCACGACCTCCTCTTATAACCCCATCGTGTCCCCTCCTCTCCTTGGGTGTCGCTGCAGCGCCTGCTTTCTCGCGTATGCTCTCGTCACGACAATCCCCCATCATTCCTTATATTATAGTCGGAGAGAGGACTGCGCATCATGAGGAGCGACGAGGAGAAGCGTCCCGCCGACGTCGTCGGTGTGTCGGCTCTCGACGAGTCGGACACTGCGTCTGATGGGCGAAGCACCAAGGTGCCGATGAGCATGAAGATTCTTTCTGTCGTTCTCGTCAGCCTGGTGGGCTTTGGCTCGCACTGGAGCAGCGGCGTGACGGGTGCCATGAAAAGCACCCTGAAAAAGGTTGCCTCTCTCTCTCTCACTTTGACTCTGTGGATGATGGCCACTAACAGAACCGCAGGAGCTGCACATCAACAACGCGCAATATGCCACGCTGGATGCAAGTGAAAACTTCATCAAGACGGCCCTGATCCTTGTCAGCGGTATCGTCACAGATCGATTTGGTGGTGCCAGTACGTGTAAAGATTCTCACATTATTCCCCCCCTGGTGCCAACCCTCTACTTACAGCTCCCCCAACACCAGGAACAATGCTCTGGGGCAACGCCGTCTACAGCATCGGCGCCATTCTCATCGCGGCGGCCACCCAAGTCCGCAGCTTCAAGTTCATGATCGCCGGCAGCGTCGTCCAGGCCCTCGGCGACGTCGCCACCCAATGCGCCCAGTACAAGGTCTTCTCGTCCTGGTTCGCGCCGTCAAACGGCTTCGCTTCCACGCTCGGCTTCGAGCTGGGCCTCGGCAAGATTGGCAGCTTCGTCGGCAAGGCATCGGCCAACGTCATTGCAAAGAACACGGGCAACTTTAGCTGGGTCTACTGGTGCGCCGTCTTCATCAACCTCTTTACAAACGTGGTGACGGTCGGCTTCTACGTCTTCACCGAGTACTGCGAGCGGCGCTACGCCGGCTCCAACGACCCGGCAACCGGCGAGAGGCTGACGGAGAAGAACAGCAAGTTTGAAATCACAAAGATGCTGCGGCTTCCCTGGCCGTTCTGGCTCGTCTCCCTCTTCTCCCTCTTCCAGACGTCCGTCGCCGGCGTCTTCTCCACCAATGCCACCGAGTTTGCCGAGAAGCGCTTCAACATCTCGGCCGTCACCGCGGGCTGGTACTCGGCCATGTCGCAGTATCTCGGCTTCTTCCTGGTGCCCCTCCTGGGCATCTTCATTGATGTCTTTGGCCAGCGCAACACCATCATGCTCGTCTGTGGTCTCGGCATGCTGCTGTCCATGTGTCTTGCTGCCTTTGGGCCTACCATTGCGGGCACAGCAGCCAGCTTTGGCATCTACGCGTTTGCGTCCTCGCTGGGCCCCACGGTCATCATCGATAGCATCCGCACCAGCATGTGGTATCAGGAAGTCTTTGGGTCGGGCTACGCCATCAAGATTGCCATCAACAACAGCATGACAATCATCATTGGCATTGTGGCAGGCGTCATCCAGGACCACGACAACGACGGCTATGACCGCGTCATTATTCTCTACGTCGTGCTGGCAGCAGGCTCCGTGGTGGTTGGTGCCCTGATGTTCGCAATGAGCTTCTTTAATCCTACGATGGGCAGGCTGCAGTGGACGCGCAAGCAGAGAATCCTCAGAGGCGAAAAGATCAATGCTCTCAAGGAGGAATTTGAGGAGGGACGGAACCGGGAAAAGCAGAGGATGTTGAGTCTCTCTTGTTTCGTTGCTACGATTGTCCTGTTGCTGGGAGCCTGGGCGACGTACTTTTGGGGAGTAGCCACAGGCCATAACGATTAAAAGTGATGGAAACAGGTAGATACATGTGCTCGAAAGCAATGATACATCCAGTCTTGTGACGAAGTGACCAAGTTCCTGCGATGACATATCTGTGAAGGTAAGTACATGTATATATATTGTCAGTCTAAAAGTCTGGTTCTAAATTAACATGAGTATTCTCAAGTTCCACCATGGTCATTCTATCTTTGCAAATGACATCAAGCCCCTCAGCCCTTTGCTGCTCTCCCAAGCCCTCCTTATTTGACCCTCCATGATAAGTAAGATGGAACTCCATCACACACATGTTTCCCCTTTCCCCTCACGCAACCCCCCTTATTTGTCGTCCCGCATCCTGGCCTGCCTCCTCCACCCAGCAGCAAACCTCCACTGCACCGCCGGCCCCAACAGCGCAACAAGCTGCACAATGGCACATATCGTAAACGCCAAGCCGACCCCAATCCCATTGACAAGGGGCATCACGACGCTCGTCCCGCCCGCAGCAAAGAGGCATCTCGCGAGGTTCAAACTCGCGCTCGCCGCGGCGCTGCGATCGGAAAACACGTCGACGAGGTACGTCATGATGGTGGACTGCGTCGAGACGGCGGTCCAGCCGGTGACAAAGGTGGATATGATGGGGATGGCTATGGGCACCTTGTGAGGGTACTGGATTGTCCAGCCAAAGAGGAGGATGGAGAGGCATTGGATGATGGAGAAGAGAGGTACCAGACGGAGACGGGCCTTTTCAATGGGGAAGTCGTCCTCTGCTGCTTCAGCGACCCCGTTTCCAGTCTCTGTCTGCGGATGTTGAGCGTCATAGGCAGCCTTGACCTTTTTGTAGTCCTTGTCGAGAATCTTGCCCGTGATGAGCGTGCCAACCATGGATCCCACGCCGTTGGCGATAAACGTCAATCCAATCTGCGTCACCTTGAGGTGGTATTTCTGCTCAAAGAGCGTCGACATGGCGGTGATGCTCATCTGCCACACGGCATAGTATATCGACAGAAACACGATGATGGGCGTCGCATGCTTGCTGAAGAGGATGCGGAACGGACCAAGCACATCGATGCGCTTCTTCGCGTCAGGGGCCGCCGTCGACGTCTCGCTGTTCCACTCAACCTTGGTGAGCTTCTGGTACACGACAAGGGGATACCTCCCAATCAGCGACGAAGGCGTCCGACTACCATTCGCAACAACAGACCGCAGCGTCTCGGGAAGAAACACCACCAGCAACACCAAGAACCCTCCCCCATACGCCGTCAAGAACCAAAAGATTGCCCTCCACCCCAGCGATCCCGCAATCGCGCCCCCAATCACCGGCCCAACCGCCACCGGAACAAGCAACCCTGCCTGGAAGATGCCCATCAGCCCCCCTCTGTTGGCCCTCGTCGTGATGTCGCCGATGACGCCGCTCCCAATCGCAATCGTGCTCGCGCTGCCCGTGCTCTGGAGACAGCGCAGCACCACGAGCGTGGCATAGTTCTTGGTCTCGGCGAGCCCGATGCATGCGCCGACGAAGACGAGAAAGGTGCAGCAGTAGGCCACTCTTCGGCCCTTGACGTCGGATACGGGACCCCAGAGGCTGGGCGCGATGCCCTGGAAGATGAGGTACGATGTCACGGTCAGGTTGACGAGTTCGATGGAGACGTGCAGGTCGGAGGCGATGGTGGGAAGGGCGGGAAAGTAGATGTTGGAGGCGAAGCCGGAGACTGTGTGCAACCGGGGATTTGATACTCGTGTCAGACAGAAAAAGACTTGCTCGCTGTAAGAGGGTATGCTGATGTAGACCATGGACTTACATGTTGCTGCTGTGGAGACTATAATGACGATAAAGGCCCTTTGTCGACTGTCAAAGATGCTGTAGGGCTCGGCTGCGTCTGGAGTTTGCGGCGTTTCTGCCGGGGGTGAAAGGTTTTCCAAATCTTGTTCATTGTCAAATTTTGATGACATTTTCAACAATTTGTGGTTCGAATGCCTTGATATTAATTTTCAATGCCACTTGCAAATGTTCAATGAAATCCTTCTGTCATTCTATATACCTTCTCTCGGGGCGAATCTGAAAGCGGATGTCGGATCTGACGACTTATACGCCGGAGTTGAGAGTGGAGTTTCCCGGAGTTGAGCAAGCACCTCTGGATATACAACAGCCAATCAGCGCTCGCGTTATATCCCTATTCGAACATGGGTCCAAAGTGACATCCAGTGAGCATCATCCGGAGTTGAAGCAAGCAACTGACACCAGAACCATCGTGTAAGTCATCGAATCTCCCCAGCTTCTAACATCCAAAGCATAAACAAACAAACCAAACAAAGATCCAACTCCGAAATAAAGCCTGCAAGATGACTCCTGACCATCCCTACTCTCCCTCATCCAACTCACCACCACCGTCCACATATCCTTCTCCAAAATGCCTTCCGCGGAGCCCAACGCCGCCCCCCTGAGCTTCGGCAAACGATTCGCCGTCCTCAACCTCGACTTCATGAACATTCTCTTCGACATCGTCAAGGGCACGCCGGAAGGAGGCAAGTTCGTCGCCAACTGCGGCCAATGGGTCGACGCCGTGCATAAGCGGGATCCGCGGCCGCTTACCGTCTTTACGGCGCTCTACTTTACCAGCCCTTCGCAAGCCGAGCTGCCGAAAGACGCCCCCTTTACCAAGCTTGTCAATGGCTTTGCGAGCTTTGACGAGAAGAGCCCCGGGGTGCAGGTGCCTTCGTACCTGAATGTCGATGATGAGGATATTGTCCTGCAAAAGATACGGTGGTATGCAGGGGCTGGGAATGTCCTGGAGACGCTTCTCAAAGAGAACAACATCGACACTGTCGTCGTTGTAAGTCGAGTACACTCTTTGAATTATCAAGCAATTCTACTTCTTGAGTTAGTCTACTAACTTGAGAATTCATAGTCTGGCCTCAGCCTCTCCGGTGTCGTCATGAGCACAGTCTATCGCCTCTTTGACCTAGACTATAACGTCTATATCATCTCGGACAACGTGCTAGAGCTGCCAGTGTCGGACCACGAAAAGTATGCTGCCGTCTTTCTCGGTTCGCTGATACCAAAAATGAATCTTAAAGTCATTGCCCTTGAAGAAGCACTCGAAGCACTCAAACATTCATAGAGTGGTTCAGCAAATCAAGTAGCCGGGGCCATTGTCGATACAAGAAATGAATCAAATGGGTATATAGATGGCTTGACAATGGAAGCTCGCGCAAGTTGCAAGCTTGTTGTCTTGTAAAAGATCACCCTCCGTGTGTGCAGCTAGTGACGGCATAGAGCATGGTGCCAAACTCGTCCAGATCCTCCAGCCAGCTGTCCACCCTATGACGTCTCTTGGCAACTTGTGAATCACCCAGCCCTTCGGGAATAGGCCACAACTCGTTGATGCGGAGGTTTCCCTCACCCCACGCGGCAAGATGCACATTATATGCAGCTTCCCAGTCGCGGCGTGTCTGAGCGAACCACAGCGTCTTGCTCGATACTGCCGGCAACCCTGTCAGTTCAGTGCCAAGGAAGGTCGGCAGCCCATCCTCGGATGAGAGAACGCTATCAAACAGATACATTGTGTAGAGCGTCCGCCGTTTAGCCTCGGCAAGGATCCAGCTTTCCCACCGAGGGCGCGCTCGCTGCTGCTCCGACAGGCACATCAAGCCTTGACGAGCTGCCAGGCACGCCAACTCTTGTAGATTCATCATAGCCTGGCGAAGAAAAGGGTTGTTGCCTTGGCTCAACCTAAAGAAGAGAGCCATGGTGTACATGAGAAAGGCCTGGAATGCGCTCAGCATGGACAAGTGGTCATAGCTGTCCCGCCTTTCGTAGATATTACTCATCTCCCTTTGCAGGATCTCGGCAGTCACATTCTCGCTCCCCGGCAAAGGCTTGTCGCATATCCGGATGATGCTCAGGCACGTAGACAAGAGCGGGCTCGGATGCGGGCTCATCAGCTGCGAGGCGTGCACAAAGGGCGGAAACCCGCGGCCATGGACGGCCATGCCGGCGTAAGACTTGAGAAGGCGGTAGATGAAAGCGGACACAGTGGCTGGGTAGTTTTTGACACTCTGGCCAGGGATTGGGATGTACGCGTTGAGCCAGCGGTTGCTGATTTCCTCTGCGTTGATCGGGCAGATGAGATCGGGGCTGGAGAAATCGAGAAAGTCCGGCGGCAGCGCGGGCAGCGAGGCTGACGAGTGGTCCAGGGACTGCGCGGCTGACCACTGCGTCCTTGTCGTCGTGGGAGGCGCCGTGGAAAAGCTGAGGGGGCTGTGGTCGTCCAGGTCGAGGTGGATGGAGGGCGACTCTGGATCTTGCGTGCCCTGAGGCGTCGAGATCTCATCGCGCTCCGGGCTCGGGAGGGTGCCGGCAGAAGCGCGAGAGAAGCTGGGCAGAGGGCCGGGACTGGGGTCGCTGCTGTCGCCAAAGAGGTGTTTCGAGGCTGCGGCTGTCGAGGAATGCGAATGGGGGTAGAGGCAGGGCAGATGCCGCAGGGCACAACGCGAGCAGCATCTCTCCTTGCGGTCGCAGCGGGCTTTGGCAATGGAGCACTGCTGGCAGGCCTTTTGTCGAGAGATGGCGTATCGTGAGGTTTTCATGGCGGGTTGGGACGGGAAGAGGTGGTGAGTGGTGGGATAAGGCAACGTCATTGACGATTGATAATTGGGGGACAATGAAGGGGACAAATGGCGTCAGAGGGAGGGGGGACGAGAAAAAGGAGGAACGAGAGGCTGACGCTGGTTTGGTTGAGCTGAAGATTGACAATGAAGGAGATTGGGATGGTCGAAGCGAGTTGAGGCGAGGTAAGTTGACGCTGAAAGTTGTCAAAGTCAAGGTAAATATGGCAAGATTTAGAGTTTTGAGAAGCTTGAATCAAAGCTCCGGCAACTGGCGCCACCGCCTGGCACTATTTGGCTACCTACATGTACCTACTACCTAAGGTATTAACCTATATCTTACATCGACTCGGCAGCTCTCTGTGTTGTTGACAAACGTCTACCTCTGCCTGTGTTGAGGTGTCTGACTCGAGTTTGGGTACTGCAGCCGTTGCGTTCGGACTTCGCACCATGTGCTGCAAGTGTATTGGAAGCGAGGTCCGACGCTTCAGGGTGCCGAATGCCCTTCGAATACCTTTCTAATAGTAAGCTGGAGCCATCCATCTATTACCTACAGTATGTATTCTTTCCAACAGCAGGTAGCATCACAGGGCTCCTGGCGCTGTAGCTTATAGTGGCCTGCTCCCTAGAGCACCCGCTGATTACATATGTATTCCCCGTACGCCCAAACCGGAATACGATCGTGGACCCGGATAGTTTGGTGATCCGGTCGACCATCTTTGCTTTTCCGAGCTCGGGTTTCCGCCATCCACCTTCATCTCATGCGGTCTTCTTACGCCTTCGTCATCGACAAGATACGCCTTGCTGCAGCAGGTCTACGCTTGTTGATTTCTTCTACACGTACATACATGTACATAATACCTACCTTACATAGGTATGCATGCAGCCTCGTCAACCCTCCCGCTCCAGCGTCGGCCCCAGCCTCATCACGTCTCCGGCCTGATACGTTGCCTCGAACCGATGCTCGCCATAAAATACCACCACGGACGATGCCGCAGACGCCCTCAGCGTCACCCCATCCAGCTTCCCGCCCTGCCATGAAAAATCAGCCTCCAGCCCTCCCCGGATCCTCATCCCCTTGACGTTTCCCTCAGCCCAAGCCGCGGGCAAGGCCGGCAGCAAGTCAACCTCGACCGGCCCTCCCAGGCGAGGAATGATGGAGCGGATCAGCATCTCGGCAATCGCCGCGGCGCCTCCTAGGTTGCCGTCAATGACAAAGATGTCCTTTTCGGCGCCGGCCACGCCCGGCTTGCTGTAGCTCAGCAGGTTGTCGAAGCTCAGCTCCCCCACGAGGTGGCCAATTTGCGCAACGGCCTTCTCTGCGTCTCCCAGCCGGGCGTAGTTTTGCGCAAACAGGGCAGCCGTGAACTCAATGTCCTCGAGATCGTCACGGCCCTGCCTTCGCTCAAGGGTCACGCGGACCGCCTCTGCCAGATCAGGCTGATGGCGGGCAGAAATCTGCGCTGAGCGGCAGAGGGCCATTGTGTGAGACAGATGCCGGTGATAGGGCTGTGCCTCTTCGAAATCATGCAGCCACTCTTGGAGTTGGCCATTCTTGCCAATCTGGAAAGGGGGCAGTTTCGCCAGTGCTTCTCGGTACATCCGAACGTCTTCCTTGTAGTTGGACTCCTGACAGTCCAGCTTTGTCAAAGCATACTCGCAGAATGCAAAGAGATCGCGAACCAAGACGATGTCGAGAGTGGGCGCCAGTGCCGCATAGTGCTCCTCCTTCTCTCCATCCTCCTTGACAACGAAGAAGCTATTCTCCGGGCTCACAGAGGGACCCGTGAGCAGCCACCCCGTCTTTGGATCCTCAATCATGTAGTCGAGGAAGAACTTGGACGCGCCCAACAGCACCGACCACGCCTCGTTCCTCGTGAAGGAGTCATCCAGGGAATACTCAAACATTTCAATCAGGTGGCTCGCCAGCCAAAGGCCGCCCGTCACGTTGAGCCCATATGACACCTCCCAGCCGGGATCTGTAAACCCCCAAACATTGCTAAAGACGTGAGCGACCCAGCCGGGGCAGCCATAGCAGACGCGGGCTGTATCTTGGCCGCTCTCTCCAAGACGTACAAGGTAGTTGATGAGCGGCTGCATCAGATCGGACAGGCCGCTATTCATAATCGCAAAGTAGTTCATCTGCGTGTTGATGTCGAGATGGTAGTCGCAGCTCCAGCCCATCTTGCAGGCCTCCCCGTCGTTCCACAAGCCTTGCAGATGCAGCGGCAAGGGTGAATCATGCCGGGTGCCGGCGATGGTAAGATAGCGAGCGTAGTGAAAGTAGAGCGCGAACATGCCGGCATCAGCATATCCGGAAGCCTCGAAGCTCTGCCGACGCTGGTCTGTTGGAGCGCTCGCAGTCGAACAGGATTCAGATCCCAGAGAGATGCTCACCCGGCGATAGAGCGGCTGGAAGTCCTGGAGGTGCGCTTGAAAGAGATCAGAGGCAGACAGCTCGAGAGCCGCGTCCATCTGTGCAACTGTTCGCCTTCTCCATGCGTCTCCAGGCTCGGCGTAGTCGGTGTTGAACGTCACTAAGATGGTTATGCTCTTCTTTGCCGAGATGACGAGTTTTCCATTTCGACGCTGGACTTTTCCTTCATCGACAGTTGCCGCGATGAGACCGTAGCCCTTGACACCACAGGTTCCGTCGCTGTGTACCGTTTCGAGAGCTTGGACGTTGAACTCGAGCTTCCCATCGGCGTTGACATTGGAAGTAAATGCTTCGTTCTCTCCCTGGACATCGACTTCAATCTCTAGCCCCTGCAGGTCATCGCCCTCCAACTGCACAACTAGGACTTGATGCGGATGGCTCAAGAAGCATCGCCTCTTGAACTGGCGGCCGCTCAGAGTATACCTCGTCTCCGTCACAGCTTCGTCAAGCCTCAACTCCCTCTCAAAGCCACTGACAACGCCATCAATAGTCTCCTGTCCATTCACAGCAATTTCGAGTCTTCCAACCCCTAGATTGGTCCCAAAATTGGTCTTTCTACTCTCAAGAAACCTTTCTGCCCTCTTCTTCCCCTGCGCATAGTCGCCACTGAGATAGCATCTCTGCGTTTCTCTCAACTCGTCCTTGGCCCGCTCGGGCTTGTGAGAGAGTCCTGCGCCTGCTGGCTGCTCCTTTCCGGACCAGAAGGAGACTTCGTTGAGGATCAATACTTCTTTGGAGGGAGAGGAGAGGACGGAGGCAGCAAAACGGCCGTTGCCCAGGGGGAGCGAGGTTGGGAATGCGGTTGAGGGGGTGGTGTAAAAGAGTCTGTGTTCTGAAGACATTTTTTGTGTGATGTCAAGTCTCAAACATTGATGAAGCTGTCAGCTTTTTTATGCAGACCACTACCTATACTAGGTATGTTCAAGTAGAGTTGAGTAGGGAGGTGAGATTGCGGAGTTCACATGCCTACATGTATGTAGGGATGCATCAGCTGCAGAGCCCTGTTATTCTTACAAACCCCTCACGATTTGCAGCTCACCAGCTCATTCCACACAATACGACACCCAAGAGCGTCTGAAGCCCAGTTCCCAAAACCTGAATGCCGGTGGCCGGAGCATAACAAAGTCAGCTGTTCCCTGTGGGGTTTTCCAATACGCGGGATCATTGTTCGGGTAGACTCTTGGCCTCGGCATGTTCCTTGCTCTAGGTCCCCGGCTGATTGGTCGATCTGGCGTCGAGATGCCCCCGGATATTGAGCCGGATATTGGCCCGAGAGGTGGTGTGGCTCGGATCGAGCGCCACTCGATGCCGTGTCCCGGGTATTCGTCCGACACATGAACTTGAGAGGCTTCTACTAGCTATTGACGAACTCTCTGATGCCTCGACCACATGGCACAATTGGCGGGTTGGAAGTTGTCAATAGTCTGGTCAAGTGAAGAGACCGACACAAGACGTGATGCTTCAGACTCAGTCTATTTAGCCGAAGGTTCGTCTTACCAACAACAAGCTCCAGCCGACGGGATTCAACCCCATGCCACAAACAAGGGCGCTGGCTTGTTGAAGACCAAGAGCCAGTGTATGGATTTTGGTTCCAGCCCTACTTCTAGTCTATATCGTCTTGCAAATGCCCGACGGATCTCACCACCATTTCGACATGCTGCTGCTGTCATCACAACAGCCGCTCCCGGCAGCAGCATCACCACCACCCCGGACAAGTCCTTGCCGCTTCCCCAGAGCCGGGGATGCACTAGATCCAGTCGCCTCGATCATGCGGAGCCCCGCAACTTGGCCTCATTAGTCTGGAGAACGACTGCTTACTACAAGTGGTTCAACACCAGGACGATGCGTATAAGTAGGATGCATGCAACGTTGTGATGGCTGACAAGGAGGACAGGGCCTTGGTCTTCTCGGGTTGACAAAGTTCCTCTTGATAGCGGGCCTTCTTCATTGCTCTCTCACTCCACTCCTCCCCTTCCTCTCCAACTCCTTTCTCCATCAACTTGCAGCACCCAAGTGCCTTGTCAAACACCATCATAGCCCACCATGGAGAAGGAGGCCCAGGCAACGGCGCTGGAAAACGTCGCCAGCAACATCGAGCATGAGCTCACCAACGCCGGCGCCACTGGCAAAATGGCCAGCATCAGCGAGGCCATGGCCAACAGCGGCACCGCGACGGAGCATCGCCTCGGCTCCTGGGAGGCCCTCAAGCTGTACCGCAAGGGCGCCTTCTGGTCCATGTTCATCTCGCTCAGCATCATCATGCGCGCCTACGACATCGAGATCAGCGGCAACTTCTTCGCGCTGCCGGCCTTCCAGCGGCACTTCGGCGTCGACTACGGGCCCGACCGCGGCGGGTATCAGATCCCGGCCCGGTGGCAGGTCGCCATGGGCATGGGCAGCCTCGTCGGCCAGATTGTGGGCGCCTATCTCGTTTCGTTTCCCATGGAGAAGTTTGGCAGGAAGAAGACGTTTGCCGTGTGCCTTGTCCTGACGGCGATTTTGACGTTTATGCAATTCTTTGCCAACACGATCGGGGTCCTGACGGCCAGCCAGTATCTCAGCGGCATTGTCTGGGGAGGGTACTGTGTCATTGCGACGACGTATGCGTCCGAGGTGCTTCCGCTCAGCTTGCGTGGCTTCCTCACTGGCTACATCAACCTGTGCTATGTCATGGGCCAATTTATCCAGACGGGCGTCACCCGGGGCTTCATCAACCGCCCTGACCAGTGGGCATACAAGATCCCCTTTGCAATCCAATGGGCGTGGCCCGTCATCCTCCTTGCCGGCCTGCCCTTTGCCCCCGAGTCGCCATGGTGGCTGGTTCGACAGAACAAGATGGAAAAGGCGGAGCGGTCTCTCGAGCAGCTCGTCCAGAAGGACTCGGGCATCAACACCAAGGAGACGCTCGCCATGATGGTCAAGACGGATCTCCTGGAGCGAGAGCTCGAGGTCGGCACCACGTACGCCGACTGCTGGAAGGGCGTCAACCGACGACGCATGGAGATTTGCATCTTGCTCTTCGTCATCCAGAACTTTAGCGGCAACCCCGTTGGCTTCGCGACCTACTTCTTTGAGCAGATTGGCCTCAACAATGTGCAAGCATTCGACATGGGCGTTGGTCTCAACGGCGTCGGCTTCGTTGGCACGTGCCTCTCTGCCATTCCCCTGATCTATCTCGGCCGTCGTCCTGCGTACATCTTTGGCCTCAGCTTCATGGTTGCCACGCTCTTCGTTGTGGCGCTGCTGACCTTTGCGCATGACTACACGACCAACGACTCGTATCGTTGGGCGCAAGCTACGCTGCTCATCATCCTGCAGTTCGTCTGGCAGGCGACTCTTGGCCCGTTGACGTACGTCGTCGTCTGCGAGACGCCCTCGACCAAGCTTCGATCGAAGACGATTGCCATTGCCACCATGATTGATGCCCTCACGGGTCTGGTCACGTCTGTTATCGGACCGTATCTGCTGAACCCTGGCGCTGCGGGTGCCGGAGCCAAGATTGAGTTTCTGTATGGAGGCATTTCCGTCTTTTCTCTCATCTGGACCATTTTCAGAATGGTAAGTCACTCTCCCCCTCCATTGAAGTGAAAGGCCACTTTCTGCTTGGAGATGATTGACTGACGTTTTGCTGTATACATGTAGCCGGAGACCAAGGGCCGAACGTACGAAGAGTTGGATATCATGTTTGAGCGCAACGTTCCGGCGAGAAAGTTTGCGACGTACAAGTTTGAGGACGAGGATCTGACGCCATGAGGACATGGATGTCGATAGTCATGTTGGCACTACATAAGGTAGGTATGTTGATTTGCTGTAGCTGCAGCCTGTCGCGGGCTATTGATGGTAACGGAGATAATCAATTATTACAATCAAGAATTCCTCGATCTCGTGGAATTGATTCACACGACTGATGTCAATGGTGAATGTAATCAAGTGAAGCATGCGTGAACATTCACTGGGCATTGTCGCCCACTCGAGGGTAGGTGGTGTCGTCTTACACGACTTGCTGGTAGGACATGTGCCACCACCGCCAACTCGCCTTGCCAGCTATAATCATCGGCATCGGCTTCAATGCCTTGTGTCTCCATTCCAGTTCCTGAAGAACAAAGCCTGCTAGGGAACAACGATCTACATCTCTATTGAGAATTCGTGTCGAAGGACTTTGCTGCTCTTGGATGACATTTGTAGTGAAGTCATCTCCATGACTAAGCACGAGCGTCAGGATGTCAGGATTTCAGCTCAGCTCTCACACGCCCTTCCATCTACACACCGTGTCTGTCACCGCAAACATGGTCTCACCATCTCATCGCCATGTCTAGCATGAGCGACATCACCAGCGGGAGCATCAACGACAATGAAGCGCCTCTGCGGCGTCTCAACGGGCGCCTCCAGGCGTGCGATCAGTGTCGGGCACGCAAAGTCGCCTGCGATCACACGCGGCCGGTCTGCACCCGATGCCTCAAGAGAAACCAGGCCAGCGAATGCACCTACACCGTCGGAGCCGTGCTTCAGCCTCGGAGGCGCCCGAGGCGGCAGAAGGCGAATGCGGCGAGCACGGCTCCGAACATGAATCCGATGGACTTGAGGCCTGTCAACGGACTCGGATCCCCCAGCTCGGGCTACATGGGCTTCACCAGCCACGCCACCGTCTACGAACAGACGAAGCGAAGCCTCAGCCTGCTTCAGGGCCAGGGGCCGGACCCTCGTCTGTCGCGGTCCTCTTCTGATGATCGAACGGCTCCTCGTCTTACCTTTGACCAGCTCCCCCATCTGGTGCGCCACATGAGCATCTATGTGTTGGAGGCTCTGCCGGGGCAGCGCAACGAGCAGATCTTCTTCAACCATGAGGATGGCCAGAGAAATGGCTGGAGGCAAGTCGCTCTGGCTCGCATCACCCGGTCGGTGCAAGAGCTGCTGAGGAAGAACGCCGACGGGACAGGGCCTGACTTGGAGCGGGTCGCTGAGATGATATGTAACAACTCGGCTCAGCCCTTTCGAGAGATTGATGATCCGCACCGGTGGATGGATCAGTACTGCGATAGCAGCAGTCTCAGATGGGAGTCGATCGGGTGGATCTGGGCAGGCCTGGAGCGACTCGGGGACATTGTCAACTCGTTTCGGCCTTCTCACGTTCAGTGGCTCCCCGGCAAGGAATCCCATGATCTGTCCAGAACGTACATGACATACTGCGTTGATTTGGCGCGGCACTTTTGCGAGGGCAACCCCGTGCTGTTAGATCTCCACCGATGTCGGACAACTCTGATATCGATAATGGATGGCGATGCTGGTAAGCATGATGCTCGATGATTAATGTGAGGAAGAACTCATGTTAATGCTGGTTTAACAGCTGGAACGTGCTGGTACTCCCATGGCGCAGGCGTGTCCATGATGACGTTCATGGGATTACACGCCCTGGACACAGAGATGCCATACACGCCCACGCTATGTTCCGAGAACAGCAGGCGAGTCGTTGCTCAAATCTTCAACGTCGACAAGTGGTGTGTCGCCTTCTCGGGCCGGCCTCCGCTCATTCATCGCCGGTTCTGCACGACGCCTCTGCCGCTGGATCTTGCCGACGAGGAGCTCATAGCAGACGAAGCAACGCTGCGCAAGGCGGTTTCGGAATTGGACGACCGAGGCTGGAACACAAAGGGCCAGATCCACCCTGCTACGCTCGTGCGAGCTCGGCGCATGCTGGCAGGCAATCTGGAAGAGGTCATGGAAATCGCCTTGAGCTGTACCGTCTGCATTACTTTGAATGAGTTGCGGTATGTCCCCCTTGCTGGGCTTCATGGAACGCAGTGAAGCTAAAACGGTCGCATAGTAACCTTCAGACCCGAGAACTGCAGACGTTTGCAACTCTTCCTGCGCATCTTCAATATAGCCCACATATCTTGCTAGATCCCGAGCTGGACACCACGTCCGTTTACGCGAGAATACTGCTCCGGCTGGCTCATTTGCAGACCATGTTCTTGCTCGAAAGGCTGCTGCTGCTCAACGGCAGCTTGGACGAGGGCAACCTGCTGCTCTTTAGCTTCGAAATGCTCACTCTCACTCTTGCGCTGTGGACGCACAAGGACCGATTTGCCGAGATGCGGCGCAACTTTGAATGGCTTGTAAGTCGTTGATCTAGCTTGCAGCAAGAGAAACGTGTCTGACGGTCGAACAAAGCTCATGGCCCACGCAGCGCCAGCAGGCGGCATTCTCTGCTTGGAGCTGCTCAACCCGACATTCACCGGCAAGCACCCTAGCGACGCCCGCATCACGCGCTCCAGCATCATCCAGAACCTCAGCCTCCTCGTCGGATTCCTCGACTGGGTGCGTCCGTCGGCGCCCAACGGGGATCTGTGCATGGACTGCAAGGTCATTATCCAGCGGGTGCTGGATTATACGCTCAACGGCAGCGCGGATGGAAACAGTCCTCGGGCGGCGTTGGCGTTTGACTTTCCAGAGCCGTTGGATTTCAATTTTGAGCTGCTGGATACGTTTGATTGGCTGCATACTGATCTTTGACAGTCGTTGCGAGCTTATTCACCAGATCTAATGTAGAGCGAGATTGAACTGTGTTACACCTGTAAAGCTATGCCTCTATCTTGGAGATTATTTCCCTTTATTTCTGGGTTGTCTTTCAAGAATCTCCTGCTACTACTGTGCTTTTCTATTGTCTGATACTTCATCCCTTTATTATACGTAGCCGTATTATGGTATGATTGCTAATCCTTTCTATATCTTCCTAGTACTTGCTATCATTTCCTACTCTTGCGTATTAATGTTATAAAGTATTCTTTATTCGATGTGCTACTATCTCCTACTTTCGCTTATTGTGATTGCAGAGTATCTTTCTATTGCCTTTGCAATCACCCACCTACTCACCAATCTATTATAAACGGAGGTCATACATACCTCAACTCATAGTCGCTCGCGTACCTGACCTGATAGATGTTCCACTTTTAATTGAACTTGAACACCGTGAATTTTTATTCACCTGACATGTGATTGAAGCGCGTTCATTGGCTGAATTCCGACAATGATTCACTGTTGAACAAGGTGTCAGCTCAGCACAGCCTTCACTATTTATTGTCAATGCATTCCCTTTCTATTCCCCCAAAGAGGTTATAAACGGCCAGCAGCGTGGAATTAATACTATAAAAACTTGCGAAATTCATAATCTTAGATCTTAAAACTAGAGGCCTAGCCTTATAAGTTATCTTTTTATAATAATATACCTTTTTATTATAAAATAAATAAATAAAAATACCTTTATAAGCTAGTATATTATTTTAATTAGAATTTTCCTAAATTTTTAACCTTTTTAATATATTATAAAAAAATATATATAATACCTTTAAATACTAATAAGGCTAGCTTTATTAATATTATTTATATATGCTTTAATAGTTAGCTATATATATATTATACTAATTTATATATATTAAATATAATTAATAACTTTAATATATTATTCTGCTTTTAAATTAAATACTTTTATACTCTTTAATACTATAATCCCTTAAGCCTAGGTATAAAAATAGGCATTTCCCTTATATTAAAAGGCATTTACTATAGTTAGGTTAAGAAGGTAAGTAGAAAGGATATAAAAGGAGTTTTATAAAAGGGCCTAATATATTTTTACTATATTAAGGCATAGGGGAAATATTAAAAGCAGTATAATAAGCGCTTTAAGGTTTATTATAAGTAGTAAAAAGGTTAGGCTTTTTACTAAATTAATAAATAAAATATATTATTTTATATAGTATTTATAGCTATAAGTAAGGTATTTGCTTTTATTAAATAGTAAATAAAGTCCTGCTTTTTTTTAAAAATTAATAAACTTTATAACTTATAAATAACTTTTAAAGCTTTTAGTATAGCTATATTATATATAAATAATATAGCCTTCTTATTTTTTATAATTATCTCCTTATTATTATAAAGTATATTAATAATCTCCTTAGCTTTAATTAAAATATTAGCTATATTTTCTTAACTTATAAAGTTAAAATTATTTAATTTAATATTTTTAATTTTAATTTTATAATTCTAGCTGCTATTAGGCTTAATATTAATTCTACACTTAATAAAAGCTTTTTTAATAAGTTATAAGTTATTTTATAAGTATTTAATAATAGTAGTAATAATAAATATTATTATAATATATTTATTATAAATAGTCTACCTAGTCTTACTTTTAGCCTTATATTTAAAGGTATATTTAGCTATAGCCTTATATAGCTAATCCTTAAAGAGTTTATTAATAATAATATTAAAAAGTTAAAGTTAGCTAGTTATATTAAGTAGGATAAGGGTAATAGTAATATTTTAATTATATAGCTTTTATAAAATAAGGCTTATTTTATAAAAGCTTATAATATTTATTATAAGAAGTTAATCTTAATTAAAATTACAGTAGCTAAATTCCTTAATAATCTACTTTAAAAATAATGCTTTATTATTATATATAATCTTATTAAATTTAATAATTACTTTTAAAAAGTAAAAATAGTACTTATTATAGTATATTATACTTATTAAAAGCAGCTAATTATAAAAAATTAACTTTAGCTTAATCCTTTACTTTTTATTAATATAAATATATAGTATTAACATTACTTACTACTTATTTTATCTTAAACAGTTAGACTTATTAATAATAATATAAGCCTTAAAGTAATTATATATATAGCTATTAAAGTACTTAAATAAAATTAGCATTTTATTAAAGTTAATAATTTAGCTTTTTTTAAAGCAGTAGATTAATAAAATAAAGTTAAGTATTTAGTTAAGCTTTATATATCTTTTTATATTTAATATATATTAAATAAACTTTAAAAAGCTATTTATTATAATAATAGCTTTTTTTAGCTATTATATAGCTTATTTAATAACTTAATAGCATACTATATTATAATAATACTTAAACCTAGCTTACTAGCTATTAAAAAATATAAATATTTTCTTATATTTAAAATATAGCTATATAAAAAATATTTTATAATTTTATTTAAAACTACTATACTATTATAATATAACTAGCCTTATAATACTTAATAAAAGCTTTAAATAATGCTTTTTTTAAAGCTAGCTATATAAGGTAAAAAATAAGTATTTTACCTTATAAAATAAAATCCTAATTTTTTTATTAAGTAGTAATAGTACTTAAGGTAATTTAAAACTATTTTAAAGCCTTTAAAAAGGTAAAAGGCTATAAAATATTAAATTTATTATTTTTTTTAAAATCTATACCTTTTTTTAATTTATATAGGCATTAGTTAGTAAAAATATAATAGTAAATAAAAAATAAAATAATATTAAGCTTTTTCTTTTTAAAAAATATATATTTAATATATTAAATTTAATTTAATTAATAATATTATTTTTTTAAAGCCTTTACTAGCTTTAAACTAGGTTAAAAATATTATTAAAAGATATTATAGCTAATTTCTTTTAATAGTAGTATTTTAAGGCTAATTTTTAGTATATTAATATTATAATATAGTGTTTTTTAATATTATAGTATACTTACCTTTTTACTGCAGCTATTAATAATATAAGAAAAATTTACTTAAATAATATACTAGCTTATAAAGGTACTTTTATTTATTTATCTTATAATAGAAAGGTGTATTATTATAAAAAGATAACTTGCAGGGCCAGGCCTCTAGTTCTAAGATCTAAGATTGCGAATTTCATAAGTTTTTATGGTAGCCTACCAGGTCGGTAAGGAATGGAGTCAGTAGTGTCACTCCTCCCCCCTTGTTCTAGGTAAATGGCAGGCACGTGATCTCGCGTCAGCCAATTCTTCCTAGGCCGTCGATGCCTTATTTACTATCGCCATCGCATCTTGTCTCCCTCACCACACGCGCGTATGAGGCGCATCAGCAACACTCCATGGACGTCTTGGCGCCCGAAGAACTCGACGCCATCGACAACAACCCCCTCGGCGATGCGCTAGATCCCATTCGAGAAGCCCTGCGGGAAGCGGACTCGACGCTGGGCAGCTTCCAGCTAGACGGCACGGCGGACGTCGTCGACGATGCAGATGCGCCACAACGACCGCGTCTGCTGGTAGCAGCACTGGCCAGGCTTTTCGGCATTCTATCTGCATCTGAGGTCCCCCTATCCCTTGCCTCGAGGACCGGCAGAGATTTCCTACTATCTGATTTGGGCCATATCCGCACAATGCTTCGGGCGAACGACCTCAATTATCGTTATCGTTACTTTCGTCCGTTGTCAAGAGCCATTATCAGGCAAGAACCAGACGCCGAGATCTGGACTGCCGTCATCCGCCTTATTCTGGCAACATCACAAGCCCACACCACTCCGCCTCCTAGCAGCTCTACTGTTGACGAAACCCCCATCACCCATTCATCAGCTTCGCAGCAGGGGTCAGAACAGACTCGGCAGGCTATCGAAGAACGCGTCTTTGAAGAGATCTGCCACTGCACGCATCGCGCAGTCGGGGGCTTCCACGAGAAATACTTCCAGGGCAGGAAATGGAACCGACGAGCGAAGCAAATCTGGCGTCGTGCCAAAAGTCAGTACAGCGAGGACGATCATCGGTGGACGCGGCTCCCCAAGAAGGGCACCGAGGACGACGTATGCGAGTGGTGGCTCAACCTGCAAAGGGAGCTACTGGCAAATGAGAGAACCGCTTTCTTTAGAAGCTCCGGGAACAATAGAGTTGGGACCGAGGCGCAAAGACAGCTGGACCTCTTGGTGAAACTGAAAGGAGACGGCTTGCAGCATGACTGGAAACATGTCCTGGTGGTTGGCGAAATGAAAGAGTCGGACAAGAACTCCAAGGCTCTGTGGCTCCAGATAGGCAGCGCAGTGCGAAACGTCTTCGCAGCCCAACCCACACGTCGTTTCGTCCATGCATTCTCGTTGAGGGGATCCGAGATGGAAAATTGGATCTATGATCGGTCGGGTCCGTATAGTGGTGCCGTCTTTGACATCCACGACCAACCCGAAAAGTTCATCCAGGTCATGTGCGGGTACCTGATGATGAGCGACGAAGAATTCGGACTGGATACCTTCATAACGCAGAAAGAGCAGAGGCTTTTTGTCACAATGCCTGTTGAACCCCGTGCGAACAGGAGAAAGCGGAAACTTGAGCTCGACGCCAAACCGATCGCATTTCAACGAGCCATCGTCTGCCGCGGGACGACTTGCTTCCGGGCTCGCGACGTGGGTTCGACGGAACTTGACACGGTTGTGAAATTTTCCTGGACCTCCAGCAAGCGACCGCCTGAAGCAGATCTGCTCACAAAGGCTCACGAACGCGGTGTCAGGGGGCTTGCGAAATTGGTCGGCTACTGCGAAGAGGTCACCAGCATCAGCAAGCTGCGCGAAGGCCTCGTCTTTGGTACTCCGTACAAGTTTCGAGATGTCCCGAACGGCTCTGGTGTGTCCACCTCACAGTCGTGGCTCCATGGCCAATCTGTGCAGTTCTCCGATCCCAGCGTTGGCAGCAGTGCGTCTAGAAAACGAAAATCCGTGGCCGAGTCGAGCCGTGCAGCCAAGCGATCCCGAACAAATAGCTCGCTACGCGGGACGGAAGACGAGGAGAGCAAGCTGAATTACTCCATTGAGGCACCGCAAGGGACCAGCCTTATTCCAAAGGACCAAGATCTACCATTCGACAATCGCATTCTGCGAGTTCTAGCCATTTCTCCAGCAGGACGATGCATCACTCAGTTTAGGACCGTTCTTGAGCTTCTCGAAGCCCTGTGCGACGCCATCAAAGTACACCGATCCCTTTGCCTGGACGGGAAGATTCTGCATCGCGATATCTCGGAGAATAATATCATCATCACCAACCCGGACAAGTCCGATGGCTTCAAGGGCATGCTCATCGACCTGGACTTGGCCAAGGAAGAAGGCAAGGGCCCTAGCGGGGCCCGGCATCGAACCGGCACAATGGAGTTTATGGCTATCGAAGTCCTTCTGGGAACGTCTCACACGTATCGTCACGACCTCGAAGCGTTCTTTTACGTTTTGATCTGGCTCTGTGCCCGTAGGGGCTGGGCTTTGTCGAAGGCGCCGCCACCCACGAAAAGCTGCTTGACCTTATGGTACACAGGACGCTATCAGGACATTGCGCGAGTCAAGCGTGGGGACATGTCTGAGGCAGGACTGGAGACGATTCTCGACGAATTTCCAAAAGAGTTCACCTGTGTCAAGCCCTTGTGCAAGAAGATCAGAGACGTCCTCTTCTTGCATAAAGGCTTCACTGGTACCCCAAAGAATCCGAACCTATTATACGACCCTATCCTTACAGCATTTGAAGATGCTATTGCTGGACTTCGAGCGGAAAATGCTGAGACTTGAAGAGTTATGCCCAAGAAGCCTAGGTCGATCCGGCTAGATCTGCTATCCAACTAGATCTTCTAGATTTCAACGCCCTCTACTGCATTGGAAATGACGTTGAGCAACTGGACTGGAAGTCTTTGCGGCAATGGTTCTCGACGGTAGAGCCTTGAGGCTTGATGATCCTGATAAATGGATCGTTACCTCAATCGATTCAAAGCCGCCGTTGATCAAGATTTTCTTCAGCGAATGTCTAAGTCTTTTGGTAAGATTGAAAATTGAAACGTACGAAAAGCCAATCGCTAATACTTGAATCATTAGGCTTATGCTGTTTGCAAGAGCTGCTCGCACAGCAGCAGCATATCTGCCCACAAGCAGTCGTCTCGACCCGTTTGCAGCATGGGCAGACTCAATGCCCAGTGTGATCTCGATTCGGTCAAGGTTGCTCTCTCTGGACATGTTGCATCACTCATATTCGGATCGTCCGAGGTCTTCAGGAGCAGGGCCTGTGCCGCAAGTCATAGCCTGGGCCTTGAAGAAGCTTAAGCTGCTTCTCGGACAACGTGGCAAGGTCTGAGATGCGATTGGATTGTTGAGCTGGGTTCTGATAGTATCTCAGGATCTGTAGCGCGTCCACTGCAGGCTTTTTGATACAGAGTGTCGGCGGCTTGATGGAGCTTGTGGTCCTCTATAAGGAGACATGGATCGCTAGCTAGCTAATGGCCCGGTTGAACCTGCAGACGATGGAGTCGGAAATAATATCGTAGACCGAGATGTTGGTCGTCGACTTGTTCAGCTGGAATGAACCTATCAGGGGCCTCCTCGCGGGAATAAGCTCTATTCACAGATCTGTTTACCTCGACTATGGCGTATATACGAGGGTACCGCCACAGATCTCCAATTGTGAGCAATCACAGCTCCGTAACGGCTGGATTCCGGGCTGAGATACAGACCCAGCGATGGGGGCATTGGTTCGATTATGTAGAAATTTTATGTATTGCGTGGTAAAGAGCCATGTGCTTGGTGTCTGGGCTTGCAACCTAGCCAAATGAAGCATACCAGACGGGAGTAACTCTCTTCTGGCTAACATCCTACACCCGAGTCTTTACAACTGAGTTGAACGAGATCCCATCTCGACTCTTGGCGATGACACACTCCCAGATGTCAAGACTATGAAATAATCCATGTTGCCCCATCCAAAGCAGTACTTGTAGCATCCAGACAAGGGCAGATCCCTGGTGATTTTGGTTGTTCCTGGTTCGGCGGCAGATGACAGCCAATCTGGCGCCTTGTGGCGAGCACATGCATCGGCTTACCCCTGGCTTCGGTGCCGCAAAGATGCTAGTATAGGGACGCAGGGCATCTCCCCACAGGCACACAGGATGGATCTCGGTGAGCCTATCGCAGTGAGGCAATTTACACGGTAGTAGCATCATCATCGTTGTCGTTGAGCTCCCATGATGTTGATGGGTTGTATTAGCTGTGTTGTTGATTGCATAGGTAGGTAGGTAAAGGGGATGGGTTAGATGGGTACCTACCTATATAAACACCATGTACGCCGTTCTCTTGACAATTGCATTCAGCAGCCTATTATAGCATCTGCCTCGGACAGCAGCCAAGAAGATGAAGAAGGGAACCGTGCTGGCAGCTCTCCTGCCCCTGGCCGCCGCCGCCGACGACGATGCCGCCAACTCCCAGATCCGCATCGCCTACCACGGCGACGACGGCATGATGGTCAGCTGGAACACGTTCGACCACGTTGCCCGTCCCAGCGTCTTCTGGGGCCGTTCAAAGGAGCACCTCGTCAACGTCGCCTCGTCGGCCGTGTCCGTCACGTATCCCACGTCGACGACGTACAACAACCACGTCCTCATCAAGGGCCTCAAGCCAGACACGACGTACTACTACCTGCCGGCGCAGCTCAACGAGGATGTCTGCTATGAGCCGTTCAACTTTACCACCAGCCGCAAAGCCGGTGACAAGACGCCCTTTTCTGTTGCCGTCGTCGCTGACTTGGGCACTATGGGCGCACGCGGCCTGACGACCTCTGCCGGCACCGGCGTCTCGGGCAACAATGTCCTCAAGCCGGGCGAGAAGAACACCATCGACTCGCTCATCAGCAACATGGGCGGCTATGAGTTCCTGTGGCATGTCGGGGACATTGCGTACGCGGACTACTGGCTCAAGGAGGAGATTCAGGGATTCCTGCCCAACACGACGGTCGAGGAGGGATACAAGGTGTACGAGGCCATCCTGAACGACTTCTACAACGAGATGATGCCCGTCACGGCGTCCAAGGCGTACATGGTTGGGCCGGGGAACCACGAGGCCAACTGCGACAACGGCGGGACGGCCGACAAGGCGCACAACATGACGTACGACCTGAGCATCTGCATGCCGGGCCAGACCAACTTTACGGGCTACAAGAACCACTTCCGCATGCCGAGCGATGTCTCTGGCGGCACGGGCAACTTCTGGTACAGCTGGGACAGCGGCATGGCGCACTTTATCCAGCTCGACACGGAGACGGACCTGGGCCACGGCTTTGTCGGCCCGGACGAGGTCGGCGGCACCGAGGGCGAGGGCGCGAGCCCCGTCAACGGCAAGATGAATGCGCAGATCAAGTGGCTCGAGGCCGACCTCGAGTCCGTCGACCGCAGCCGCACGCCGTGGATCGTCGTGGGCGGCCACCGGCCGTGGTATCTGAGCCACGAGAACGTCACGGGCACCATCTGCTGGAGCTGCAAAGACGTCTTTGAGCCGCTGTTTCTCAGATACGGCGTCGACCTGGTGCTGTCTGGACACGCGCACGTGTACGAGCGCCAGGCTCCGATTGCAGACCTGAAGATTGATCCGCGAGAGCTAGACAATCCTTCTTCGCCGTGGTACATCACGAACGGCGCGGCGGGCCATTATGATGGGCTGGATGCGCTGCAGAGCCCGAGACAGGCGTATAGTCGGTTTGGGCTTGATACGGCGAATGCGACGTATGGCTGGAGCAAGCTGACGTTTCACAACTGCACGCATTTGACGCATGAGTTTGTCGCGAGCAGTGATGATGCGGTGCTTGACACGGCGACTTTGTACAAGAAGCGGAGGTGTGTCGATGGAGGTCGAGGAGGAGGTCGTTGGTGATGGCTCCAGACTGACAGGAGATGAGCAGTACATACATAGGTAGGTAAGCTTAGTAGACGTGCTAGAGATCTGACGGGGGTTGACTGGGAGCTTTGTTGCTCGTGGTTACCTAGTATAACGAATGATGACTCTATCCCTATGCCGTGTTGTGTACAGGTCACGTATTGAGAGTTCCATCACCAACCACATGTGATTGCAGACCAGAGCAGCAAAACTAAGAGATGCTTCTTACGTGGCCGAGCTCCGGGAATAGCAATCGGAGGAACAAGACAATCCAGCTCATCTTACTACTAGTAGTAGTTCTCAATCTGCAGAGGCCTCTCAAGTTCGTCACGGCATCGCCGTACCATTTACATACCCAGTACTCATGCAAGCCACCAATCCTTCATCTCTTACTATTCTAGAGCAAATCATATCCCGGCCATCTCGTACCTGTACTTCCCCCCCGTGCCGTTACACTTTATCCCTCGGACTCGGATCCGGATCTCGCACTCGGGTCTGATCCCTGCTCGCCCGCCGTTGGTTGTACAGATACTCCGCAATAGCGGCCGCATTCGCCGCATGTAGTATGTAATATTCCGTAGAGGTGGATTCTCTCTCATCTTACCTCTACATGCTTTCCAGGCCCTCGTAAGACATGGCCACCAGAGTTCACTGATGAGAGCATACCTATGCCCGGCTTTTGTTTGGTTGTTCATTAATGTCCCTCCCCAAAGACCGGGCAAATTCCTCCATCTCATTGAGCCCATCCAAGAGCTTGCCAGGCTTGCTGTCGCTAAGCCACGAAGCGGAGGAGGATTGAAGATGGGAATTCAAATAGATTCAGCCATTGCTACGCCAGCATTCTGGTTCAGTTATCCAACTTGTGCGGAGAAGCCATAGAATCCATCACACAGGCCGCTTTGTGACCCAGGATCCCGAGACAAGGCCGCTTCGCACTCGGTTCGCAAAACGACCCAACACACACACACACAAACACACCTGCAGACGGGCTGCTGCATGCTTGAACTAGTAGTATCGTAACTCACATACAAACAGTGACCCCATCTTGTGTTTCTTGCACCAGTTGGCAACAAGCTTTTTGCTTGATTAATATTCATGTCAGATGTTTAATTAAGTATGCAGTAGGCTCAAGTGTCGGGGAGGGGATTCACAGACTGCTCGTTTGTTCTGTGTATAAGTCAACGCACGCCCCTCCAACCCCCCTGTTGGCAGCGTTTTGTTTGTGCTCCTTGAACAGACAATCTCGTCAAGAATAATCCATCTCGGGAAATTCGAGCAAAGGAAGGAAAATAGACAAGATGGATTTCCAGCATTTTGCGCCGCAGATCGACAAGATTCCCAAGCTGAAGCCGAAACAAGTCGCGTCCATTGCCTTTTGGAATGTTTGTCGTCTCCGTCCCATCACAAACCTCTACCTCTGGACATTTCCTCGAGATAACTCCAAGATCATGTCAAGTTTTCGACCGCTGACTCGAGTCACTCTAGACCGTCCGCGAGAACTTTACCATTTCCACATGGATCGCCATGGGTGCCGTTGCCCAGGGCCTCCTGCTTCTCTTCGCCCGACCTACCTTTGCCGTCGCCCCAGCCGCTGTCTTTTTGCTCTTCCGATTCTCGCGCACGATGCTCATGCATTGGGGCTTTATCCCCAACACGCAGATGCAGGACGTTCTCATGGGCAAATACACCGTGCAAGTTCCAAACGAGGACGGCAGCCCGCCGAGTGAGGTGGCCGACAAGGGCGTTGCGGTTATTATGCTGGGCGTGAGGAACAACCAGTGCGTTTTGTTGCCCCTTCTGCGTCTTATATGCCTTGAACTCTTGCTGAAATGGCATACCCATAGTGCGCTGGGGATGTTTGGATCAGGCGCCAAGGAGATATCCCAATTCTTCACAGCGATGATGCGGAATCTGCACGACGACAAGGAGAGCGGCTGTACGTCCTTCATCACTCCAGCTACAGCATCCCCCTCACAAACGTTGGGATATAAGCTGACTATAAAGACAGTCCTCGGTGCCTCCTATTACAGAAGTGCCAATGAGAGATTAACAGTAGGTGATGCCGAGGGCTGAATTGGTGTCTTGTCAGATTCACTCTGCTCACTTGCGTTCCAGTCCAACGGCTTCATGACGTGCTGCTACTTCCGCAGCGTCGAGGACATTCATCGATTCGCCCACTCTCCGGTCCATCGCGAGGGCTGGAACTGGTGGAACAAAATCACCGACACGCATCCGCATCTGAGCATCATGCACGAGATATACGACGCGCCGAAGAAGCAGTGGGAGAATATCTTTATCAACTTCCACCTCACAGGCATTGGTATGCGCCGAGGCTGTTCAGTGTGACTAAAACCAAAGAATGAATCTGACAAATCGAAACAGGGAAAATGGCGAGGCCGGTCACCGTCAACGGACGAGAATACACGCCCATTGCGAACGCTGCTAGAGGTCCTTTGAGCACGCACAAGGGACGCTTGGGCAAGCTAGGACAAGGCAGCCTTGAGAAGGAATACCTGGCTCATGCCTATTAGACTGCGCTCAGTGTTGGATAGACAGATGGGATGACGGTGTCTACGTCTACGTCTAGATAGCGAGAGAGAACGCTACGTCGGCCCCGAGACGACATTTTGAAATGAGATTGTGTTGTACCATGCGTCGATTCCGGTTGGAATGTCGCTTCAGTTTGGAAACATATGCAGTGCTGTTCTGCGTTGCAGGTTACAGTCACACAAGATGGCGACTTTGAGCAAGAGAAAGACGCGAGTCTGCTCTCCTTAGGTATTCAAAGGGGGAGGCTGTCGAACAAACTCTCCAGATTGTACTATAGCTCCGCACATGTCGTCTCTGACCTTGAATCAGATAAATAAAAAAAATTCAAATAAAAAAGATGTGATATATATCTTTAAATAAAACTACTATAGAAGGATTGGGAAGTCGACCACATAATAGGCGTCTCGTACACCTACTGTAGTAGAAGGCTCTTCTTGTATCACCTAAGGTACCCAAATAATTGTAGAGACTGAACCTACCTACTAATCTCTTCCTCACTCCAGGTGCGAGGGCTCACAAGTGTAACCAAGTCGACAACTACCTACTACTTACTGGTGTGGCTTACACAAACTGACTGGAATGTGCACAGCCAGAGCTGGCAGCAACCATGACGCCTCACTATAGAGAAAACCGGCCGCGTGCAATGATGGCATGATGATGCAACAAACGCAAAGCAAAGCAAAGCAAGATATACCAAACCACGAATCAGCGGCTCATCCCCTTGGTCTATGTATTACATGTAGGTCCTATATACCTATATATAGCCTGGATACCCCAGATCTACCTGCGTCAGCAAGGTTCATCTAACAATATGGAGTACACGCTCTTGTCACAACCAAGTAAACCAAGTAATCATGCTCCAAGGATGGCCATGGACAAAGGCCTTCGTCTGGTGCTTACGTGATGCCCTCTACTACGATAACAACCCCGACTCCTTCAACGCCGCGCTCGTGACAAACAGCTCGCTGGCCGGCATGGCGTTCAACATCTTCTATCCGTTTGTCTACATCATATACCTCTCCGTGCAGTTTGCGAGGGTCTTGGTGGCACGCACGCTGCGGCTGCTGACGCTTGCTGGGGGGGAGAAGAAGAAGAAGCCTGATGTTGCCCCGAATCCCTGCTCGTTGTGCAGGTTGAAGAATCGGCGGTGCGACAGGAAGCTCCCGCAATGTCTTGAATGTGCAAGGTCAGGACCATTGCAATCTTCCATGAGCATCTGTAGAGATTTCAGATAATAGCAGAGACTGATACACAGATGCAGAAAAAAGAGGCACTGTGACTACAGCGTCAGGAGAATCCCGCCCCATATCTCTGAACCGTCATCAGACTCCTTTCAGGAGGACTATCTCGCAGTCCACGCAATACCCTCAACACCAAATCCGTACACCCTCCCGATTTCCAACTTTCCAGCCCTTTACTTTGTCGATCCGCCCGTCTTTCACAACCATCACATCGAGATTCCCAGGCCATCGGATCGGCTGCCGAGCTACGTCGTCGGAGAGCTAGGCAGCTCACTCCAGCATGAGTTTATCGGCCGCCTATTCTTTCACACCATCCACACGTGGTTCCCCATCATCTCAAGGAAGCGCTTCTATGACGACCTGCACGAGGCTTCTGACGGTCCCGGTGTTGCTGCCGACTTTGGCTACCTACTCCTGGCCATGAAGCTGATGACATGGCGCCCGCCCTCATTGGAAGGAGATGCTCCCGCCGAAGGACCATATGCTCGCACGGCAACCTACCGCGCGGCAAAACAGTTTTGCTTCGAGCTCGAGGCAGCCGGGACGGTCTCTCTCCGGGTCCTTCAGGGGATGCTCCTCGTCGCGCTGTACGAAGTCGGTCATGCAATCTATCCCGCAGCATTCATGTCCGTGGCAGCGTGTGTACGATATGCACATGCCTTGGGGATACAGCCGGGAGGGATGCAGAGGCTGAAGCTGCCGTTGACGTGGGTGGAGGATGAGGAACGCAGGAGGATCTGGTGGTCAGCCTTTCTCCTCGACAGATTCGTCAGCCTAAACTGTCCAGGCTGCCCGGCGGCCATTGACGAGCCCGGTCCACAGGAAGTCCTTCCGGCAGACGATGCGCTGTGGGATGAGGGCGTGAGTACCTCGCAGCCGATGACCGTGGACGTTGCTAACGTTGGTCTTCAGGCTGAAGAAGTGCCCTCATCTCCAGTGCTCAACAGTCCCGTCAGCATGGAATTCGGGAGGTTTGCATTGCTGACACAAGCCTTTGTCCTGTTATCCAAGGTGCTCAAGCTCGGGTCTACTTCACAGGAGACTTCTACAAAGGCCTTGAAAGATGAGGCGCAGAAGCTGGAACGCACGATCAAGGCATTGCTCTACTTTGGCCAGATGGAGGTCAAGTCGCGAAACGGAATGCCGAGCTTTGAGCTTCACTCGGTCTGTACTCTGTGAGTCAGTCTTCTTTTCAGAGAGAGAGTTCATGAAGGTGACATTCAACAGAAACTAACTGTTTATATTCATCAAGATCTTTAATCACCTTGTACACGTCTACCAAGCTCCCCATTGATATGCCAATGAGATTCATCGAGTCTCTCGCCGACTTGCTGAGCAGCTCCAACTACGAGCATCTCGTAACGGCAGCGCGCCGCGGAAGAGATGAGATCACGCCCTTTTTGGTGCAGCTTCTATACCAGACTTCTGTACTGCTGTTGAAGACGGAAAAGCCCGCGAATGGCGACTGGAGCGATACGCGGGTAGAGAAGCTCATGAGTGCGCTGCAGTGGCTGGATAAGAGGTGGCAGCTCGCAGGTATGCTTTTATTACTTACTTGGTCCAGGGAGAGATGATGCAGAGACTAACAATCCGTGTGTCTGTTAGGGGTTTTCCGTCAATCGCTGGAAGCTCAGCAGATTGCATTGTCGAAGGGAAGCAGCAAGGCGTCGGACAGTGGTGCTCCGGACGGATAGTCATCGCTTGATGATGATGTTGTTTGCCTCAGAGGTTGTCAATTTTATATGACACTGATCCGTATATAGTTGTACATAGCTCCATGCACTGTATATATATATATACGTAAAACTGCCGTCTTGGATTCAGGCCGACATTCATTGTCTCAATACTTAGGATTAGTTGAGGCTCGCAGCAACTACATGTAAGCATCTCTCGCAATGAAGCTGCAACATGACTTCTTGCGTTACGCCGCCTCTAAACATGGCCCCATCTCTGCCGAGACAGCGTCTACATCTCGCTTGACTCTGTATAGATAAAACTTTTATACGCTCATTTGTTTCGCTCAATCAATTGCACGTCGCTCAAGCAGTTGTGGCGGTATTAGTTGTCATAATCTCAGCACTAATTGCTGAAGCCGACCGCTATCCGAAGGGAATAGGCTCAATTATCAGGTGCTTCATTTGTCATCTAACCCTCTAGAGCACTTCAACGTCTCTTGAAAACACACTCACCACAATTCTTCAACTATCGCCATTCGCCTCACGCCTCATAGCACTCATCTCCATTGCTCCGATCGCAAAAACCTCATAACTACACACTCCTTACCTGCTGATGAAGTACACCTAGACAAGCATGTCAAAAGCAGGCGAAAGCGTCATCCTCCCCAGCAACGCCGTCTTCCTCGTCCACAAGGTCGGCACCTCCAAAGCCGGCCACGAGACGCAATGGGAAACTCGCGCAAAAGCCATGCGCGCCGCTCCAGACCCTCATAAAGCCTTATCTATAAGAAGCAACAATACGAATGATGCCGTCAAAACCAAAAGCGACGCTGCCGAAGGAGGTTCGTGGCAGTTTGTCTCCTACACGCCTCGCAAAGACCAGCAACTCCAGAAGAGGCCCAAGAAAGGGGAGCCCAAGCGAAAGAGACGCACTCAAACCAACAATGATGCTCAAAAAAACAAGAGCACTTCCATTGTATCAATCAAGCAGAATCCAACACTGCTTCGCAACCCCAACCTTTTACCTCCAGATCTCCCCGTCGCTATCGTCGGACACGCGCTTCTCTATATCAACTTTTGTATGCTCATTCCCCTCTAATTGCCCCCCTCTTTTCTGATTGATATCCATCCAACTGACTGTATACAGACTTCCACTCAATAGCCACAGGCGCATACACGCTCCCGTGCCTGCTCTTCAACCCTGCCAAGAGAGACTGGTTCCCCAGGATGATGCAGGATGAGGCCTGGCGATGCATCATCTTGTCTCTCTCCGCCAGCACACTCGCCTCCTTGACGGGGTCTCCCTCCAACTATGTCGACTCGCACGCTCTCCTCGATGAAGCGCTACGACAGCTCAAGAGCCGGGTCGCATCCGGTGCTCTTCCGTCCGACCAGACTCTGGGGGCCATCTCCTGTCTGTCCATGTGGAGTGTAAGCTGTTCAGTCCTGATTCATACATTCCTCATTGAACTACCATCTGCTGACAAGTTTTAGAACGAACAGGGGAATCTAGAAAAAGCATGGGTGCACGCCAAAGGCCTCGCTGAGCTCGTCAAGCTACGAGGCGGCTTCTCCAAAATCAGCGATGGCATGAGATCCAAAGTATACCGGTAAACAACCTTCACAACACTTACACATGTTGAGCTACCTACTTGCTTACAATCATCATCAGGGGCGTCTTTGACATTGCGGTCAACAGTGATCGACCTCCTCTCCTGGAAGACGGCCTCCGAGGCTTTCCGGAAAACGAAGTAATAGTCTCCGAAGATGATGGCTCAGAACGGGAAGAGTCTGGCCTAGACACTTCTGAATGTCGCATCTCGTCACATCTATCCAGCATTTTTGACGATGTGGTACAGTTCAGTGCAACTGTTGACGAAGCCATGACTCGCAACATCAAGCTGGATACGAATCCCCTCTACGAGCTCGTCTTTGGGCTGTACAATCGTCTCCTGAGCTGCCAATCCGACAGCATGAGCGGCTGCGACAACAGCTTCCGCATCTGTCTCATTCTATACATCAAGTCCATCGTCTCCCACGACTGTCCGAACCCGACATCGATGCACTTGGTCAAGAAGCTTCAGGCTTCCCTCCAAGACTGTCTGGCTGCCCATCCTTCAACGTCACTGACCAAGTGGAAGCTCTTCGTCGGCGGCATGGCTGCTACGGATGGGACGTGCGAAAAGCAATGGTTTGTCCAACGATTGGCTGAGACCTTGACGGAGAACGAAGTGGAACGCGAAGGCGGCTGGGAGTTGCTCCAAGCAGAGCTGGGCAGCATCGTATGGACAAAGCCAATCAATGAGGCGGCCGGATATAGGCTGTGGCTTCAGATTGCGGACGCTCAGCCTTAGTAATGACGGTCCTTGATTCACGATGAACTCTCCGAAATCCTCAGCTAGGAATAGCTTACGTTGAACTCTACAGGATGTGGCTCCCCTATTTGGAACATGTCATTGGATTGCCTCAGCCTCCTGAACGAAGAAAAGTCAACATGTCTCCGGTGGCGTTGGCCGTAGCAACAAAAGTTTGTTTACTTCCTTTGCCTCATGAATAAGCTTCTGGGCTTCACCACTAGATCACCAGGTTCTCAGTATAAGCCACTGAACAACAATCTCCGTTTCAGGAACTCATGTGCTTCATTCAGTAGAGGCAGCATAATCAACCATGTTGCCACGAAGCTCTTGGTATCTGCTGTACGGCTATGTGCTGAGAGAAAAGCTGAAGATCCCCTGAACGACAAGTCTGTGTCAGTTCGCGTCTAAACAGAGAAATCTTCATGGACTTTACTCGGTCAAGGCAGGAATTCTCTCAACACAGCTTTCAGGTCTTGTCTATTTCAGACAAGTCATGTATTGTTACTCCAAAGCAATGGAAGCTAAACTCTACCAGAAACATACCTCATCCAGCCAAGGCCAACCTCATTCCCAAGTAAACAAGCTTCCACGAGGCTCAACCGACTCATCACCAATCTCTCCGAAAACACAGCCCAAAACCCAATCTCCCAACAAACCTACTCTCAGCCTTCAAACTCAAGATGCCCGCCTCCATTTCCCCTTAAGATCCAGATGTCCCTGAGCCTCCCCGGCCCGCGCCTATATAAAGGGGTCCTTTTCCCCCGTTCTCCCTTTCTCCTTTCTCATAATCTCACCAATCTACCAACTTCTCTGGCTCTCGCTTCGTCTCTGCGCCTTTTTCTTCTTTTTTAAATAAAAAGAAACAACAAACCACTCTCGCCTCCGCGCCCTCTTTTCTTCGCCCTCGAAGAAAACAACTCTTCGGTAAGCTCCCTTCACCTCATCACTCTACTCAGTCCCTCCCAACAAGAACAAGTCAACTAACAAACATTCTCAAAACAGACCCTCCCTCTTTTTTTTCCTTCTCTTTACAAGGAATTTTTTTTTTAAAAAAAAAAAACAATGTCAAACCAGCCCGCCGAGGACCTTCCTCAAGGCTGGTCCATGGTATTCTCCCACGAGGATGCCTTGGCGATGGAGACGCAGCCTCTCTTCCCGGAGATGGAGCTGCTGGCGCAGTTCCTGCAGGAGGCCCGGCAGGCGGAGCTGCGGGAGGCGAATGTGTGGAAGGACAAGACCACGGCCGAGATTGGTCGTCGACTGGCGGGCTTGAAGCTGTGAAAAGCCCAGGGGACGAAAGGGGGGAGGATATAGAAGCTACTCAGATTGGACATCAAATACAATCTTGCAGTGCTTCACCTGAATACAGTTTGGTTATGAATACAACCTTGTCTTAATGGCAGTCTTTGAATACAATGGTGCCTTGCCATAGTGAAGTGCATCTATGTATGCCCTGTAGTTGTGAAAGGTAGATGACGATGATTGCGTCTTGTCGTAGCCCAGACCTCATGTCCAGTCTTATAAGTGCCATATATATATACCTACATCCACAAGTCTACCAGAACAGGAGAAAATTCACACCGTGATACCCTACAGAACTCCTCTTGCTCCCCTTTTTACTCTATTGATCCCCACTCATCGCACTTCATCTCTTCATAACTCATCATGGTCATGCCCTGGCTCAGGCCGCCCGAGATCCTTTTGCAGGTCCACACCATTCTTGGACCGCCACTTCTCCCACAGGTCCCAGAACTCGCTCTCCATCTTCTTGTCCATCTGGTCCGGCAAAATGACTTCGTATGTGACGTAGAGATTTCCAAACTCGTGTGTGTGATAGACGCTCTCTCCCTCTTCGTGCCATATGGGCATGCCTTCGCCGGGAATGGTTTCCACCAACCCACTCTGAACAACCTGGCCTCGCTCCCGTCCAAGACGCACAACGTGCTTGTCGAGGTGCGTGAGGTTACGCGTCCAGCCACCCATCCAGGCCTCACGCAGCGACAGAACCTCGGTCCAGTACAGGTCATGGCCCTTGCGCCGGAAGAAGGTGCCGTCGACGCGATCGGGGTTGTCTTCGTATGACGGGGCCTTCTCGCCCAGGTTGACAATGAGATCACCAGGAACCCAGTCGGGGCTCTGGTCGGCTTCGTTCTCAAACACCACCTTGGCATCTCGAGCAATGCCCCTCTCGACAGTCAGGCTGACAGTCGTCGGCTTGCGCTCGACTCGGCTGCCGTGGCAGACGGAACACTTGTTCTTGATGGTCTTGCCCGAGCCGCCACAGTGGTCGCAGCGCATCTGCATCTGCTGGAACATGCCGGGAACGAGCTGCTGCTTGACAATCCGAACCCCGTGTCCGCCGCAGACGCTGCACGTCTCGACCTTTCCGTCCGCGCTGCCCGTGCCCTCGCACTTTTCGCATATGTGCTGCTTCTCCCACTGGAACTCGGTCGTGGCGCCGTTGTAAAAGTCGCGGAGGGAAATCTCGATGCGGACCTCAATGTTGCTGCCCCGGGGCTCGCGGCTGTTTCTCCCAAAGTGGCCATGGCCGCCAAAGAACCTGCTGAAGAGGTCGAAGGGGTCGCCTCCTCCTCCTCCGCCGCCGCCTTGACGGTGGGACTTGACGCCCTCGTGGCCGTAGCGGTCGTAGACTTTGCGAAGCTCGGAATCGCTCAGAACTTCGTAGGCCTCGGACACCAGCACGAATTTCTCGTGCGCCGTTTCATCGCCTCTAGAAGCAGTAGAGTGATTAGCACATTGGAGAAGGTTGGCGAGACTGCGTGTAGCTGTAGGAGGGCGTACGGGTTCTTGTCTGGGTGGAACTTCTTGGAGAGCTGGCGATAGGCCTGCTTGAGCTGCTTGTCTGACGCAGACTTGTCGACTCCTAGAACCTGTCATGTGTCCGTCAGCACGCTCCGTGCTTGATTCGAGGCATTGCGTCCCGGCATACCTTGTAAAAGTCCTCGGCGCAAACCGCCAGCGATACCAGCGCCAGCAAGACGAAGATTGCCGCGCGCAGTATCATGATGCTGGTGATGCCGCAGAACTAAATAGTCGAGGTACAGCTCCTATAGAATGAAAGGAAAGAATGAGAATCACAGGGAAACCATTCATAAGATCAACTGCCCCTGATCTGCTTCGGTGGCAGATCTCGAGTAGGTGGTGCAAAGAAAGACGGGAGATGCTGCAGGTTCGCAGCTCTTCTTCACTTGTCACTCGATACCTTAGTTTACAGCGTGTTAACATTGGATTTCCAGCGTCACTCAAGGGACCCGAATTAGCGGATTAGCGGCTGCATCATCGCTGATAACGCCCGGCTCGGCGCTATCGCAGGCTGCCGATTGGCTGGCGGATTAACCGCGGACTAACAGCGTGCCCCAGAATCCCGGAGCTCCACTAAAAATCGGCAGCTGTCTCTTTACCTTCCATAGAGGTACTTGTCGATGCTTCTAGTAGCAATTTGGTTTGGCTTAGGCAAGCAATCGCGCCTCATCCTTCCATCAATCCAGCTCCAGCAGGTGCCTGGAATCGCGGAGCACAGAAGCAGACGCAGAAGCAGAGACAAAAGGCTCTCTCTGGCCTCGTTGCATCTCAGCGACTGCTTCTCACCACCGTCGGCAAGATGAGCTCCAAAAAGTACGCCTTTGTCCCGATGGACGACGGCGACTCGTCGGATCGCCACAAGGAGAGCCGCATGAGGTCGCGCCAGGAGTATCTCAAGAAGCGCGAGGCTGAGCGGCTGGCCCTGCTGAGGCGGCAGGTCGCCGAGGAGACGGAGGAGCTCAGGAGCGGCGTGCGGCTGTCGGAGCGCGAAAAGGCAGAGTTTGCTAAGAACAGAGAGCTGCTGCGCCTGGCCGAGGAGCGGCTGAGGATCGACGACCACCAGGATGGCTACGTGATGCCCGAGGACTACATCACCGAAAAGGGCAAGCTGGACCAGAAGAAGAAGGAGGAGGCGCTGTACAAGCGCCACGTCGAGCGGGACGAGTACGGCCAGGAGAAGTTTGTCACCGAGCACGACGAGTGGGAGCGGGAGCAGACCACCAAGGCCAAGGCGCAGATCCAGGGCCGGGAACGAGAAAACGACAACTACGACTACGTGCTGGACGACGCTCAGTACATCCAGTGGAGCCTGGACTCGCGAATGCCGGGCGAGCGCAAGACGCTGACCAAGGAGCAGCAGTTTCTGGAGGCTCAGATCGAGGCGGCGGAGAAGAAGGCCCTGTCTATCCAGGAGACGAGGAAGAGCCTGCCCATCTACCAGTACCGGGAGCAGTTCCTGCAGGCTCTGGAGCAGTATCAGATCCTCGTCATCGTGGGTGAGACGGGCAGTGGCAAGACGACCCAGCTGCCCCAGTATCTCCACGAGGCCGGATACACCAAGAACGGCATGAAGGTCGGATGCACGCAGCCACGAAGGGTAGCGGCAATGAGTGTGGCGGCGCGTGTTGCCGACGAAGTTGGCGTCAAGCTCGGCCACGAGGTCGGCTACTCGATCCGATTTGAAGACTGCTCGAGCGAGAAGACGATACTCAAGTACATGACGGACGGCATGTTGCTCCGAGAGTTCATGACGGAGCCTGATCTGGCGGGGTACTCAGCCATCATGATTGACGAGGCCCACGAGCGGACGGTGCATACGGACATTCTGTTGGCCCTGGTCAAGGATCTGGCACGAGAACGGAAAGATCTGAAGCTGCTCATATCCTCTGCCACCATGAACGCCGAAAAGTTCGCGCAGTACTTCGACGACGCTCCCATCTTCAACATCCCTGGTCGACGGTACCCCGTGGACATTTACTACACGCCCGCGCCAGAGGCCAACTACCTGGCTGCCGCCATCACAACCGTGTTCCAGATTCACACCACGCAGGGCAAGGGCGACATTCTTATATTCTTGACAGGACAGGACGAGATCGAAGCCGCCGAAATGGAGATTGCAGAGACTGCGAAGAAGCTTGGGAATCGAATCAAGGAATTGGTCATCTGCCCCATCTACGCCAACCTGCCGTCAGAACTCCAGGCCAAGATTTTTGAGCCCACCCCAGAGGGCGCCCGCAAAGTCGTGCTGGCGACCAACATTGCCGAGACAAGTCTGACGATTGACGGCATTGTCTATGTCATCGACCCCGGCTACGTCAAGGAGAACGTCTACAACCCGGCGACTGGCATGTCGAACCTGGTCGTCGTCCCCTGCTCTCGAGCATCCGCCAACCAGCGCAGCGGTCGTGCCGGACGTGTCGGGCCGGGCAAATGCTTCCGGCTCTACACCAAGTTTGCCTACATGAACGAGATGGAGGAGTCTCCGCTGCCCGAAATCCAGCGGACGAACCTCAACGGCGTGGTGCTGCAGCTCAAGTCGCTGGGCATCAACGAGCTGTTGGACTTTGAATTCATGGATCCGCCCCCGACGGAGACGCTCATCGGCGCCCTGAACCAGCTCTTTGCCCTCCAGGCTCTCAACCACAAGGGTGAGCTGACCAAGATTGGCCGCCAGATGGCCGAATTCCCCACCGACCCCATGCTGGCAAAGGCCGTGCTGGCAGCCGACAAGGAGGGCTGCGTCGAGGAGGTCCTGTCCATCGTCTCCATGCTGGGCGAAGCGTCCGCGCTCTTCTTCCGGCCCAAGGACAAGAAGATCCACGCCGACAGCGCCCGCAACCGCTTCACCGTCAAGGAGGGCGGCGACCACATCACGCTGCTCAACATCTGGAACCAGTGGGTCGACAGCGGCTTCTCGCCCATCTGGGCCAAGGAGAACTTCTTGCAGCAGCGGTCCCTGACCCGCGCCCGAGACGTGCGGGACCAGCTGGCCAAGCTGTGCGAGCGCGTCGAGGTCGCCCCCTCGACGTGCGGCGCCAACAACCTGCGGCCCATCAAGCGCGCCATCACGGCCGGATTCTTTCCCAACGCCGCCCGGCTGCAGAAGAGCGGCGACAGCTACCGCACCTTTAAGAACAACACGACGGTGTGGATCCATCCGAGCAGCGTGCTGATGTCGGTCGACCCGCCCGAGAAGACGGTGATTTACTACGAGCTGGTGCAGACGACCAAGGAGTACATGCGCAGCGTGATGCCCATCGAGGCCGCATGGCTGGCAGAGCTGGCGCCTCACTTTCACAAGAAGAAGGATATCGAAGCGTTGGAGGACCGCAAGATGCCGAAGAAGGGGCGATGAACATGAGTCATCGTTGTCCGTATTGCGTTGGTTACGCTACTACCTTACATACATGTGATCCACGATGACCGGGCAAAGGCGCATTCACTCGAGTCTCAGCTTTAGGCCTCGTCCTCCCAGCGGTACATGATTTCCGTCCTCATGGTATACTTGACCCCTTCAAGCACTTCCGCTCCCTCATGCAACAGCGAGGGATGTTGGAAGATGAGGACGCTGCCCGCCTTGGGATTGACATCCACGCGCCTCGACTTGTCACGCGAGAGAAAGGATGTAGCGCCACCGACCAAGCCTTCGTCGTTGAGGTAGAGATGCACGGTATAATACGTCTCCAGGATTGGTCCATCGGTGTTGTCAGGTCGATATGAGGCATCGCAGTGTGCTAAGCAGTCAGTTTCGCGCGCGCAAACAAGGGGCTCGCTCGATTGATGTTCACTCACCCCTGAAGAACATGCCGGGGGTATACTTGAGGAAGCGCATGCGCTCGTTCAGGCGCTCAAACTTCCACGTTCCCTTGCGGTCGCGTCTGTAGTCGGGCCTGGTGCACGGAGCTGTGGCGACGAGCTCCTGCAACCCTTCCACCTGAGCACAGCGATCCCACAGGCGGTCCACGAGAAGCTGGTTATCCCAGATGATGCGGTCGCTGTTGCGGTAGCCTGGGGCCCGAGTCTCCAGCCCGGGAGCAACGCTGATGAGGGCCGGTCTCCATGGCGAATCGTCGGGCTTCTCGACTCGCGCCGAAGCCTCGGCATAGGCAATCAGCTGGCTGCACTCTTCGAGGGAAAGGACGTTGTCGAGGATCCAGGCCTTGCACTTGGCGTACTCGGGCACGGGGGAGTCCTTCCAGGGGACGGGCGTAGAGGTGACGGGCTGGGAGGGCGGAGTGGTGAGGAACGTGTCAGGGATGTCGACGGGGTTGGAGGAGTAGTCTGCGCTGACGAAGCCGGACATTGTGGCAGATGGTTTGGGCGTTTTGGGCGTTGGTGAGATGGAGTTGAGAAGTTTGGAGAGCATGTTGACGCTTGTCTAGAGATTGTCTGCTCAGCGTGCTTTATATATATATATATTTATATCGTGTAGTGGATGAATGGACCGATGACTTGAGGGCTGGGCTTCACCGTATATCTGACTGCTGTTTGCCTGCTAGGCAGCTGTATTCCTTTTGCTCCTTGGTGGCACGACTTACACGTCACTCATACAGACAAGACAAGACAAGAAGATGAGATGAGACAGACGAGACGAGTTGTGCATAATGGACATGTGGCAATTCGATGGACGATCTGAATACTACTAGGTATCTAATGGAAGAACAACGATACATTGTTCGTGAACAATGACTGGAATGATGGTTCTGTCTTTTTTTGCAAAAGAGGCAGTGCAGTGATCCTGCTGCCTTGGCGAGCTTAACCTTGACCGAATCGGAGAGCATATAGGCGCTTAAGCTTTGTCCACTTTGCGTTACCCTGTATGTGGAATGATGCCTAGGGGGCTTGTGAGGCTGAGCCAGCCAGCTGGTTGGTTTGTCTCTTGTCTGTCTGTCTGTTTGTTTGTTTGGTGGCATCTTTAGGAGAAGAGGGACGTATTTGATGGTGATTGTGCATCGTTGTTGAACTGGTAGTGTGTCTGGTTGATAGGTAGGCTGTCTATTGTTTGTGTTATGATGAGTAAGTAGTATGGCAGGGGGGATAGGGCATGTAAAGAGGCGGTGCGGGGGAACAGAGTGATTGCATTCTACCATTATGAACAAATACAACATACTATTCATTATACAAGCAATATATATTATTAAAGAGAGATTAGATTGAATTTTACGCTATGTCAATTTATTTTACCCTTTGGAATCTTACGTTCTAGCGTTTCCCCGTTGTAATGTTGCAGACGCATTTGTCGGCCATGTTGTAGGTTAGCTCAACTAGGTATATGGTGATAGTATGTAGTACGGATAGAAGCTTCAACGGAAGCATCAATTGGATTCGCACTTCATTGGACTAACGAAATAGAATATAACCCCCTCCCCAGTCTTGAAGAAAACATGAAAAGAAAGAACCTCGATCTACAGAGTACATATCAAAAGAATCGAAAAGGGATTGAAAAAAGGGCACAAAGTAAGAGTTAACCATTGTCAAAAGCACCTAGCGGAAAGTCGTCTCATTATCTCATCATGACACACACACTTCACACTCTCAAGCCACATCTTATCCTCTCTCATTTACTCATCCCACCAGCAATGAGATTCCCACATCTTCATAAAACGTCAATCATTCAGCATTAAGCAAGCACTCGCTCCTTTTCTATATTAGAAAGCGTCAAGAACAAACAGACAGATAAACACAGCATCTCATACCTATCCGTCCCATCATCTCTCGTCCGCGTATATCAACTAACAAGCAAAGCAAATCGTAAGTCATAACGAGAACATGAAAAATCAGAAAAAAAAAAAAAAAAAAAAAAAAAAAAGCAACAAAAGAGTCGTCAAACACATTACAAAAGAAACATGTCGTCATCATCATAAAACCATCTCTTCTTCCCATCATCATCCTCGTCATCCCTCACCTCCTGATCCTCCTCCTCCTCCTCAACCCATCATCATCATCAACATCATCGTCCCTCCTCCTCCCTTCCACAGCCTGCATCACCCCCGCCAGAGGCCCAGCCAACGGCCCAGCCAGCTGCGGCAGCACATCACCGCCAAGCACCTCCCCAATGACACTCACCCAGCTCTTCCGCCCCTCCAGCACCCCCGTCACCGTCCTCACCAGCCTCTCAATCTGCTCCGGGTCCGTCCCTCCCAGCTGCCACCCGCCATGCACCTCCATGTCGCCCGGCCGCTGCGCCGGCCGATGAAACTCCCCGCTCCTCGTCACGAAGCGGCTCCTCCTGCTGCCACCACCACTACTCCCGTCCAACGGCCGCCCGTGCGAGTCGAACCTGTCCGGCAAAACCTCCACATCATCGTCCGAGTCATCGTAGTGCCTGCGCCTGCGCCGCCTGCCCTCCCCATCGCGGTTCGGCGAGCGGTCATGCGTCGTGTCGGAAGACTGCCGACGATGGCCGCTCGACCGCTTGAACTGGTTGTCGCGATACCTGTCGCTCCACTCATCCTCGGACCCGGAAGCTTCCGACTCGGAGTGCTTGACGTCGTGCTCCTTCTTGTGCCGGATCATCGTCATCTCGCTCGTCGGAGAAAGCGGCCTGAAAGACACAGACTTTCTCCTGGTGCGAATGGGAAACCCGGGGGGCGGATCGTCGATGCCCGGCGGCGGTAGCTGCTTGGGCGAATTTATGGTCTCTACGTTACATGTTAGCCTTGAGATGATCTTCCCCCCCCAATGACCCTTGGGTCAAATTCCCCCCTGAGGGAGGAAAGTGGACAGTTCCAACGCACCCTCAGGTTGCCCGCCATTGTCATCATCAGGCAGACGTTCGCTTCTGGAGAGGTAACTCACTTGATCATGCGGGTTGCTGCTGCTGCCGCCCACCGCTGGCCCAGGGGGTGGAGGCCCCGGCGGAGGGACCAGGCCCGAAGGCGGCGGACCGGCCGGGGGAGGTGCGTAGCCCGGCCCTCCCGAGGAGTTGACGGGCGGCGGAGGACCAGCAGGGGGCGGCGGAGGCACATACCCGTGATAATCTTGAGGTACGTAGGGTTGGTATTCACGAGGCGGCGGCACGCTGGGGTCAGTATACGGCGTGTAGGTGTGCTCCCGCGGCGGAGCGCCAACGGGAGGCGGCATGCTGGTCGGGGGTGCACCGGCGGGAGGAGGTCCGCCTGCGGGCGTGGTCGAGCCCGGAGTCATGGGGTAAGGGGGATAGTAGGCACCGCCGGAAGCAGTGGGGGGCGAGTGCGGTCTGCCTTGGTCGAAGAAGCCACCGTTGGGCGGAACCTCGCCATAGCCTGCTAGCAAAGCTCAAGAGTAAGTCATCGTTTGGAGACGCGGCCAGTTGCCTGACACCTATGAAGGGGACTGGGGCTGGGGCTCGGGCTCGGGCTGGGACTGGGGGGATTGCTCACGTCGTCCTTGCTCATCGCGCTCCTTCGAGCGCCTTTCCTCCTCTCGTCGCTCTCTTCTCTCCTCCCTTCTCTCGTCTCTCTTCTCTTCTCTCCTTTCGTCTCTCTTCTCCTCCCTCCGTTCTTCTCGTCTCTCCTCCCGCCTCTCCTCACGCCTCTCCTCCTCCCTCCTCTCCTCCTCCCTCCTCTCCCTGTCCTTGCGGTCCTTGTACTCCTTGATTCCCGCTGCCGCAGCACCCGCGGCAGCCAAGTCGCGCAACCTGCTCCTGCTCCGCTTCCTGTCGTCGTCGTCGGACTCCGAGGATGATGATGGGTCTCTCCGTCTTCTCTGTCGGTTTCGGCGCCTCTCCTCGGCCTCAGACTCGTAGCCTTGGCCGGTGGGAGAGCGCGGATCGGGTGGTAGGGGGTCATGCCCGTACTCAATCAAGCCTAGCCCAGGATCAGCCGCGGCCTCGGAATAAAGGGATCGGGCTCTCGACCTGCTCCTACTCCTGCTCCTGCTGACGGAGCTACGCCGGTCATAGTCGCGATCATCGTCGCTGTATCCCCGAGACGTCGACGCGTCTCTCTCCTTCTTCTTGTCGTGATGGTCCTTCCACACCTTGCCTGCTATCCCAGCGGCGGCGGCGCCCGCAGCGATCTCGGCGCCGCGTCGAAGCACCGACTTGCTGCGGGACCGGCTCCTGTGCCGTGACCGCGACTTGGATCGCGACTTGGACTTGTCGCGGAAGTGCTTGACGAGGCCGGCAGCCGCGGCCGTCCCGACGGCGGCCTTGGCCAGGGTTGAGAGGCTACGCTTGCGGCTGGGTCGGCGTGAGCGCGAGCGCGAGGACGAGTAGTCTTCATCGGACGAGTAGTACTCTCGGCCGCGGCTCCGGCCACGACGCCTCTCCTCCTTCTCGGCCTTGCTGGCCTGGTGATACTTGACGGCACCGGCGGCGGCGAGAGCGACGGCGGCGATCCCCAGGCCCTTCTTCAGGGCAGAGTGGCGGTCGGGGGACTCCTCGCCGTCGCCGTAGCGGTCCTCGTAGGCGCTGTGGGCTCGCCGGATGGCCTCGGTGCCGATGGCTCCCAGGGCTGCGCCGGCGAGGACCTTTTTGCCGCGGCCCTCGGGGATCTCGCCGTACTCGTTGGGGCGGCTCGAGAGCAGCGCGGTGATGCCGGCGCCGGCAAGGGCGCCCTCGGCGATGTGGCGCTTGTGGTGGTCGGAGCTCTGGCTGCGCTCGCGGCGGACGGTGCGACGGTAGTAGTAGTCGTCGTCGTCGCTGTGGTACTCGTCGCGGCGGCGGCCTATGCGGCGGTCGCCCTTGTGGGCGCCGACCTCGCGCCGCTCATGGCGGTAGTAGTACTCCTCGTCGTAGGGGACGCGGGCGACGTCGCGCTCGCCCTCGCGCTCCCTCAGGACGATGATGTTGGGCTCCTGGCGCGGGATGACAATCTGCTGGGGCGGCGCCTCCTGGACGATGATCTTCTGGTCCGGGGCGCGCTGGCGCACGACGACGGGGGCAGAGCTGCGCTCGGGCTCGTGGTAGTACTCGGTCTCCTTGCGATAGCGCTCGACCTCGTGGCCGTGGGCGTCGTCGAAGCGCTCCTCGACCCTCTTCTCGACGCGGAGGTCCTCGTCGTGGTGGCGAGGCCGCCGCTCCCAGTCGCGGTCGCGCTCGACGTCGCGCTCGTAAAAGACGGTGCGGCTGCGGTCGGCCTCGACGTCGAGGGCCGAGCGAGGCCGGTCCGGGACGTAGGCGCGGTCCCGGCGCTCATAGTCGACAAAGTCGTTGGCAGGGCCCGAGTAGCGCGAGCGTCGCTCGTCGTCCATCTCGATGAACTTCTCGGTGCGGTCGTATCGCTCCACGCGCGGCTGGTTGACTTTGTAACGGGTTACGGTGGTGGCCTTGAATCGCTCGTCGTCAGACTCACTGTCGCGGCGCTCTCGATAGACCCGGGTGGTTCTATAGTCGGCCATTTCTCGAGCTCAAGACACAGCCTGACGTCCTCTAGCTCTCTCTCTCTCTCTCTCTCTCTCTCGCTCGCTATCTCGTTCTGTCACCTTCGACTCTCTCTCTCTCTTTCTCACAGTGTCTAGTCCAGTCTTTCCGCTTCTGCCGTAGACGTCACTCAAGATGAGATCTGATGGGGATCGTATGTGTGTACCAAATCGATGAGATGGGGAGACTGACTGAAAGGCAGCCAGGCAGCCAGACACGGCACAGTAAATACAGTATAGGATGCTCCGGAGGCTGAAGAAAGCACAAACAAGGAGGGGTAAAAAAGCCAGCGAGCCGCGATCTCGAGTGGTGGGAAAGGCAGGAAGAGGGAATATGACGCAGAAGAGTCGCAGAAGGCCGAGGAACCCCTGCCTGTAATAGGGCTTCTCTTTGGGTGTCGAGAGTCGAATGGGGGGGGGGGGGGAATCGATGCAGGATAACGTCAGGACAGTACCAATAGCGGGCCTCTTCTTCCAGTCTCTCCCGGCCTCTGCGAAGTGGGCAGCTGATGACGATGTTTCATTGGGGAGGAGAACGGCCAGAAGCAAGACAGAGAGGGGGGACGGCTGACTGGGAGAGGCCTTGTGAGCCAGCCTAACGGGCAGGCTAGACAGGGCCCTGGCAGGGCTAAAGGGCGCGACGAAGCTGCGAGAAGATGCCTGGGCGGCTCTGTGCCCGGGTCATGTCGGCGTTGTTGTTCCCTGTCGCTTGTCAGCTCGGACAGCTCTCGTGGGAGATGCTGATGCTGGTGCTGATGCTTCTGTCGATGGGCAGAGCTGTTTGAAGATTGTTGCGATGTGAGGCTGTTGCCGTTGTTCTGTCGCGTCTGTCGGGCCATCATCTCTTGATAGCCTCACTTTTCCCCCATCAGGCACCCACCAAAAACCATCGAACGATCACCATCACCGTAACCACCAAGCATCTCGGCATCCTCCTCTCTCTCCCCACAGTGCCCCTCTGCACGGTACGCCTGTTAAACCACTCCTCCTCCTCCCACCCTCCAAGCCCAGCACATCCACCGGCTGGTCACCTGCATGAACCTGCAAAGTACATGTATCATAAACGAGCACCGCCTTGTGACCAGGCAGAAGCGGCAGCGTTATGGCGCGGGGCCCTTTTCCTAACCCCCCCTCAAAAGCCCGCAGGCTCGCGCTCGTTCTGCTGCATTCTTTGCGTCTCACGAGGAAGAGTTAGGTCGGGGTCCCCTGGCTGGGCTTTGTTGGGCGCTCTCGCTCAGCATGGACGGCTGAAGTGAAATCGGTTGGCTGCAGTGCTTTCTTTTCTCGCAGCTTCTGCTGCTGCGACCAAAGACGAACGAGCACACCCGGGTCCTCCTCGTCCCTCTTGTCCCTCAACACAGCATACCTTGGCATACTGTAGCGCCATGCGAATGGATGCAGTGGCACTGCCTCAGCCTCACTGCACTTCCCGCCCTGCGTCTCCATCCATCCACCCATCTGTACAAACCGTCTTCAGCTTTTGCCTTGTCCACTCCTGTTCCGTCCCACTGGCATGCCGTGCTTCTCTGCGCCCAACCATCACGAATCAAGGCACACACACTAATCATACAGAACAGAACCCAAAGTGTCAGTACTAGTCCATGGCGTTGGACAGCATCCACCCGCGCTCAGGTGCCCAAACCTGTCCCTCCACCCAATACCCGTCGCCATGGTCAAGCCATTCCCGCACTAGATCAGAGCAGAATTGCCCATCTCAGCGCTTCTTCCACGTTCTACATAACTCACTAATCACCGCCCGCCCACTCACGAGCCGGTGCCTGAAGCCTCAGTGACAACACTAAGAAGAAAACAAGGCGGGATCAGGCGGGAAAAACAGAACTGGTGGAAGAGGGGCCAGGAAGGCGAAGCGGAACATGTCGTCATAGCTCCGTCTACTCCCGTACTCAGCCCACCACCAATTTTGAAGCTAGACCTGAAATCGGTGAACCATGATTCTCTCCATTCATGTCATGCCAATGCACGCAAGAGCTGCATGTCCCAAAAGGCCAGATGCCCAGGGCCATCAGACAAGTGAATTTCACCGAGAGAACGAGGAACTGCCGAGCTCAGATATTTTCCCTCGGTACTGATCTGTTTGATGGCGCCACCTTCGGCCGATCCCGATATGCCCGCCAGTCGGCCTTTGTCCGCGCCACAGCTTTGATGTGCACGACTACCGAAGACTCCGTGTTTGCATGTCAATCTCCGGCGTGTCAATCATCCTTTCCGGAAAGCCGGAGCTTGTGCCATACATGAGATAATCCATGGCCTGTCCCTTGCAGCTTACAGATGACAGCTCAACGGAGATTTCCATATGCCGAAGTGACCCCCAGGAACACTCTCAAGGTGGACGGGCCAGCCGCCGCAAGTCAACGAGTTCAACATGGAGTATCAGACGAATAGAGCCTCATTTCTATTCCATACCTATGTATACATGCTGCGTCTTTGTGCGTCGTTCAGGAAAGAAAAATGCCAAAAGGGAAATGTAAACAGAACCAATGAACCAACTACGCCCGTAACCCAAGCTGAGCTTTGAAACCATATACACTCCATGCTTCCACCCCACACATGCTAACTACTAGGCACCCCTAATCATCATACTCGTGCTTGTTGCCCAGCATGCCAATGCCGCCGTTACTTCGCCGCCTCTTGCCAATGACCTCGCGCACCCAGTCGCTCAGCGTATACCCCCAGTGGCCCGCCACCATGACGCCGCTGAAGACGTTGACGAGCTTGAGCAAAAAGGCAAAGAAGCCGTCGCGCGTCTCCTCCACGCTCAGCATGATGGGCTCAATGTCATACTTGAAGAAGATGCCGGGCACCTGGTGGTCCGAGATGGTCTTGCTCTGCTCTGTGACGGCGTACTGGTTGGTGTTTACGATGCGGTGGCTGGCTATGTAGACGGTTGGCACGACGGAGAGGTAGTACTGAAACTTGTGGAAGTGGACAATGGCCGTGTTTACGGTGCGGTCGAGGGGGTTGATCAGCGACGGGTAAAAGGGGCCGTACGACAGTTCCGAGATGATGTGAGAAAAGTTGAATTCTGACAACACGAATTAGCGATGGCACTCAAGGTTACTGGGGATCGACTATTACACATACTGTCATGGTCCAGATGGCCGCCAATTCCGCTGTAGCCGTGGCCTCGGGCCGTGATGTGGAAATCGCCCTGCACCTTGTTCAGGTCCAGGCTGCCGTACATGCGGCAGCTGTCCGTCCTGCCCCTCGGCTTCGGCGTCTTGGCCCACTTGGCCTTCTTGCGACTGAGGGACACAATGTCGTGGACGTGCTCCTCGCCAAAGCCCTCGTCGTGCGCGCCGTGCCAGCCCGCGCCCGTGTCCAGCTTGCCGTTCTCGTTCTTGCCGAGGCGGTGCACGCCCTTTGCGTCCACCCACTGCTCCCAGTTGGTGGCGTCGCGGGTCAGCTTGTCGCCGGCGAGGATCCGGTCGCCAGACGCGTCCTGCACGTTGACGTGCAGATCGCCGCAGCTCATCTTGACGACGATGTCGAGGTTGATCTGCATGTCGTGGCCGATGCCCTTTTCGACGGCAAACGTGTGGTGCTCGGAGCCGCGCCACCAGCGGCCAATCTCAGACCACAGGAAGATGCTGGAGACGAGGAGCATGGCGACGGTCCATTTGCCGCCGCCCGCCGTCTTTGTCACATACTGAGGCTTTGCCTTGGCTGGAGCAGGAAACGCATTAGCACAGGTCCAGTTCCTTGATGCTTATAAAACAACAGCATATGTGTGTATATAGTAGGTAGGTAGGTAGGTAGGTGGCAAGAGTATATAGCTCGGAGGGGCGTTTCGTACGGAATGCATCAAAGGCGCTGACGATGCTGCCCTTTGCGCCAAAGTCGTCCTCGTTCAGCCCCTGCTTCTCGAAGCTGTCCATTGTGGGAGCTGGCCGAGCTACAGCTTGATGCTACAGGTACCTAGCAGCAGTAGTCGCAATCGTCATTCCAGAGCGGGCGCACCGTGCCGACAGCAGCTCAATCGGATGCAATGCAGACGCGCGCAGATTCTGAACCGAGATTCGGCCTCAACCAAGACCTTTTGACGACGTGGCGGGCAGCGGCGCAAAGCAGGACATGCGAGGCACCGGTTTTTGATGAAGAGCAGTCGGTGATGCTTCAAGTCGTTCATAGGTAAGCAGCAGCTGGACACGTCTCCAATTCGAGACCCCTGCCGTCAAAGGGCCCCACGGGTGATTGGCGCTGGTGGGCTGCGACCGGATTATCGGCGGCCCGGGGAGGTTCTGGAACGGCCAAGCGGCATGTGAAACCTGCCGAGGATTTTCAGGTGGGAAACATGGGGGATTGAGAGGAGAGCAAGAAATGCTGCAATTTCAGACATCAGCTGGCTGTTGGGTTGTGAATGCCATTCATTTGCGTCGTGATGCCGTTGCATTGATACCTGAATTGTATATCTATGCTGTTAACTTCCTTCTATGCTCTAGGGAGGTACTGCCTTTGACTCTGCTCATACAAGTAGAAGTACTAATTACGGAGTGAGTTCAGACGAGTACCTTACATGACATGCGTCCTTTTTGCTGCTCGGGTCAAGGTAGTAGACTACCTACGTACAACAGTAAGCTGTACAGTGCCCTTCCATGCCTCACGACTTGCTTCGCAGCAGCAACATGAACCGTCTCCAACAAGCCACAGGGCTGGACAATTGTGTGTGCCGGATTGACGAGCACAGACCAGAAAATTCCATGTCACGACGGGCTAGAGGCGCAGGAACCCCTGAAGCAGGGCGGGTCGAAGGCCCTGGGCTGGAAGCGCCAAGCAGGCGGGAGTTCGGGAGGCAGCAAATCAGGTGGGTGAATCGTGTTGGCGGGATCGCGTGGCAGCGGTTGGATCAGCGGGCCAAGAGATGCGATCATGCTGGGGTTGTTTGTGTGTGCCTTAGTCGATGTTCGGTAGATGGATGATGGCATCAGTTATTACTACACTGAATGTGATGATGGGATGCAAGTTTATCAGGACAAGTACTGGTAGGTATGTACTGCTGACACAAGGGCGCGTCTGATGCTGTGATTGTGACATGGAAATCCTTATACTGTCGTGCTTACTCCCAGGTCGCCTCTTTTGTCTCTGCTGCATTACGAGCACCCACGGCCGTATCCAAAAATAGGCCGGCCAATCCATGCACCCCGGAATGATGGACGAACCGACCACCATCTCTGTATCTGTAAGCTGTCAGTCTGTGTTGTTGATCGAAGGTACTACTAATGGCATCTACGAGGCAGAACTGCATCTGAACCTACGAGTGATATATCCAACTCTTGCTCTCACTGAAGCAGTAGAAACGAGGCCTTGAACGCAGCCTCCCGCTGGATGGACGCCAACAACAATGCATCCCTCCAGCAAGGCAATCAACATGAAGCATCGGCCTCGCATACCATACCAGCAAGTAAGGTAGCCTCCTCCTCTCGACGCATTTACCCGGCCAACCCCCTCCAAGCCCCCCAAGTCCCGAGGCCTGGCATGCTCCAGAGTCTCAAAAGTTTCCCTTTTGCGCGCGTCCGCACTGCCGGAGAGCCTGCAGCAACATGCCAGATGCCCTTTTCTTCAAATTCAAACAAGAGAATCTACCGTCACTTCGTGTCCCCGACCGTGTCTCCATTGATGGTTGATTTTCCTAGCGCCAGCCCCATCACCAATTTTTGCGCCACCGCTCCAGTTTATTCTCACCCAGACCTCCAACGAAACCTGTAACAGAGCAGCAGCAGCAGCCAGAAATCCAACCAAACCGGCCCTGCCTTGCATCGACTCACTCGCTCACTCGCACACCTACGAGTAACCTACCTACTACTACCTACTGTCACTTACGCAACAGGCACTGACGTGCGGACCCCCTTGTTTCTTGACGTATCCTGCGCTCTTTTCGCTACTACTACTACTACCCACCACTTACTACTGATTCTACTGTAACTCTCCTTACCCGTCTTTTCCTGGTTTTGCCGCTCTCACTTTCACACCACCTCTCTCTCTCTCTATCAAACATCTTTCAATATCCATTCTTTCATCTCTCCTCTGCTTCGCGAAACCAAGACTCGCCTCGCCGTCGCGACATCGCAGCAGCAGCGGAGCATCTCCCGCCTCTCCATCGACTCTCGCTTCTTCGTCTTCTTCTTCTTCTTCTTCTTCTTCCTCCTCGCTCGCTCGCTATCGTGTTCCCTTCTCTCTTCCCGGTTGGGCATCTGACGCAACCGCTTATTCACCGGTTTACGAAATCGCATCATATCGCATCGCATCATATCGCATCGCGTCGCATCGCATCGCATCGCACACGATCGCCCATTGTTATCGTCGACTCGTTGAGCCTGCCCCGAGTTCGCGCTCACGTGGGGACTTTATTCACTGCGTTGGGCGCTTTGACGGCACGCGAAATCCTGTCCTCTCTCTTCATCTCGTCTTCTCCTCGACTCGGCGTCGCCAGCATGAGATCCTTCGTTCGGCCGGGCGCCCTGGCTGCCCTTGTAGCTGCGGCAGATGTCGCCGTCGCACAGCAGAGCCCGTTTTCCATCGCATCAACCAGTGAGCTTCCCCCGGTCTGTTGTTGTTGTCGTCGCTGATGACGGCCATGGCTAACCTCGCTCTGCTTCTCCTGTTAGGCGACATCAAAAAGACAGCAGCCACCGTCGCCTGGGACATGCTCCAGTACTACCACGGCAATGAGTCTGGCCAGACGCCCGGCATCCTGCCCGGCCCTCCCCCTGCTGGCGATTACTACTGGTGGGAGGGCGGCGCAATGTGGGGGACGCTCATCGACTACTGGTACCTCACCGGCGACACCACGTACAACGACCTCACCATGCAGGCCATCCAGTTCCAGACGGGGCCCGACGACGACTTCCAGCCGCCCAACGTGACGCTGTCCCTGGGCAACGACGACCAGGGCTTCTGGGGCATGACGGCCATGCTGGCCGCCGAGGAGAAGTTCCCCGACCCTCCGGCCGACAAGCCGCAGTGGCTGGCCCTCGCGCAGGGCGTCTTCAACACGCAGGCCAGCCCCGAGCGTCACGATGACACGTGCGGCGGCGGTCTTCGCTGGCAGATTCCTCCCACCAACCCGGGATACAGCTACAAGAACAGTAAGCGCGAGACGGTCAACTCTGCTAGTATGGCATATCGGGTCACGGCGGCTAACACCTCTCCTCTTAGGCATTGCCAATGGCTGCTTCTTCAACTTGGGCGCACGCCTGGCTCGATACACCGGCAACACGACGTACTCGGACTGGGCCGAGAAGACGTGGGACTGGATGATCAGCGTCGGGTTCCTCAACAAGGACAACTATGCCATCTACGACGGCGCCGACGTGTCCAACAACTGCACGCAAATCAACAAGGCCGAGTTTTCGTACAACAATGCGGTGTGGACTCTCGGAGCGGCCTACATGTACAACCACGTATGTTTCACCTTTGATACTCACCATCCCTCCCCAAGCATATCGATTGCTAACCGTACAGCAGACCGGCAGCGACACGTGGAAGAATCGACTCGAAAAGCTCGTCGACCACGGCCTCGAGACCTTCTTCCCCGACGGCATCGCGTACGAGCCGTCGTGCGAGGGCGTCGGCACCTGCACGACGGACATGGTGTCGTTCAAGGGCTACATCCACCGCTGGTACTCGACCATGACGCAGCTGGCGCCCTTCATGGCGCCCAAGGTGCTGCCCGTGCTCAAGACGTCGACCGAGGCGGCCATCAAGCAGTGCACCGGCGGGGCGCTGGGCCGGCAGTGCGGCTTCAAGTGGAACACGGGCAAGTACGACGGTAGGACCGGCGCGGGCCAGGAGATGAACGTCGTGGGCGCCGTGTCGTCGCTGCTCATTGGCGACGCCGCCGTGCCCGTCACGGGCGACTCGGGCGGCACGTCCAAGGGCAACCCCAACGCGGGCAGCAAGCCCAACAGCTTCCAGCGGCCGGAGACGCCGGTGACGGCGGGCGACAAGGCGGGCGCCGGCATCGTCACGATTATCATCATCGGGTCGTTGTGTACGGCGCTCACCTGGATGAGCATCGGGGCGTGAGGGGCGCTATCCCCTTCTTGCCTTTCTTTCCCCTTGTGCTCCTTAGTGTCCTTTTGTGTTCTCATGATTCATCATCAAATATAGGACGGGTCGCAGCCAATGCTTGGTTGGACAGGCCATCCGTCTGGTGTTCCGGTTGGCTATCAGGGCGGGCGGACTGGAACCACTTTACCACTTGATATCTGGGCGTTGGCGGATGTGTTATTAGGAATCATCTAGCATTGTTTTCTGTGTTTGTCTCAGCTGCTTTTATCATCTGCTAGATGGCAGGATAAATATTGCTTTCGTGGCCCAAAAGGCCCCTCAACGTTGTAAAGGAAAGATGGAGGCAGGAAACGTCTAGGATAAAAGACGAATATACTTGTACAACAGAACAGTGTACAGCAGGACAGTCTTCTTCAATTCGATTCGATACCTCAACAGAGACTCGTGTCAGTGTCTTCCGGGAAAGGATTAACGTTGTCATCGTAGACGTGACGGACCGGCCGGCAAGGTACATACATACCTACATAGTAGTCCGATCAAGTATTACTCGTAGTGAGGGGATCGTCGGACTCGGAAGAGTAGTCGTCGAACCCCCCCTGTCCATCATCATACGTACTCGTACAAAAGCTGGCCACGGTACGTCATCACTACATGCGCCAATTTCGCCATTCGAATTTGTCGGATGCAAGGGGAAATCCCATGTTCGTCATTGTCGTGATGCAAAGTTCGCAATTGTTCTGTAATATGGCCTCAATGCGAAGGAGGATGAGCAATAATAATATTCACCGTAGGTAGGCAAGACGGTGAAGCCGATGCCATGCGATGCGATGCGGCAATGACATTCTTCCTCTACATACCTGCTTTAACATCCTAGGTCAATCACTCACTCACTGTATTGGGTGCACAGACACAGAGACATTGACCAATTTCCCCAGGCTGAAAGGACGGAAGAACATGTTGAAATGAAAAGAATGAGCGGATATGATGGAAGATGCCCCTGACATGGCCAATTCTGTGCTCATGTGGCCATGCCAATGACGCAAGTTCCACAGATGTACATACAGTACATATGCTCGAATTGCCGCAAGGGGGAAAATCGGTATTATTAGACACCACTGATGAGGAAGCGCTGGAGAAGCAAAAGACTCAATTGCACCTTGTGATGATGCCACTGGCGTTGGTTCGTCGGGCCACCTGCTGTGCGATTTTTTTGAGGCTTACATAAGGTACGGTACTCGTATGGTAGGGAAGGTGATGGAATATGAGATGACTGAGCCCGTTGGATGGGCTCATGGCCACTGCCTTACAAAGTACTATGTATCTGGAGACGGAAAAACGTTGGCAATGTTTGTGTTTTCAGAATCTGCTCGTTGAAGACAGGTGTTATTTCGAGCACAATGTCCTCGTGGTCCAATTGAAGATCGTCTTTGGATGACATTCAACCCATGCATATTGCTGAACCCCCTATACTAATGTGAGCTGCAAGATGAACTGAACTGGGCCACTGTCCCAAAATCTCCATGTCATCTCGCGTCCTCGGGTCTCACAATGCCAACTCAGAAAGAAAGACGAAAAAAAAAAAAAAAAAAAAAAAAAAAAAAAGAACCAAAACCAATGAAACGCCCCACGAGCAACGCCAAACCCATTCCAGGCGCCCTCGTCAGTTCCCATTACCTACAACAAACTCTGCCAGGGCCCTCGTGACGCACGCCATCGGGTCACCAGAGGCACCGAGCAAGTGGATTCAGCATCGTTAGCGGACAAAAAAACCCCCCCTGAGCAGAGAAAAAAAAAAAAAAGCCGCTGCAAGGCCGCCTCCAAGTTTCGTCGCCGAGCTCCGGTCGGATCTGGCCAGCGTAAGGGGGAAATGCAATTCTACCTTAGAGATACTCGTGTTCATGATGTGATGGCAGCAGGTAGACACGAGGTGTCTGCACAGAGACGGGAGGGGCGTCCCCCCCTCATTTCTGGGACTGCGCACCTGAGGAAAGCCTCAAAGTCAACGCGAGTGGCTGGAATTCAGCGCCAACCTTGAAATTTAGTGGGGCCTGAATGGGAAGCTCCATCGCCCCAGTCCGTCTCCAGCATAGCGTTTTGCGGGGGAAAAAAATTACAGAAAAGAGCCCGAACCGAAGAGAAGCGCAGCAGTGAAGAAGGAAAAGAAAGAAGGGAAAAAAAAATCCTTGTCTGCTGAGCACGGGGTCGAAAGTGGATTCTCTTTGCCATGGGAAGAGAATTGGATCAGCGGAAAATCAGGGCGGAAGAGCGGAGACGGCCCCCAGGGGCAACAAAGAGAAGGAAGGAGCTTAGCTGGAGCAGAAGAAGACGAAAGAAGAAAAGAAGGAAGGGGAAAAAAAGATTTTTTTTTCTTCTTCTTTGCCTTCTGTCGGCGTTGGCTTAACGTTGTAGTACTAGCAGCTTTTCCACTGCTACTAGTCCCGGTCTGGCCTTGTTTGGGGTCTGGTGACTTGAACCTTGTGCAAAGGTTTGAGGCTTGCCCTGGTTGCCTGTGTGACCTTTCAACCTTGATGGGCGGTTTGTAGTCGTATAAGAGGCGCGAGGGCCCATCGTGGGGGGGACTGCTCTTGACTCTGGAGAAGTGAATCATCATCTTGCTACAAACAATCCGAGCTCAAGCTACAAGTCGTCAAGAACGTTGGAGACCATTCTCTGCTCGTATACTTGAATCGACCCCAAACAACTCTTGTCGAACGGAACCAAACACACATTACCACAACTCAACCCATACGAAGTCACCTACAAACCTCTGCAACACACACCTCTCCTACTACATCAGAATCAGAAAAACAAACCATCAACAACACCTACTCTTCACACAAAAAAAAAATCAACAACAACCGCCACAATGCCTGTCAAGTACATCTTCACCGAATCCGCCCCCTCCCAGACAAACTACTTCCGCTCCGGCCGCGGCGGCGCAGGCAACACCTTTCGCACCTCTGCCCTCCTCCCCTCGACAGCAACCTCAACGGCCACAACAACCACAACAACTTCATCCTCCTCGGCGCAGCAGCCCCGACACCTGCCCAACCAGCGCTTCTTCTCCGGCATCGGCGGCGCCGGCAACGTCCACCAGGCCGACGAGCTGCAGTCCGCCCTCCTCAACTCGCTGGAGACGAGCCCGCCGCTCGGCAACCCGGAGCGCGGCCACGTCGGCCGCGGCGGCGCGGGCAACGTCTATGGCGGCGGCCGTCGCAAGACGAGCGATGCCGGGAGCAGCGTCTCGAGCGCCGGTAGTGTCGCCAGCTCGGTGAGCGAAAAGGCGAGGGCGTGGGCGTCGCGGGTCGGCGGTGCGTTTGCTCGCAAGTAGGGCGGGCGCTTTTTACTACTTGCTTTGGTGTTTTTTTTTTTTTTCCCCAGGGAGAGGAAGGAGTAAGGAGGTTGTTATGGATTACGACAATCACGATTATATACCCCCCAGCCTTGTTCATGGGCTTTTCATTCTGGGATTCTAATGGAGTTTACGGTATTGGTTTTGATGGACGGGACAGGACAAGCTGTCGGATGGAGATTAGATGCAACGGTGCTTTTGATCGGGCGAAAAAGTAACGGGGGAAAACGGATAATATTAGAATTTCTGTAATGGTCAATTGAGAGAATACTTGCCCTCACAATGAGTTCTCATCTGTGATTTCCTCCTCGATAATGCTTCAAGTTGCAGGGCAAACATCGAGCCGAACTACTGAGTAGGTACTTGCATGACAGGACAACGACTCGATAGCACCTCTCGCTCAACCTCCTTCCCTTTGGACCCCTCGAAACCACGTACGAGTACACTACTGAAATTCTCAGCCAAACAACACTTGGAAAAGCAATTTGAAAGAGAATGGGCCCTGGAAGAAAAAAAAAAGAATGATCTCGCCCGGGCTCGAACCGGGGACCTTTTCGGTGGTGTCAACGGAGAAACTGTTAACGAAATGTCATGACCAACTAGACCACGAAACCATTGCTGTTTTTGCCTCGCTAATGACAAGGCGCGCGATGCTGTTCCTCACTCACTCAACCCAACTACAAACCTTTCCTCCACCGACCAGAAACCTTCACAAAAAGACACACACAAGTGGAGGAGAGTGTCGACCATGGTGAGGAAGTGGTGGTGATAATAGTACTATATCACGAACAGCTTTTCAACTCAATGAACATCACTCAGTACCAGAGAAACCAAACCATCCGTCAACTGCAAAATCGGGGTATCATTAGGCTCTCTCTTCATCTATCAGACAAAGTTCCCTACAACTCCCTCGTCTAATGCCCGCTCGCTTGCTCCTCGCAAAAGAAAACGAAACAAGAAATCAACACCCTGTCCTCCCGTATCTTTGTATCATAAGCCAAGTGGTGGTGTCTTTTGCGTGACAGTAACAGGTGAAAAAAAGGACAAGATTAGTGTACAACACTCACACCTTCCGTCCACACCCTCATCATGAACCAACCTCTAGCCTCCTCCTGAACCTCCTCAATTTTCATATTTTTTTTGGCCTTTTTTCCCCTTTTCTTTCTTCATTGGCTTCCAGTTCTTCCATTTCTCAGCCTTCTATTCCTCTGGAGAGCTGCCGACGTGCCGCGTGAGCCTCATGAGAAAATGTCAATAGTACGTAACCAAAGCAGCAGACATGCAAAGACTCTCGCTCGCCTCTATGCCGATACGCCCGCCCCAAGTCGTAAATCATGTAAACTTCGTGTGGATGATATCCGGGTTTTCATGCCAGTCGTCAATGCTCACCAGCATCTGTCTCGCCGTTAGCGGACGCCCATTCAAACCTACAGCAGCTTGAAGGGAGAGGGGAAAAGGAAACGGAAAATGGTAAACAGGGGGGGACTCACCTTGCGGAAGGTGCTCAAACCAGCGAGAATGCTTCCTCCAATCCAAGTCGAATACTTGCGCTCTGGCGGCGCAAAAATCTTTATCCTCATGTCCTTGACCGCCAGCTTCTGCAGTTCCGTCAGGAGTCGGTCACCAAAGCCCTTTGTCAGCGTGCTGCCTCCAGACAGCACAATGTTGCTGTACAGCGACTTCCGGAGATCCAAGTCGGTGCGGCTGATGGCATCCACAACAATCTGGTGCACGCCAGGATACTCCTGGCCGATAATCTCAGGGTCAAAGAGAATCTCCGGAGCCCTGAACCGCTCAGCGCCAATCTAACCAAACAGTCAGTACCCGGAGAGTTAACCCAACCATATGGTCCTCAAACGCCAGACTAACCTTGAGCTTGTGCCCGTCTGGCAGCACGTATTCGGCAAACTTGCTCTCGTTCGGCTTCACCCCGATCCAGTCCCTCTCCTCCTTCTTCGGGTCATGCGCCACATAAGACACGCTCTCCTTGATCAGCCGGACAACCTCCTTCTCCGCGCTCGTGTGAAAGATGTAGCCGCTCTTGCGCAGCAGCGTCTGCAGATACTCCGTCACGTCGCGGCCCGCGACGTCGATGCGCTGTATGCTGCTGGGCATGGCAAAGCCCTCGTACACGGGAACCGCATGCGACACGCCGTCGCCCGAGTCGAGCACGATGCCCGTCGTCCGCCCGCTGGCGTAGAGCGACAGCACCGCCTGGATCGACGTGTGCAGCGCGGGCACGTTGAACGTCTCAAACAGAATCTGCGCCGCCGTGTCGCGATTGCTCCGAGGATTCAGCGGAGGCTCTGTCAACAGAACTGGGTGCTGTGGAGGTGACCTAGTCAGCGCCGTTCTCGTCCTCAAAAACCAACTGCTCGCGCGCAGCAGCATCACGCAAGGAAATTAAAAAAAGAAAGAACGAACCTCCTCGCTCAGCGTCTTGAGTCCCTCGCCGTACACATACTCCCAGATCCGCTCCATGTCGTCCCAGTCGGTCACGACACCGTGCTCCAGCGGGTAGTGGATCTTGAGCAGGCCCCTCAGCTCGGTGGAAGCCTTGTTGCCTATAAAGAGGTCGCCCTCGAGCGCGCCGGCCAGGACGCGCAGGTGCTTCGGCCGGCCGACCCACGAGGGGAAGAAGCACTTGGGCAGGTCCTCGCCCGCGAAGCCCGCGCGGATGGTGCCCGAGCCGTTGTCCAGCACAATCGGGGCATTGTGCAGTATTTCCGTCATTTTCGCGTCCGTGAGCGTAGCCCGAGCCCGGAAATTCAGATCGCGGCCGCGTCGTTGCCGTCGTCCTCCGCGGTGCCTCGCCCGTTTCGTTTCGGCGGATCGAGCTGTTTCCCCCCCCCTTTGTGTGGCGTTGGTGTCGTTGTTTGCTGCTGCCACGGGGTTTCGTGTCCGATGCAGAATTGCCTCTTGCCTGTGCTTGCCCAGCCTCAAATCACAGCATCCGCAGCATTGGGCAGGATCACTGAGAGCCTCTCGGTAGCCGTATGCTCAGCCCTGGGTATATCAACGCAGCCTTGGGTAGCCTCGTCGAATCTCAGGAAATCGTTCGGGGTCTGGAGTTGTGGTCGAGGGTGATTGGCCATTGCATGTCTCGCACCGTCCACATTTGGAGCTGAGCTACCAGCCACACCTAAAATCTCCCCCAAATGCTTTCCCCCCCAAATGCTGCCCCAGCCACACCCGCATCACGTGGGGCCGATAAGCGGACACAAAGGTGTGTGTGGCAGATAAGCAGCTGTGGCGCCTCAGGCAGGAAGCGCAAAAGGCTGTGGCCACGGCTCAGGTTAAAGTGGTTTCGCGTTCATCGCGTCTCCTCCCCCTCGAACCGCGTCGCAGACGTGCCGAATTTGCTTCCAGCTCCGCCAAAGCCCAGCTGCCGCCTCATGCTTGATGCTTATGGCGACGCCCCAACCGCAAACGCTCTGCATGCCCCCGACCAGCGACCGCCGTCCCGCGCCATAGCAGCTTCAACCCGCCGTTGCTCCTTGCTCCAAGATCCCCTCGGGTTTTGTTGATTGACGTCTTCAGCCTCGACGCTCTTGCGCCGGAATCCGACCCATCGTCGAGATGGTCAAGGGCAATGCGAGCGGCGGCATCTACAGTGCCACGTACAGTGGAGTAAGAGATTTCCCTTGTCGATTTTGGATGCAGCAAAAGGCTATAGGAGGTGAAAAGTTGTGTGGCAGGGAGAGCAGCCTTGAAAACAGAGTGATAGGAGTGGCTGGAAGCACACGAAAGGAGCCATCGGGAATTGTCAATGCGATTCATCGAAATGGGCACAAGAAGCTATTGTAGTCGCTATGAGGGCGTCTTCCTGTTATTGTCTCCTCCTAGCTCTTGGTTCTCTGTTCTCATTATGGCGCATAAACTGCACAAAGCATAGATGTCGCTTCTATCTAATCAGCACCTCATAAACTAACACATCTCTCGCTAGATCCCCGTCTACGAGTTCCAATTCGGCGGCGACCTCAAGGAACATGTCATGCGAAGGAGGCACGATGACTGGATCAACGCAACCCACATCCTAAAAGCCGCCGGCTTCGACAAGCCGGCCCGAACGAGAATCCTCGAGAGAGACGTACAAAAGGACGTCCACGAAAAGATCCAGGGCGGCTACGGAAAATACCAGGGGACATGGATCCCCCTCGAGGCCGGCGAGGCCCTGGCACAGCGGCACAGCGTCTACGAGCGAATACGGCCCATCTTCCAGTTCGTCCCCGGCGACGAGAGCCCGCCTCCAGCCCCCAGGCACGCCAGCAAGCCCAAAGCACCCAAATCCCGTCCTCCACTTCCCAAATGGAATTCGGGTAGGTCCAAGGCCGCCGCCGGCATGGCACCCAGCGTCACTAACCCGGCAGCAGCCGCCATGCCTGTCGTCGAGGAGTACGACAACAGCGAGGTCGTCATGGGCGGCGTGGAAGAGGACACGCCCGACAACCTCACCGTGGCGTCGGCCTCGTACGTCGCCGAAGACGACCGCTACGACATGGGCCACATGTCGACGGGCCACCGCAAGCGCAAGAGGGAGGAGCAGTTGCAGGACCTCACGGAGCAGCAGCACGCCGTGTACGGGGACGAGCTTCTCGACTACTTCCTCCTTTCTAGAAATGAGCAGCCGGCAGTGAAGCCCGATCCGCCGCCCAACTTCCAGCCCAACTGGCTTATTGATGCCGAGAACCACACGGCCCTGCACTGGGCCTCCGCTATGGGCGACGTGGACGTGATCAAGCAGCTCAAGCGGTTCAACGCAGACGTGGCCGTGCGCAACATCCGCGGCGAGACGCCCTTTATGCGGTCCGTCAACTTCACCAACTGCTACGACAAGCAGACGTTCCCCGCCGTTATGAAGGAGCTCTTCGAGACGGTCGACGTCAGGGACAGCCAGGGGTGCACCGTCATCCACCACGCCGCCATCATGAAGAACGGGCGCGTCTACAGCCCGTCGTGCTCGCGCTACTACCTCGACAACATCCTCAACAAGCTGCAGGAGGCGCTGGAGCCGAGCGCCTTCCAGCGGCTCATTGACGTGCAGGACAACGACGGCAACACGGCGCTGCACCTGGCGGCGATGCGCAACGCCAGGAAGTGCATCCGCGCGCTGCTGGGCCGCAACGCCTCGACTGACATTGCCAACCTCGAGGGCCTCCGCGCAGAGGACCTCATCATGGAGCTCAACGCGGCGAAAAAGGACCGCGCGCCCCAGCGGTCGTCGTCGCCCTTTGCGCCCGACTCGCAGCGCCGCGCCACCTTCCGCGACGCCTTCTCCTCGTCTGGCGGTGCGGGAGGCGACAGCAAGGTGCGCAAGCCCGCGCCGTCCTTCCAATCAGCGGCGGCCACGACGGTGCACTCGCGCATCTCCCCGCTCATCATGGAGAAGTTTCAGCAGCTCGCCAAGAGCTACGACGAGGAGTGGCACGAAAAGGACGTGGCCGAGGCCGAGGCGCGGCGCATCTTGACGAATACCCAGGCCGAGCTGAACCTCGTCCGGCAGCAAATCACGGAGCTCGAGGCCCAGCTAGAGCCCGACGACGTGGCCGCCAAGGTCATGAGCGAAGCCAATCTCGTCCGGCACAACGTCCTCTCGCTCATCACCCACCAGAACAGGCTGCATATCCAGCAGGCGGTGGAGAACGAGATGAGCAAGCTGAACGGCAACGCCAGCGGCGGTGATGGCGGTGGTGGTGTTGGTGGTGTTGGTGGCGGCGGCGGCAGTAGTAGCAGCAATAGCAATAACCCCAACGGCACCAGCATGCAGGACGACTCATACGAGGAGCGGCTCGCCCTTGCGCGCCAGCTGAGCCAGATGCTCATGGAGCAGCGCCAGGCGGAGACGGAGTACGTCGACGCCCTAAGCATGGTGGGCGTGGGCGACAAGATTGAGAAGTACCGGCGCCTGCTCAAGCGCTGCCTCGACACAAAGGACGGCGAGGTCCTCGACGCCAACCTCGACAGCCTCATTGACATGATGGAGGAGGAGCGCGAGGTACATGACATGGACGGGTCGACGACGGCAGGGGGTGAGCCCATGGATTTTGCGGTGATGTGATTCTATCATCTCACCTTTTTTTTTGCTTATATCACATTTATCCTTTTTCTTCCCCCTTCTTATCTTCGACATTTCTTTTTCGAATTCTCTCATCTGCTATTTTCACACGCGCACACACATGCGCACCAACCCGAGAGCGGTGTTCAGGGGCACACTGGGTGGGACGACAACACCACGATGACGACGCTCCATAAAAGGAACCACATGGCACTCGATAAAGAGAGAGTGAAGGGGGGAAAACGAAAGATGCCGCTCACTATGATTGCAAGAGTCTCCCTTTCGTCCTTGGTTTCTCTCCTTACCTTTTTTTTGCTCTGGGGAGCTTTCCTGGAAACAAAGGACACCCCATCCTATTTTGGGGGGGGGGGGGGGGGGTTCGAGCTTCCCAGCTTACTCTTTTCTCTCCCTTCTTAGTTTTAAGTGATCGAGGGCATCAGATGTTTGCGCGTGTACGTGGCTGATTTGAGGGGGCACCTGCTTTTCTGCCCATTTGTTACATCAGTGGAAGCACTGACGAGATGCATCTTTTCTTGTTTTAGAGCGGTTTGCGTGGCTAGTTTTGTCTTCTTGGAAGAGAAGTATATAGCGGTTGACGAGCGGAGCGCATGTGGCACTATAGGAACGACTCTTGGGGGGCGGGTCCGGCGCTGGAGGTCAACAATCTTACAAATTCCTTGATTCTTCATACCCCTTTTTCCCAGTGTGGCGTATTCCGTTTGTCCAACAACATCGTAGAAGCGGTGTTAGCATGCCATGCTGAAGCAATGGGCTGTTGTTGACCGAGTCAAGTCGCACATCAACCAACGCTCTGCAACGGCACTGTGACATGGTTAAGCCTCAAGAGGGAAACGATTGCGCGGACCTCGGACCGGCATATTCGGACATGGCAGGGTAAGGGGACCCCGACTGCTCTGGCGGCAGAGTCGTGGTCCCCAATGCGGCGACACGGATGCTATTGGGAAGCCGTGGCGAGCACTCTCGCTGCCGTATTTTCGTATACATGACAACTCAGGCGGTGCTTGAGAAGGGTGCTCCTATTCTTTCCTTGAGTTGTGCGCATGGTCGAGGCTAGAACTTGTAAAGCTGGTGGCCACCTCGGACCCGACTGGTCCATCTCTACCAGCCTCCTCCGGGGACGGTGCCCGGACAGCTGGGGCCGCGTCCAACCAGGTGGCCAGGCGGCCAAATGCCAAGCATTTCTCCGCGCGTGAGATTCTGAGGCGACACGAGCGATGACATTCCCCGACCAGAATGGTATAGGCTTCAGCCCCGGGAACATCAATACTCGCCGCCACCATCGTCGGGTCCTCGTCAGTCAGTAATCTGGACCAATGAAGCATCAAACAGCAGGCGCCGAGTCAAACATTCGAGGCCGACCAACGGCCCCGGCCATGGGCGTGCCGGAGTTGGGTGGGACTGCATGGTACCGCTTCAGGGAGTTGAGGATCCAGCCGGCGACCGGCTCGGGCGGCTTGCATAGTGCGCGCGTCAGGTGAGCAGCAGAGTCAAGGTGCCTGTATGAAGACGCCGTAAGCTGGCGGCCATGACTGGTCCAGCGTTCGACACCGCTGCGTCTGTCCGTGTAAAGTCGCCTGGCATCGAGGCCAACTGCTTCGCGTCCCGCGTCCTCTGGCCGCCGTCATGCCAACGATCTGGCGAGTCATGTCAGGTACGGCAGGCAAACATCTGGGCTGAGCGATACCTTGTGTCATTGTGCCGCGCCGTGCTGCTGCGCAACATGATCCTCCCGCGTCCTGAGGTTTGGTACTGGCGAATCGGTGCAATTACAATTACCAGCTCCTATCGCGGCGCTTATGCTCGAGGCCGGCTCCGAGGCATGGCTATCGCCTGGGGATCTATGGCAGGATCCCAAGGAGTCCATTTGCGGAGTGTAAAGGATTGCAGGAGTCCAATGACCGTGCCTATATGCAGTCTAATGCGGTGAAACGCCAGTCACGAGGCCGTGACTAGGACTCGCCATGCCGGACCGGCACTCGCCAAAGGAGCAACGCATCAAATGTGTAATGGATCGACCCGATGCCACGTAGAAGAGAAATCTTGACTGCGGTGTAGTCAGGTGGAAAGGCGAAGTTGTTTCAGCTGGGGCGTCAATACATAGATGTCCGATAGACGCCCGATAGCTTGCAGGAGGCTCCGCCAACATTTCGAACAGGAACAGCAAACGGGTCAAATATCACCAACAACGAAAGTCGAGACGAGGATGCTCACCGTCACAGTGGCAAACGGGAGAAGTCCATCGAATGAGTGCTCGAGGTAACGCCATGTTCATCGCCAAGAGGCGGATGCTTGTCGGCCTGAGATCTCGCCTGCCCCACGCCAACAACGAGGCATGCCGACGTGGCACCTGGCAAGAGACTCGACATCACTAGTCGTCCAACTTGCGGTTGCACAAACATCGAGACACGTCATGCGGGAACGTCTCGAGGGCGCAAGGGGGCGCATATTACGGCGTGCTTGGTGCTGGGGCGCTGAGGCCTGGAGTACTATCAGCACTCTCTCGTCAGTAAGAGCTCAGGCGTGCCCAGGCGGCAAGTTGCGAAGGCTGCATTGCGGGACCCGCCGTTCTGTTCGAGTACATACCAAGTTCGATGACGGGTTGTGGCCTGAACGACGTGAGGTGCTGTACCTCTGCACGTCGTGATTTGCTGTCGTCGCCCATGCTAGCGTTGGCATTGCATGTGGCTCCATAGGACAGCGCCTGTAAATCGACCACTTTTCATCCATTAACGCCCAGATCCAGCACCTTGTTTAGTGCTCAGACGTGCCAATTTGAAGTGAGTAGGTGGGGGAGATCAGTAATAGCATGCTGACCAGGCGGGGGAGGGGTGCGTCCATCGTGGTAAGGCTGACGGAAACACCCTCGACAGCGGAATTGGTGTCCTGGATGAAGTTTTCCCGGGAAACCACAGTTTGTCTGAAGGCGGCAGGACTGGGCACACCCGCCTTCGCGGTCGTTAGGACCGCGGCCCAAGCTGACTTTGCTGACGCAGGGGGCTTGCATCGAAGAGAAGCAGGGCATCGGGCCTCTGTCTCGTCAAGGGAGCTTTTTCCACGGACGCACGGTCACGATCACGGTCAGACGGGCGGTGTAGAGAAACAGGAGACAACCTGAGGCCAGAGCCAGAATGTACCGGAGTGAGAGTCGGCATCGAGCTGATCCGTCCTGAGTCGTGTCACACACCGCCCAAAAGCAAATAGCTTGGTAGTGCCCGATTCATGCGCTTCAAGTAGCATGGCTAGACTGCAGGTGGCAGCAGCGAGGAGGGGAAGCAGCGAAGACGATGCCTCTTGGACGCAGCCTGGACTCGATGTTGATGTTCAGACAGTAAGGAGTGGTGCAGCATGGCAGGCCGGGATGCATATCTCGCACTCCATGGCCGCTATTGTATTCGCAAGGTAACCAGAAAAGACCGGTTTGTGGTGCAGTACCTTACGGGTAATGCAGTATGCATAGGTAGTTACCTGGAAGCTGGTGCCAGAGGTAGTGTGAGTGCATCAAACTGGGTCAAGGAGGTCAGGCTGCAGAGCCGCAGCGGTCGAGCTAGCCAGGGTTCGGTCCACGGCGAGCTGAAAAAAGAGACCAAATGACGGTGGGAGCGGCAAAGAACCGGCATTCTGCATCTGCGCCTGCGTCCGCGTCCAAGTCTGTGTTTGGCCTGGTGCGAGGTCTCTGCTCTGGATCGGAGAGGTCTGCGGCCCCACGAATGACGACTACCTTGACCTGAGCCAACCGGAGAGCTGGAGATTCAGCAGAGCGTGGCGTAGCGTCGATGTCCTCAATAGTCGGGATTCTCAATTGCGATCGATCGGGACAACGATGCGCTTGCGCACGTTGTTTCGCCGAAAGGGCGCGGAGTGAGGCTGAGCTGGACTTGGTCGCTGGGGCAGAGATCGTGGTGAGTGTGAATGTGTGAGCAAGAGAAGAGTCGGAACAAGTTTCCTGTTGGTTGGGAGGTAAGTAGTACCTACCTACCTAGATCATGGTGCGTGTCCAATTGCCGCTGAGCAAGGGAAGCGACGTTAGTACCTTATCGACACGGCAAGTACGAAGTACGTAACGACTTTTCTCATCAAAGAAGCGGAAGGCAGGACGGACTCACAGGTGGCATCAGGTGCCTGGGCAATGAAGTGGAAAAGAGGAAGGCGAAAAGTGGGCATTGAGAAACGGAAGGCGTCAACCTCCGTATGAATGCGGCAGGTACCGAAGCGACTCTATCATCCCTAGGGGTACCTCTACCGACACAAGAGTGAAGTACTAGGTAGTACGTAGCACGATCACATCCTACCTACCTAGGTACCTAGAGACGTGGCGCAAGAAGGTCGGGTCCTAGGTAGGTACTGCATGGCATGCCTTTATCAAGACCACTGGCAAACATTAGTGCTGCCATGTCATATTACATGCAGTATTGCAGCGGAATGCATGTATTGCGGTCCTATCACATGAGTGCAAGTACTCTCAATCTACGTGGATGCTCGGCGCTGTGGGGATCGGCAGGTGGGTGAGGCGTGTTCTAGAAGCTCTTGTTTGGCGGCTTGGCGGGCAAGTCAGCTGGGCAGGTATCGACTGCACTTTCGAACCGCTACCACCCGTGCAGGGACCAGGTACCTGTACGTACCGACTTCAATATTTCCAGGTTGGCTTCAAGCTCGTGGCAAACCAACGCGGGTCAAGACTCGTCCAGCTTGATTCGCTACCGGCTTTCTGGTTCTCCATGATGAGCCAGCCACGTCCTGGGATGGCTTGAGATGGCTTGAGATTCTATTGCCCAGAGGAGCTGTAACTGGGACCGTTTGATTGCCTGCCTAATTCATCGACAGCATGCGCCTCCTGCTGCTGGGAGCCAGACGAGATTGTCGCATCGGGTTCTCGGAAATGGTGCCTGAGCAATAGAGTACGAAGTACGTCCGAGAGTCCTCGGCAATCACGCATTCCTACACGTCGAGGTGGCATCACGAGCGAGAATGCGCCAGCTGGGAGGATTAATTAAATCTGACAGACGCGGGAGTGGTCGCATGCGCGCAGACTGAAGAAGAGAGGTCCACGACTTTCTCAAGACGGCCATGTTCCGTGGCCCAGGACATGCTGCCTTTCAGGCTTGCTCAGGTTGGGCACGTCGCCGATGGATGACATGCACGAAGCATGTACGAGTACCGGATCTTGCCAAAGAGAGCCAAGAGAGAGCCAAGGTGTGTGTCTGTCTGTGCTGGGTGGGTGGTTGTCGATGCATACCTTATACTACTACTACATGTATTCACGCTGGTGCACTAACTAGGCTCTCCTGCGTTAACTCCCATTCCCGTCACCATCACCATCATCATCATCATCATCTCATCCTGCGTCTTGCTCCTCCTCCCCTCCTCACAACCATGACGCCCTCCCCGGCTCGCATCTCGCAGTCACATCGGGGCTGCTTGCATCTCACGGTCCCTGTGACTCGATGCTGCTGTCTGGCCGGCAGAACATTGGCTAACGCAAATTAACAGCCACACCATGTCCCGCGCATATCCTGCATCCACTAGGTTTTTCAGCTGCCTTGGACCATGCAAGTTGACGCAGCTTTGCCTCTATTTGCCAGTCAAATCAATGCGCAAACCACACCGGTTCCTGGCATCGTTTGGCACCGGGTTACTGGACATGCATGCCCTTTTCATTGTAGCGTGTTCAGAATTGATTGACTCCAATCCAAATTGTTTGCTGCTGCTGCTGCTGCTGCTTCTTCTTCTTCTTCCCGGCGAGCGAGGGGCGACGCATCGTGCTTCTCCTACCTACCTACCTAGGTACTTGTGCTTTGTACGCAGAGCAATCCAGCAGGCAATCTCGCTTCCGATCGCCAAGTTTAGGGCTGCGCCTTTTCAGCTGAACAGGTCTTGTCCGGTATTAGTATCAGGTACTGTCCACGTACACTGCAGTTGAGCCACCAGGCCCTGGGCAAGCGAGCCTCCCACCGCGAGTGACTTGCCGCTACAAGCGCTGCATGCGGGACCTTGACAGAATGGAAGCCAATGGCCAGCCTACATGCAATGGACTCCATGGGAGCCATGGGGCAATTCCGACTGCCACGGCGCCGTACGTACTGTATTTTGTCCCTTTTTCCATCCGACTCCTGTCCTCCTCCAGGCCCCAATGCAATGACGGGAGCCCAGGACGCCACCAGATGCGCCGTGGCCAGTGCACACACGCTTCAAGCAGGGCCTAGCTTGGGCCGGGTCAGCCACCGAAGCAGATTCATGAGTTGCGAGCACGTCCACGTCCGTCAGCACGCGGACACGAAACAGGGCAAGTATACGAGGTTATACGGGCCAATTCCCGCGGCTCGACGCTTCCAGGTTCTGATGCTGCGCAAATCACAGCCGTCTGAGTCGTGTATCTCGTGCATGTAGGTACGCTACTTGTAGCCTACTGTAGGTACCTGTTACCACATGTACCCGTTTCCGGCCGTGATCATCTCCGAGGTCCGTGTCTGCTGGAACGCCGCAAGGTACAGGTACCAAGCCCTTATTGATATTGGTCCTCTCGGATCCTGTACCGAACGCTGAGACTTGGTAGCGGTACCTCGGTTCCGACCTGCTTCTGGACTGCTTTTCCGTAGGTAGGCAATACCTAACATGTGCAGCACCTTCCAGATTGTCCCGGCAGCATGACCGAGGGGTCGCTTCCCCTCTTTTCGCTCCTCCTGTGCTGCGTCTCTGATCTTGTGCCCGTTTCTGGCCAGCTTGGATCTGACGGACGGACTGACTCTGCGTCAAACCACCATGTGCTGACTTGAGACGAGATCGAAACCCGCACGAGGGCATCAGCCACAGCATGTCGCTGCAAAGTACCGGTTGCGGACCTCCCAGCCTGCCCGAATAGGCATCGCCGCAGTGCCGGCATGCGCTGGACCGCGTTCGACTCACTCCATGCTGTCCCTCTGCCGCGGCTGACTCTCGGGATACACAAGCAGCAGCGAGCCAGCGAATGCCTATAGCATGTCCCCTGCCCTGCCCGGATCGTCCACATGGCGAGCATCTGGCCAATCGTTTCTGTCAGCGAGCCCTGTGTCTCCAGAACGGCGGAGAGAGAGAAGGACAAGAGAAGGAGAGCCATGGGCTCGCACCAAGGGTGTCTCGATAGGGCTCACCTCAGCTGAACATCAGTCTCCGAGTGCCAGCTCCCGCCGGTTGCGGGCACCGCTAACACCAAAGCCAGCCGCCTCTGGAGTCCGTGGACCTCTGCTGCTGCTTGCTACATACGGAGCCCGAGCCCGACCAGCACACCACAGCGCAGCACACCACAGCACACCACACACGGAAAGCAATACAATACACGGCAGGCGGGGACGCTGCCCGAGCACTGAAACATGCCCCAAATAAGTTCCCATGGCTGCGTGCTCAGCCAGGCCCTTGGGGCGAGTCAGGGACGCCGTCAGTTGGGCGGGCTGCCTTGTTGTCTGCTGAAAACAGGGATCTTCGTCTCGAGCCGCCCTCTTCTCCGGTCCCTTGCTGCTTTGGCGCCTGCTGCACCAAGTACCGTACCATGACTTGTGCTAGCATAGTACATACCTACATGGCATGTACGGGGGACAGTAGGACTACCAACCCGCGCGCACCGGGGAAGCGTTCTCAAGAGTGGCTGCGAACCTGTCCTTTTTGTTGTCGTTCTTACACTTCTCCTGCCTGGTCTACCGCACCCTGCCGCTCCATGTTGCAGAACACGCCCCGTCGTCCACCAGGAGGATCAACCGCTTTGGCGCGATCCCAATTCCGCATCCTGCTCCCTCGACCCGCCATTGACTCTCCCGGCTCCAATACCCCATGGCAGTGGGAGGGTGCTTCTTCTCGTGAGCTTGGATGACGGAGGGGCCCGAGTGGAAACATACATGCGTGCTACGACAGGCATTCCTGCAAGCAGCACACATATGCCATGCCATGCCATGCAAGGCCATGCGAGGCAAATCACAAGCACCCAGCCCGGCAAGCACAGCACAGACCCTGCCAGTATGTTTCCTCAACCCCGGCTCAAAAGCCAGCTGCCATCAGCATCACCAGTCTTTCTCGACGGTACATGCTCCGCACAAGGTACAGACGTGCCCAAATCCTTACATGGCTCTGCCTTTCGTACGCCTCCTGTTTCGTACTTGACATGAGTTTGTTCTGCCCTAGTGGTGCCACGGGCCATACTCTCACCCCCTCCCCCCTTTCCCTCGGATGTTTCTCTACTGCTTCTTGCTACTAGCTTGCTTGCTTGTTGGGGTGGGTGAGAGGCTACTCCCGCTGGACACCTCTGGTCTGGCCTTGTTGCTATTCAGACGACAAGTATTATGCGCTTCCCCGGTGGGATCTAGCGTACTTGGGAAGTTTTCTCCTCCCTTTGCCCCTCTGTTTGCGAAGAAGACAAGAGGGAAATAAGCCATGCGCAGGAGAGACACGCCAGTACCTTATCCCATCCTGTTCAGAATTATATTAAGGTTCATCTCACCCCGACCAGAACATCTCTTGTTCTCTTTCCATTGTGGTTGTGTCTCACTCGTTTGCTCTTTCTAGTCAGCTGTTTCTCCTTTTTTTTTTCTGATTCCACCGGCAACGGAAAGGAACTGAGTAGCGCAGCACTCCCCCTTGTCAGAGGCAAAGACCTATCGATGTTGTACAGGCTTCTTGCTGCCTACTTCGACACGAGACAACCCAAGACACTCACTGGAACAGCTCCTGGCAGCTAAACACCCAGTCCGCACGACTCGCCATCTTTGCGCCGCAGCTCCCGTGTCACTTCGGCTTGCGCCGCGTCCAACATCCTGCCTTGGGGTCCTTTAAAGGAAGGGCATCATCGTTTACAAAGCAAGACACGGCAGAGCTACCGCAAAGCAATATCCGAGGGTGCCGACCTCGAAAACAAGCCCGGAGGTTGCCAATTAGAGTCCTGCTCGTCCGCTGCGAAACGGCAACCGCCTCAACCGTATCTTGGGTCTTCCGCAAACGCCCTACCAAACGCCGTAGGGCAGAAGAGTGCCGTCTGACCGCAGGAATAGTGCGACTTGGCAGGGACCCCGGCTGACGGCGCCAGGCCGAATTTCCATAAGCAGTCACCTCCCAGTCCACCATGCCAGTAACCAACCGTGGAGGCCTACCCGGCGCCGGCTACGATTATTACTTGAAAGCCCAACCGCCCTCCTGGGAGGCACTTCGAACCGGACTGTCTATTTTTGCCTTGGTCATCATTGCACGCTACTGTGTGCAGGCCGTCTACCGATGGCTTAGACCAGCCCAGAGGCGCGACTCTGCTTCCCTTCTGCCCACCAATAACCCGCCGCTCCAGAGGCAGCACAAGCCACGCTTTGGGCCAATGGACGATGAAAAGAGCATCCAAGGGGTCGGCGACCAGCACGAAGACCTGAGGGCGGCGGTGGCGGCAGCAACATCGACGACGACGACCACAGCAAGCACGGCGGCGGATCGGCACTCGCACTGGAGAGGCGCTGGCGGTGCCCTGCCAGGACCCTTCATCTCCCGGCTGCCTCCCGCGCCACCTTTGACTCCGCCGGAGCTGAGCACAGCCGTCTTCACCTTGGACAACAACGAGCCGTCGCCCAGCAGCCAGAGCTTCATCCACCAGCCCAACCCTGACTACATGTCCTCAACGTCCACCACTGCCTTCCAGACTGGCAGCCCAGACGCTGCCTCGATTCCTCGGCGCCGATCCTACACCCGGACTCTCCCCATTAGCGCCCCCGGGGCTCACTCTCCCCAAGCGCAGTCGCCCAAGGCTGAATCCGTGGATCCCGTCTTTACGCCCAGCTCCTACCCACCGTCGGTTGGGCTGCTGCCACCTGCGCCTCCCTCCGGTCTGGACCCGAAGCCTGATGATCACGGGCATCTTAACGTTGACGTCCACGGCGAGATTCTCTCAGTCCTCGATCGCGATGGAGCTGGCTGGACTCGCCATACGCGCGTCTACGGGGGCGGCACCTGTCTAGCGTGCGCTGCCAACGGAGGAGGTTTCTACGGAGCTACTGTGACCCCAGAGGAGATGCGGTGATGCATCGGAAGACGAAAATGCTTGGTGACCAGGAGAAAGATGTGCGGGGAGAAAGCTCAGCCCTCTCAAAAAGGGGGGAGGGGCGTGTACGCGCGCACGACTGCCGTACAGTATGTTGTTGCTTGAGCGGACGTTACTCGGCCTTGGCTAACCTGCTTCCGAGGCTCTCTGCTGCCCTTGACATGTTTTCTCCCTTTTGCGCGCCTACCTCATATGCTTTTTTGTCTTTTCTTGTTCCATTCTTAGAGGAAATAGCACTTGCAGGGGAGGCACGAACTTGCTGCATTATCCTAGGTATGCATGAAACCACACCGGGAGGCGCAGGAACTCTTACTTATAGCACCTCTGCATCTTGTCTTTCAATTAGTTTCCGTCGCTTTTCACATAGGTGGCGCCTTGCTTCATCTCCTTGTTTCAACCTTGTTTCCCCCAGTTCCCCTTCTTTTCCTCTTTCGCCTTTTCAGCTTCACAACCCCAGCTTATGTTCCATGTTTGGTAGATGGCTGCTCACGTCAATATCTTACTTGCATGACCACCCTGTTTTTTTCTTTCTTCTACCTATTCGGTTCTGTCTCAAAAAGCACAGCTGCAATGTAATGCGGAGTTGATCCTGTTCTATTGGCATAGCATACAAGGGGTTGTGGTTGGGCCTTTTGACCATCTCCTTCTTATCCTTTCCCTTCTCCCTGATCTGCAGCTCTATCATTTTATGAATATCACGACGCTATGACTCTTCCTCGCCGTTTCTCCTTTCTTGCTGATTGTATGAGTGAAATATCCATCGTCAGAAACCATGACACCTGATGAACGAGCTTTGTGATGGACGACTGCGGGGATGTCCATCGATCCGCCAGCTATTTGCATTAGCCCGAGCGCCTCTTTGCTTTCATTCTCATGCATCCTTGAACCTGCTAGATGATTAATGAACCAGGGTCCCGGTCTCCCTCCGTCGGTTGAGTGTCTACAAGCAGCAGCCGCTTCCTTGAACGAGGAAGGCCGCGGCTCCTATTCTCGGTCTTAGCCCGTCACCTTGATCATGCCGCTCCTCATGGCAGAAGGGTGTTGTCTGATGCATTGTTGTCGTTTTTCCTCCCGCTTTTCTCTCCACGGTCCCTGGAAGCTACGGAAAAGGATCCAGCTTGGTGACAAATAGGGGTGTGTGGTTTGTGTGAGTGTGTGTCAGGGATAACAAATATGGCGGTCTACCTCTCATCGAGAAGGGGGTAAGCGGGCACCTCTTGTTAGTGAGTCGACCACGGGGCAACCCGGACGTTTTGACGTCCCCGATCACTTTTCTCGTTCATCCTTGGAAGTCTTGCCTATTAGTAGCTTGACTGTCCTTGGAAGGACTTGGTTGGTTGCCCCCCTGGCTCGGTGTTGGTCACTGGTCACTGGTGTGCCGTGTGAGCCCGTCCTTTTGAGGGCTATTGTGATGGAATTACGAGAAAGAGAGGGTGAGGATCAGAATGTCACTCGGTCATCGTTGGGTATCTGGAGACAATGATGTGAGGACTTACTCGTGGCTTGGCGGAAGAATGACTCGGAATGACTGGGTTGGTGAATCAATACACTGGAAAGGAGGAAAAGGGGGGGTTTATTTGTATGAGAAGAGATGATCGAGAGCTTAGAATTATTCATCTTGTCCGGAAACGACAGGGTGACGGCACGGAAGACAGGAGTAGGAATGATTCAGGTTACTGCGGCTTTTTCTCTCTTTACGAGGCGATGATTAATGACCGGCGACACAATTAAGATGCGGTTTGCGAGCTGATTACCCATGTGCTAAAGTCCTAGGGCTGGTCGTGTTGCTTACATGCTGAGTTGGCACATGCAATCCTTACCTTACTTACATGCCCTGACTGAATCAGCTGTTTGATGACTTGTACACAGGCAGCGGCGTGTGTTGACTAGATGGCGATGGACGTTGTAGTCGGACCTGGCTCTCCCTTTGTAGATCGAATCGAGATGGGATAGCTCAAGGTGAGCCCAACGTTCGCTGACCGAGATTACGAGTAATGCCGTTGCCTTGATGACGGAGTACATGACTTGCGGCATAACTAAAGGGATCCATTATACGCCGATAACCGTGGCCCTATGTACCTACCTAGGTAGTAGCTCATCAGACGTAATAAGTTGGTTCTCACTGGTCTTTACGTTATTCAGATGTAGAGCAGCAGGGCCCCTTGTTTGATACATGCATATATGCATACTCGCCGGTAAGAAAGTCTCAAGGTGCAGGAGAGCAGCTGTGTGGTACATAGTATATACCAGGAGCATGGACTTTCCCCATTCGTTAGGGATAGGCATGGAGCCGCTGAATTGGAGTCCTACATGGTATTGGATGTATGTAACCTCGTATGTACAAGGCTGAAGAAGGCGAGCTGGGGTGAGGAGGAATGCAGGTTGTCGGAGATAAAGGGGGGTGCGGAACAGCTGGGCTATTGTGCGGAGTAGCTTGCAGCTCTCGAGTGTTCTTTAGGTAGTTTTCGCACCCCATGTGAGAAAGGGCAAAGCTGTCTCCACGTCATATTTCTTACTTGACCATCGTTTGACTGGGATGATAGAACCGTACATAAGGCCCCCCTGAGGCAGAAGCATCTGATGGCATACTATAACAGAGGGCGCGGGAAGTGTTGTTTCAATGGGAAGGGAGAAGCATGCGCGATGCTACTGAAAAAAAAAACGAAGATTTGGAGAAGGAGGAGGAGGGAGCAAACTTGAGAGAATGATGAGCATGGATACCTATGGACGGACTTGGGGGGGGGGGGCGTGTTGCTGCGGGTTTTTTATGGTTCTGACGTGAGCCTTTGTTTTTATTTGGTGACCTTGTCAGCGGCCACTTGACTACCTAATTTACGAGGGTTTTTGTTCTCTCGGGCCCGAGCGGACTTTTGATGGGTTGTAGAACGGAGGCGAAGGATGAAAACCTCAGTGTTTTGTGCGTGTCTCTGTGCTGGAGGAGGATTGCTTGATTTGTCAGTGTATTGTAGATGCGTAGGGGCTGTGCTGACGACGAGATCCCTCCGAGGAGGAAATCGGGGGCATGCCTATGTAAGAGACGGATACTGCTACATAGGACTAGGGGAAGAGAACAAGGTCCACATGGGCTAGGGTACAGGTCAGCTTCAAGGGGATGAGTGAGCAATCTCTGAGGTGATGCTAGCCCTGGTGGAGAGATGGGCTATTTCTGCTTCGTTGGGTAGCTGAGTGTTGTTATGTGAAGCAGACTTTCATAGTGTGTTACCATTACCGGATATAGATTGTTTGGTAAGTATAAACTCGGTGCAAGTTCTTGAAAGAGCATGTCCAAGAATAACTCGACTGCTCGAGGAAAACAATCGCAGTGACCTATGCCTGCAAATTTGGTTGCCTCCCCGTTGGCTCGTGGACCTCAGCAGCAGTCAGCATAGCATCGAGATCTTCCTAAATAGTTGCTCCAGAACACACTTCCTCGCAGGGTGGTGATATAGCTTACCAGGTTTGGCCAAGGGAAAATCCATGTTCCTGCGCATGTGTGTCTGCATGGCCATGGCCAACACACATACATATATGCACATGTAAGCGGCACCGCCAAGGAAGAGATGAGCTCCTCCTGTGGGTTGGGATGGACAAGGATGGTCCGTAGCGGCGGGAGCTGAGGAAGCCGGGGCAACTCGGGGGCCGGCTTGTTTGCTCTCGTCGTAATTCTTCGTTTTTCTCTTTCTGAAGGCGGCCGCTGAGTGGGTTCGGTGTGGGATCATGTTTCGCTGTTGGGTCAGGGTTTACGCGGGTGTAGATTGGGATGTTGTGTGGTGTGAGGTGCCGGGAGGGTCAAGCAAGGAGGAATTTCTCTCCCTCGTAATACTATGGGGGTTTTGTGTAAGACCAACTCCTAAGATGGAGATAACATCAGCTTTATAAATACATACAGAGAATGACGACATGACTTTGGTCAGATCGAGATGTCCTCCCAAAGTAAACAAGTCCGCACAGAGTCATCACTTAGAGAGGTGATGCACCTGAGCATCCGGTGCCTCGTGATGGTCGGATATGGAGCAGTCATCAGCTAGGACAGACGACGGAAACTCATGGCCCGGTTGTCTAATGCTTGTATGCACATAAACAATGGAACTGGGTGCCCATGGGCGAAATGTCATTACAACGCCGGCGTCTTACAAGGGGAGTTGGCGTAAACAGAAACATGCAGACCGTTCTTCATGAAAGGGGCTATTTTTGTCTTGTGTTCAACTCGATTGCAGAACATAATGATTGCGGCTGGCCTATCTGACAATCTCCCTCCCAAATGTTGTGATCAAACCGAACACTGTCTCGAATACGGACGGTGAGAGTCTTTGAGGCTCTTATTTTTTGAAGCTGGTGGCAGTCGTCGAAGGCTTGTAAAAGGAATCTCTGATGCTCAGATGCACAGGAACTTACATCAGAAACGGACGAGATATGTTTCAGTGTGAGAGTTTAAGATTGGCTCATCCTCTCCAAGTGATGACAACGTCTTTCATAATCTATAAAGCCAGAGGCCGCTTTGAAAACCAATCGCTCGGCTGATATCAACGTAGTGGTTACTTACTTCTTGATGAAGCTTCTCGTAATGTGAGCTACATGTTAGGCGATAGACGCGGAGTTATCAAAATAGCGACTGCATTGGCATACCTTAATATATAGGTAAGAGCCTTAGAGGGGGTTACTTACAGTGGCATGACCCATTCATTCCACCGAGCATACCATCTAATTAGTGGCTAGCTCCAGATACCCCGAGATATCTAATAGCAACTCGTAAGCCCATATCCAAGGGAAGGCCCTAGGCAGCTAGAGACACACATCTTGGGCGGGAGGCTTTCCATATCTCTGTCCTTGACCGAGAGAGACAGGCCAAAAGAATATTTTGTCCCCTCACTGAATTGTCTCTTATAGATAATTGAGGACTATATAATCACTGCATCTATATATACATTGTTTTCAGAAGTGGCATGATGCTAACATGAGGAGAAGATTCTCTAGATGCC